GATAGATAGATAGATAGATAGATAGATAGATAGATAGATAGATAGATTTCTGCTTCCCACCTGTTTAATCTCACTCTTAAGTTTATGTATTCCACTGCGTTCAGTCTTGGTGGCTCCTGTGTGGCCAAGCTCATGGATAGAGATTGCAGGACTGGTGGCTGTGGACTGGATCGGGCGCACTGGTAGGAAAAAAATGAGTTACTGTTCCAGGTATCTGAATGAAAATTAACAATAGCAGATTACCAGCTGCTAGTGCATCGAATGTCTTAGTCATTTCCAATATTTCTGCACTAATGTAGCTTCCATGCACAACACTATTTAGCATGCGGCTGGGCTGAAACTAATATCACTGCAGGTGTGCCGTACGCATATCTGACAGGAAGGGGAGAAAACTCACTGCTTTTCTCAACTCCAAACTCTTTGCCACTGAGGATGTGATGCAGCAGGTTCTTCATACCAAAGGGACTCAGGCTCATTAAACTCTCAGATGCCTCCTCACCTACAAAGATACCACAGTTCTGTTTGTTTTTTTATTTCCATTACAGGGTCACTTGAGTATCTTGTGTGTGTGTGTGTGTTTTTCCAACCAGAACAGTGGAGGCTGCGAGCAAGCTCTGTGGCCATGACTTGCATTATGAGACCTATCCTCAGTCGGAGCATGTCTCCAAACAGAGCGGGCTGGGAGCGCACGTACATGGCTAGATAGACCATGATTTCCTGTTGAACACACAAAGGTTACAGGTGAAGGATCAGTGTCTAAAAGAGTTTTGTTAGACACCCAAAAGACGGATGGTTTACCTGGGTGAGAACAGCTATACTGATGTCCTGACCACTGGCTTCATATATGAGCGAGTTCAACTCTTCAGGAGGAAGTGGACTGAGGAAAAACAGTTGGGAGGAAAAGCTGTTTTTGTTTTTCTGAAAAGACTTACAGTGAATAAAGTAATCTGTTGCCATACAAATAGCTCACACTGTGATCACTTGTTCCCTGGGTTCAGGAGGTAGGCCTACAGTGAGCTGCTTGTGGTGGGAAATCAGATCTGTGCAGGCCTGAGATAAAGACAGGGGAAGAAGTTAAATATTGATGTTCGAACTGTATCAGTCTCACTCAGATCTGACTTTCTGATGCTCTGACCAACTACAAAGCAACACTTTTCCTTTGGACCTGCGTGTTCACTTGCATCCAGAGTTTGACATGATTGGGGATCTTGTTCAGGTTCCTTTGTATCAAATCTTTTTACGACAACATCTCTGTGACTAGAGAAGTTCCTACTCCACTTAGACGTTTGCATTTATTAAAAAAAGACTTCTCGGTCACCTCCGAGAGGACCTCCACTCGTTTGCGCAGTATTCCAGAGATGTATCGTATTAGACCCCATTCTTTGCTGACCCCAGCTTGTGAGTACAGCTCCTCCAACAGCAAATGCACGCTAACTCCCCCCTGCCCAGGGCCCGACAACTCCACCACCCAGTCCGCTCCCCTGGAGGTAAAAACAAAGCACAGATCGGCTATGATAAGAACAACTGTGTTTAGCTATTGGTGTGCTGTAGTTTTGCCTGTGTGTGAGTACTTCATGACGTAGAGGATGTAGAGGATGTCAGCCTGGTCCTGCAGAGTGGGACACTCTTTCAGCTGCCGCACCAGCGCTGCGAAGTCCGTATTGCCCTGAGAGTCTCTGGGCAGATGCAGCTCAGAGATACTGTGGAGCTTCAGAGGGGACGACCGAGTTAGACAGACAGAGACGCAAAGAAGTCAGAGCACAGGCAGGTTGCTGTTGCACCTACTTTTGGCTGCTTTGCGAGTGAGACGGGCTGAGGATGAGGAACTTCCAGGAGGTTGAGAGACTTACGGTGCTTGTTCATGACCGGAGTCACAGGGAGATACATGGAGGACTCTGAAATATGCATAGTTGTTACAGTGAAGTTTTGTGAAAAAACTGCAATAGCAATATCTTGTGCAGCTTACGTAACATTTATCGAAAATATAAAAAGTTAGTGGTTTACAACAACCAAATAAGTATCAAACCTATTACAGTCTTATTTCTGCTCTGCTGAACAGCTTCATTGCTTTCTGGACTCCTCATTCAGAGATCCATTAGTAATTAAGTTGTATCCACTTTTATACCAAAATGCTCAGATATCTCTTCCAAATTTTAGTCTCTGTGTCTGTACCAGAATCAGACAGTTTACAATATGAACCCATACTTGAAACTTATGGGATTCTGACTCACTGGGTATATTCAGGCCCTGGACTTTGGCCATGAAAGACAGGATGTCCCTGGTGGTGTGTTCGGCACTGAAAATGTGGTGGTGTCCCCTCTGGATGGGAGGAAGATGGCGCTTGGTGGTGGTGCTTTGGAGGAGCTGCATGAGGTACTGGTCAAACATGTCCTTTGAGCCCTCTGGTAAAAACATAACACTCAAAATTTACCCAAAGTTCCAGTTAAATCATTCAAATAAACCCAAAAAGATAAGTGCCCTTACTATCCAGGAGCCCACAGGCGTTATACTCCTCTCCATACTCCTCACTGTCTTCCTCGTCCTCATCCTCGAATGCATTGTCATCAGTCTTTTCATCCAGGAAGGTGAGGCGGGTGTGAAACGAAGTGGTCTGGACACTGGAGAGGTCTGACATCTGCACTCTGCACAAAAGACAAAACCCACAGTGGCTATTGTGTTATGGGCATTTGAATGTGTGCCTGGTACTTTCGTTATGAATGCAGACAAACCTCGCTCCTGCAAAATAGCCATCTTGTAGTTTCCTAAGTGTTGCTAGGATACAAGGATCAATGGCGTCTCCTTCTTCAACTGGGGGTGAAAGGAGAAATAATGTTCAATGCAGTGAAGGAACTTTTATAAACAACATGTCTACACTCAATGTGAACTGTATCGAAGAGCAATTCAGACATAAAACTCTCAGGAACGGCATTCTATATTGACAGTAGAGTATTTTTCAAAAGCGGCTCACAGTTGCACAAACTAGAAATAAGTGTGAGCCTAAAGCGAACAGAATGAAATCAGGCTGATTTTTCTTGGCGCGGCACCTCTGTACCCAGCATGCTGCGCGTGATGGGAAACGTCAGGGTGGGCCGTCCCGTCATTCTCCAGCAAGAAGAGAGATAGGCCAGCTCTGTTCGTAGCATCTCAACAATCATCTGGTTGTCCAGCGCCAAATAGAAATGGTGCTGATCCAGAAACTAAACGGTGAGGACAGAAAGGAGAGGAGAGGAAACAGAGTGTATAAATGAAGCAAAAAATGGACAATGTATATCACCACCCCATTCTTTTGAAATTTGCCTTTCAGAACATTTAGCTGTTCTGAAAGGCTAGATTTAGCTTTAATTTACCTGTGGGGTGAATATGTAAGAGCGATTTCTGATCTCGTAGAATTTGGATGTTCCCAGGACTCCGATGTGTCTGTAAGGCCTCCCACTCAGTTTCAGTTTCTTGCAGTTTCCTGTGGCCATGTGGCAGTAGCTGTTACTCGTACGTTACACACAAACAGAGCTTTGGAGTAGGGAAAAGAGTGCATGTTTACCCAGTCGGACATAGATGTGGCTGAGGATACGAGCAGGCATGACCCTGATAGGCAGAACTTCTGAAATCGTCTGTACCGAAATCCCAAGATCTCTTAACATCTCCTGGATCTCTTCGGACTCTGCAAGAACGCAAACTGACAAACCAATAAAAAGATGAATAGGATGAAAAGGATACCAAGCACTAAAGATTTCAACTTGTCCTTTGTTGTACTAAGACAAGAAAAACAAGAATTTTGAACTCACATTCAAGATAGATTTAACATTCGAGGGGGAGACAATGAAAATATATTCCCCTTCTTCAACCTAAATTTCTTTATTCTTGCTTTTCTAGGACTACACTAATATGAATTTTCCAAACTAACTACCAACCTTGGACTACAACATCTGGCTTGAAGTGAGTGGAAAATCTCCTGTTGAGTGGATCGATTTCTCCTGGTGCCAAAAAACCCTAAATCAAAAGACAATGAGTGAATATTTCTGTACTTGCTGCGTATTACAGTTCATGGAATAATACATCTGTATGACTGTACAGATTTACAAACTAAATTATAAATGTGTTTTCCCAGTTGTGGTCCTTCACTACCTCAGCCAGAAGACAACCCAAAATGTAGAGTGATTGTCCCCACATGTGTGGCAACTGTCCCATGGCCACTCTGTCCACTGAGTGAGGATTGCTGTACTCCTCCTCCATCTGTAGGAAGAAACATCTACAGGTCACTTCAACCAATAAATTACTCTCTGTGTTTTACTTTGTCTCTTTGCATCGCTTTATAGATTTCGTAAGGTGATCCTACTAAAAGCTGACCATATTTATAGTTTGGATCTGAGATGCATAGGTTGTGTGTTACTGAGGTACCTTGTCAAGCGGCACAGCGTAAAGTTCAGGCATTATCTTGATGCCATTCTTCCCTCTCATCAAAACGCCCTCCAGTGCCTCACGATATTCTTGCACCTGCATGAAGCATAGTTATTCAGAAATTACAGCAGAGTAATGTTTAGGAGAAAGGAACAGTACCTCAGCTGATGGTTATTAAGGAACAGGCCTAGACATAAAGTATATTAATTTTTTAGTCTAAAAGAGAAAAAAACATTCTTATCCTTTCAGTTTTTTCATTTTATGCTTTTAATCTGATTCACTTGTGGTGTGTCACAGTAACTAAATGATACTAAATCTAAAAGCTGAATCCTTTTTTGTTTTCTAACATTTTAACTGAAATCAGTTCATTTGAATTTAGCCTTTCAGGAGCCCTTCTTTTTAGGCAAAAATATTTTTGTGCTCTCTTCTGTGTCATAACTATGACTTAGATATATTACATATATTCTATATGTAAATGCTTTTTTTAAAGGTTTTGGTTAGTTAGCATGTCTTTATTCATTTGATTACCTATACACCAATCTTTATCTATTTATTTGCTCAAAAATGGATTCATTTGCTCATTCACATATTTCTTCACTGAGGCGGCTGGTGTTAATTACTCGTGTATTATCTCTATTTGTTATAGACAAACCTTCATATTTGTAAGTAAAAATAGTTTCCTAATCTGTTTAAATTAACCCAAGTAGATCAGTGAGTAGATTTTTTCTACCTGCACTTGATCTCCGGAAAAGATGCCATCCAGGATGAAATAAGTCCAGAACACAGGCCACTCACACTCTATGTTCTCGAATAGTTTGAGCTCGGAGGGATCGTAGTGCAATCGAGTCGGGTCCTGCAGAGGAAACAAACTTTGTCATCTTTCAAGCTCAGATAACACAATTTTTTTACAATTTGTGGCATGTTTGACCTCTTTAGGACAATGGTATCCATCCCTGATGAAGCGACAGCAGCCATATCGACCCTGTGACAAAGGGGGGACAACCTAAGTCTCATGACTGACCAAAGATTAAGTGTGGATCAAATTATTAAGCTATGCAGTCATTCTGCACAGAGCTGCCGAAGTGGCTCATTATTCGACCGTACCTGCAGTTTGCTTATGATTTCTGACTTAGTGATGGCCACCAGGTCAGCATCCTCCACAGCGAAAGCTGGAAAGGAAATGACAGAGAGCAGACCGGCATCGATCTCCTTCGAAGTTGAGGCCCTTGGCAGCATCGAGCACATGATGGCCTGAGGGAAAAGAAACACTCAGCGCACGGGAATACAGCTGCTTCACGTTAAAATGGCCTCAGGTTAATCCAGCACTAGCTACCTGACAGTGTTCCACTTCATCAGGCAAAACGTGGATGACTGACTTCGGCCCTCCATGAGCACCAAACAGGTCCAGCTCATCTATGGCCTCCAAAGCTGCCTGTAACATCAATCCACGCTGTGAGTCTAAACACAGTTTAGCACAATTTACCGTGCTATCAAAGGCAAATCTCTGCAGCTCTGGTACCTTGGCCATTCCCACTGAACTGCCGTTGAGTTCTGGAATGCCCTGGTTGGTCTTATCGCCTCGCTCCCACATCCCATAATCCTGCAGGAGAAGGGAAAATATTACAGTGCCAATTACTCAGTGCCAATAATATTGTGGTCAGCTTGTTACTTTGGTTGTTAGCATTAGCATCAGATAACCAGACTTATAGACTTCTCCTTTGGTTTTAGCTTTCATTACAGTCAACTTCCATGTTCGAACATCTTACTGCTCTTTGTAAACCCTCCTCCACAGCAAACCGCCGAATGTGGTTCTTACCGCCACTTTATAGGCTGCCTCTATGTAGAAGACCAAGTTTTGGATGAAGGCTACCTCATCTAGGTTGGAGATTATGCGGAGCCCTGGACGACAACACAAAACATTCATCAAGCAGCTCATGATCTGCTGTTTTGCTCATTTAAAAAAGAAATACAAATAATAAAAAGCATTTCAGAATAACGTCGGCTCTGCATGTCCACCTGAGGCGGTCATCTGCGCCAGCATCAGCAGGTAAATGGAGGTGGCGTCCACTTGGAGATGGCCCCACTCGTCATCCCTGACCACCGTGCCACATGTAGAGGTATCGTATTTGGCATGCAAGCAATCCTTTGTACTCTGCGTGTGTTTAAACTTCTCCACCTTATCCACCTGAGGACAAATGAATAAAAGTTCTCCTCAGAAGGGACTGAGACTTGGCAAGTGTATCGTGATACCAAATAGAGCTGTCAGGGAAATACAAATATGAACTCATTTTGGCTTTAACTGGATATTTCTGGTCTGCACGAGGTTAAATATCTTAATATATTTTACCGTGTGACCGAGTTGCTAAATTGCTCGATCCTCCATTTTTTTCTGTTTCAGCCATTGCACAAAGTAGTGCAACACATTTGGTGATGGCATTCTCAGCCTCCCAGTTTAGGAACACAGGGCTTTTTCCCACTGTTATATTTTTACACTTTTCTGTATCCTATCTTTTATGTACACTGAACTAGTCAAATATTTATCTCTTTGGCCATTACCAATTTATTATTAACTACATGGATAACATTTCTGCTCATGATTTTCTGTTATGCCTCAAATTACTTCCCAAAATATCAAATAATTTCCCTCTGGGATTATTAAAATATTTCTGATTCTGATTCTGATTCTGAAACCTAAACAAAGAGCATGAGCCAAACCACAAATAGAATATTTTGTTATTTCAAATAATTGTTTTCCTAATTTCATTAATCAAATACCAGTTCCGTATTATGAAGCTCAAGCTGCATGAACACAGCACAATGCGGGGCATTAAACCTTTTAAATCCAATGTGAACTACTTCTAAAACTATTAGAAAGTCTGCAGAAAAAAACCCACGCCAAAATGTAAACGTGAATGACAGGAGGGGGAAGGTTGAGCCTCTCTGGGAGTCAGTATCTGACTGCTTCTGACTGCTTATAGCCCTGTTTCTTGTCACATCCTAGACATACTGACAGTAATATTGTGTTACATAAAGAGTAAAGACTGATTACTGAAAGTTGACCAAGCAGGAGCCTCAATCTATTTATATCTGAACTGTGGATGAAGTCGATTTGCCTGATGACTTTCTGAGAACCAGCCCATTTTAACACCGCTCTGTGAGTCTGGCATCATCCTCCCATGTTTATTATGAGTCAGTGGGAAAAACAAAGAGTGCACATCACATTGCCACTGTTACTCTCACATAAAAGAGCACATTTATTTTTTTTCTGCCTAGAAAAGAAGAAGATAGGTCAACGGAGGACTTTTTTCTTAAAATATTCACAGAGTTTTGACTGAAGCTTGAATCAAGCACCAGTACCAGATACTCACCACGTGTACCCATTAGAAAGAAGTCTTATCTAACAACAGTCAAACATCAACTAAACAGTTATGCCAGTTTGTCAGTGGTTTCACATCTCATCGACCAGCTGACTTCCTTACTAAAATGTGATAATCAAATTTCCAAATTGCTTCTTTTTGCGACTGTTAGCAAAAAGCTGGCGCTTTGCTCAAAATAACACGTACCGCTACCATTTTTTTGGCATACCTGTCTCACGCAGACACTCTGCTCCTGTTACGGCTGATTTCTATTATTGGTCGGGCGCTCATGCATGCATATACATGTTCATTTAAATTTCACCACAACAACAGGTGTTGACGGAAATTGAAATACAGTATACAGAGTATAGCAAAAATAGACTTTGGTCACTCATTGCGTGCCTGGCAGTAAAGACTGAGTAACTACCATTATTCTTAAAACAGAATCGGAACCCTCTTCATCAAGCTGTCATCAACTCCTTGTATAATTTGGAAGACATCAGAGTTCACAAAATGTACTTTCTACTTGGTTTTATTGGCTCTTTTTACAGTTATCTCTCTATTATGTGGGACACAACAGCCGTTCTTCTGCTAAGTTAGTTGCTTTTTAAGCTTGGATGAGTTGTATATCAGCAAAAGACCTGTAGAAATCTTTTTGTTTTTTTACTGACAAAGTTTCACTTTCAAGCAAAATGGAAAGAAACCTTTCAGAAGCCCCTAAAAGACCCAGCTTTCCTGAATAGGCCCCAGCTGTTGAAATTCAGCAGTATGTGTTGAGAGCCTTTGTGACATACCTTTACCAAACACTGTCAATGCCACCAGAAGACAGGATATACCTGAAATATCCCTCAGCCATGATGTACGTTGTGTCTCCATAAACACGAGTTAAAGGTGTAAATATCACCGTAGGCATGAGTGTTTCTTACCTGTCTCATCATGCACTGCAGCAGCCCCTGCATAAGTTTCACCACGCTCTGTCAGCAAAAGAAATAAAACTGTCAAAGATATTGTAAAATGATCTAATTTATTAGGGTGTTATTATAGGATTATGTGTTGAAGAAATACATGATGTCCTCTCCTTATTTTCAGTGTTTTAGCAGAGAAAGACTCACAGAAGAACTAAATTAGTTCAAAGAAGAACTGATAATGATCATTTTATTTTTATAATATTGAAATATACTAATTTTCTGTTATGATTAAAACCACAATACAAGTCACAATGCCAGATAAAATTGTTAAGATAAATTGTTTTGATTTTACCCCCTTTTTTGCTTTAAAAATTACTGTTAAAATGACTACAAATATCAAATGTCTCCTAATGTGCATACCACACATTCAAAATTGCTAGAAGCTGACAGCATGATGGCTGATGGGGGGACTGATGGCTCTATCAAGGATGGCTGGACAATAAACTTTTCATCATATCAGAAAGAGGAAAAATGCAAATATTTCAATGATTTGATGCTATCGTATAGATCTAAATAGAACATGCTGAATTAAGATCTTACATTTTACATTTGAAAATTCAACTGTGTACTTTTCTGTCCCAAGGTGCCCAGATTGTAACAGTGTTTTTAAGAGTGATTCTATTCCTTCTTTTTTATGTGAATAACATTAAGCTGTAGCTGTGTCCTCCTGTACAAGTGAGCATGTGACTCTAAATGTTTTTTCTGAAATATTCAACCCTACATGGCAAATACAGCAATCAGGCACAAGAGTCCACAAAAGCTCTCCCTATCAGCCCCAAACACACCTGCTCCAGTTCGTAGGCCTTGGCCTTGTCTTCATCTCGGTCTGCGTTCTTGCGGTAGGCCATGCCCAGCCCCCACACGGCCAGGACACTGTACACATTATCCCTCACCCAGGCATCCTTCTTCTGGATGCTGGCAGGTAGAAGACCTGTCACTGGGTTCTGAAAAAAGGCACACAGAAGGTTTCATCTAGTGCGTCACCTGGGTGATTAGAGTAACAGAAGGTGTTGCATTGATTAAAATGTGCTTATCGAGCCCAAAACGTCTCATGTGACTTCGGACATGGTGGTCTTTGACCCTAAGGCAAGCAAGAGTATCTCAAAAACTTTGTCATTCTCAACAATTTTTCACTGATTACTTTATTAGCCAACTTTTCCTGATTAAATATGTTGTCTATTTGTCAGTGAAAACATGACGTGACAGTTCCCAAAACTAAACTATTGAGCTTTAAGGCTACGGCATTTTGATTCAGGGAGCTGTTGAATACCTAATTTCCTGAAAACAGTTTCCGATACCTTTGTCTGACTGACCACTTTCTTGTACTTGTACTTTAAACTTTGCTGTGTGATTTGCAGTTGAAACCGGATTATTGTTTACCTACTATTCAAGAAAAATGTTAGAAATCTCCGAATGTGACTTTAAATTGAGTTAGTGGAGAGAACGAGCGGGTAAAGTCTCCATGTGAGGGTAGACCTGCACCCTGGCATATCAGCATGGGCACTGAATGGAAAGTTTAAAGTATTTTTTTTATCAGCTGCGGACCCTCAGGATCACAGTTTTAACTGAGACACCAGCTGACCGCGTCAATGCGAACTCAAGAGCTGATAGATAAAAGTGCGCTGCTTCCCAGAGCCTCAATTTATTCCAGCCACTGAACTTTGCTCACCCCTTGTTTATTTCTCTGCAGCTGCTGTGGCTGAACCTTAACCCATATAGGCCACAGAACATCTGCTTTGTCTACATATCTATTTCTGCCAATAAAATAAAGACAACAAAACTGGAACCGGTTTAAACCCAATTACACAAACAGGCTTACACAACCTCATTTCTCTGCAAATTCTCCTTTAACGCCTTGTTTTTGTTGAGTAGCCTAACCCTTTAACTACACTAAAACTTGAAAGGATGTGTTGTGCTTGTCTTGATCCCACTGTGAAGCTTTGTCCTATCCTCAAATTGTAGTATTCTTCTAGAAAACTGAAATTACTGTTGTGTTCTGCAAACTCCAAAACAGAGTTTTGGACTAAAGATCTAAATATATTAATGAAAGAATCCCCAATAAATCAGTGAAAGTGAAAATATAAAAAGTTTGTTTTTTAATAATAACATGATAATGAAACATGGTAATGCAGCAAACATAACCAAATAATAAACCACATATAACCACATAGTTAGTGTCCTGCAGGTGCTTTTTTTTCTTTTTTTTTTACTGCCATTTTAAACGCAGGTGTACAGAAATGCAAGTTAAGACATTAAAATTAGGGCCACCCAAAGCACTGCCCTCTCCGGGTATCTGGACTCACCTGGTGGCACAGGATGGTCTCCTGGACCAGCCTGGCGTAGCCGTCCAGCCTCACCCCGGAGTTACTGCGGCTCCTCATCCTCCCTGTTTACTGCACACACCGCAAGTTAAGCGTCAACTCCAAACTTTAACATTTGCCTCTCGTGTGCTCGTGCTCATTCAAATGTATTCACGCGACCGTTTCCCGGCGTTAAACGGCTTAATTGGCTCACGAGGCAGCGACCCATCCTTCCGGCCCCTCCGAGTCCTGCTCCGGCTCCCTGACCTCCGCGGAGGCAGCTAAAAACTGCTAGCCGAGTAGCATCCAGCTGTCTATACGAGGGTATCTAACACCATGTTGACAGGCTGTATCCAGGTCCACTGAGCCTCAGCTCCCTGTTAAACTGCTTGGGGGGGTGGGAGGAGGCGGCAAGCGGCTGGCGGCTGGAAGGAGACAGCAGCTGAGGTTTCACCTGTAGTTCGCGGAGGGCTGAGGACGGGTCTGAGCGACTGTACATCCAATCTGGCAAATAATACATTATGTTCCAGAAGTCTCGCGAGACGCCGCCAGGGGGCGCGCTGAGTGCCCGTTTCTGACCCCAAACGAGAGCAGTCAAGTTCAGGTTCACTGGGTAAATAACTAGAAAAAAAAGACAAAAAGATACAGGAAGAGAAAAAAGGACAACACAAGGAGAGAAAATGGGTGATGGGGTGTTGTGGGTTTATCAAACCACACACACAGACTGCTTTTTACCGCTGATGGGATTAATTGTAGGCCATGGGGCATGTGACCAGCATCTGAATTCAGGCTGTTGTGTAGTGGTGACTCACACAGCAACTTCATAGTGGCCAAGGAGAAGAGGGGGTGATAACAAGACAGAAAGAAAAATTAAAAGCTGTGCCTTTTGTGTGTTCCCATCTTGATTTAACTTCCAACGTGACAGAGACTGTTGTTGGTATCCTGAATGACGTCAGACATTATCCTACTGACATATCTATTTACTGACTCTTTATTGACTGGTTACTGAAAGACATCATATCAATGGCAGCATTTGACTGTTGTTATTCTATACTGTGTCTGTGGCACGTTCACACAGATATGCATGCACTGTAGGCCACAATTGGAGCTGATTAAATCATTAGTTTGGCCCAAACTACCTGAAATACAAAGTAATCTGCACACAACAAATGTGTCTACTGTCTTTCTTTGAGATGAGGTTGTGCCCAAAGAAATCTTGAATATCTTTGGACCAGATTTGATACAACTTCCTTCTTATGTAATACATTTATAAAATACAAAACAGTGAACTTGTGGTAAATAGATGGTGAACTGCAGTCTTTAACTAAACAAAGCCAAAAGCACAACGGCAAAAAACAAAACCACTGAAAAGCAAAAATTGAAACTACCCAAAATTTACCAACAAAGATTGACCATGGGGAAGAAACCAGGAGGGACTGAGGACAGCTGCCAATGAGTGTAAGAAACAAAACCTGAAACAGAAACTGAAAAACAATCAAGGATTCAAGATTCAAATGCATTATTTATCCCAATAGAAATTCCTGTGAACCACTTGTGATACAGGGTGAAAATAAATAATTGCAACTAAAGTAGTAAGCAATTCTTTAAAGTGACCAGTGATAAATTATAGCAGCATTATAAAATGCAACAAACAAGCGAGAAACAGAAATAAAATATCATAAGTGCAATTGATAAAGTGATGAAGTAAAGTGTTCAGGACACAGTATCTAGACACACATGAGAACTATATAACTAAAATAAGATGACAGGAATGAAGAATTACTAAAGGAGAAGTCCCAAGTCCTAATTCAAAATCAGTATCTCCAAAAACCAAGAACCCAAAGATCTAAACTAATACTAAGTAACACAAGAGTGAACCAATGCTTATAATTTTATAAGACGTTGAATGTCTTTGATTAGAATAAAAATGACCAACTGATCAACATCAAAGTGTAAGAATGTGACATTTATATTCTAATGTATTCTGTTGATCTTTTAAGATTTCTGGTTTTGTTTACTTGATTTGCCTTTTGTTGTTAGGTCCTCTGAATAACCCCCAGACCTGCAAGTGTCTCCAGCTTCACTAGCCGCTTAGTTTAACATTTTCATCTTAGCGTTTATGTGACATAAAGGTTTTTTAACAACAGAATCGTCAGAGAGATGTGAAAATTGCTGTAATGTTTAACTTTCAGCCACACGAGGACGTTGTTGTTTAATGGCGAATATGACGGAACATGATCGAATAACGGAATCTCGGAGCCAATCAAATTCCTTGGCTGTGGCGTCATAGGCCAATCACGGAGGAGCTCTCTGCAGCGTTTCCTCACTAGCATCCGCTGGGCAGTTTAGCATCAAGCTGGAGAAGAAGCTAACCTCCGGAAATTCGCAAAAATCTGTTCTTAGTTTTCTTGTATGTGTTTTGGTTTGATTTGCTGAAGTTTCTGACGTTCAAGTGACTATCTTGAAGGCCAGTTTGAAGGTAAAGGGTCTTGTTTATCAACTCGCGTATGTTGTAGCTAGGTACACGTCGCAGGAGGGGGCGCAAATGTCACCTAACGTGGTGTTGATGTTGAAATGTAGCTATTGACGTATTTTAGCTTATGTGAGAAGATAAAACTTTGTGCTAAAAGTCGCCCGGCATATAATTTATTCTTTACAACCCAGATTAGATCAAATGAAAGGCTCATGCTACTCTTGTAAATATAACACGGACTTCCTGTTTAACCTTTTTACTTCTTGGATTTTCCTAAATCCCACCAACCCACTCGTATTAAGATAACCACTCTTATGATATCTTCGATGTTTGTTCACTTTGTTCTCATTTTCTCACACGTTATACGTCCGTTTTTTATCTGAGACGTGGATAACTGAGCTGGACTGCCTTCCCCAGATGCAGTTCATGCTGCTGTTCAGCCGGCAGGGAAAGCTGCGGTTACAGAAATGGTATGTCCCTCTCTCTGACAAGGAGAGAAAGAAGATTTCCAGAGACCTCGTTCAGACCATATTGGCCCGGAAACCCAAGATGTGCAGCTTCTTGGAGTGGAGGGACTTGAAGATTGTGTACAAAAGGCAGGTGATCAGGAGAGCTTGAAACACTTGGCTGCACATCTCAACATGTTTTACAGTGTGGAGGACATAAAACATCAACTGGACTTGTACTCCATAATGCAAAGATGCTTCTGACATTTGTTGCAGTAGTTATTTTATATGAGCTCAGTTGCCATGGAAAACATTTGGTTCTGGCATTCAACTTTGGTTACATGACAGCGGGAAGGAAAACAGAGTAATGGTGGGATTGCTAGAAATTCTCCTCAAAAAACAAACATTAATCTAAGAGACTAGTACACACAGCTGTAATGTCAGTGTCTGTGCTATCATTACACACAAAAGACTACCTGTTCTGTCCTTATGTACAGTTTAAAGAACGTTCAGAGAAAGCTGATTGAATTTCATTGCAGTGTTTTCTTCTTAAAGACTTTCACTTTTATATGAACCCTTGAAAGGGTGAAAATAGACACTTTTAATCTCGCTGTGGAGATATTTTAGATGGTTCTGCTCTCTAAATGTCAGATATGCCAGTCTCTACTTCTGCTGCGCCGTGGAGGATCAAGACAACGAGCTGATCACTCTGGAGATCATCCATAGATACGTGGAACTGCTGGACAAGTATTTTGGCAGCGTGAGTCTTATAAAAATAGAAAAACATGTTTTTTTTTTGTTTTTTTTTATAGGACCTAATGTGCCCTGACCATCTGCTCTGTGCTCTGTGTGTACAGGTGTGTGAGCTGGATATTATCTTCAACTTTGAGAAGGCCTACTTTATCCTGGATGAGTTCCTGCTGGGTGGAGAGGCCCAGGAAACATCCAAGAAGAACGTTCTGAAGGCCATTGAGCAGGCCGACCTGCTGCAGGAGGTGAGACCCGTTCCTCAGCTGCATGTAGCCCGCATCACAGTCCAGCCCGCTTTTGTCTCGTGCGTGCCCTTTGTTTTGAGCTGATTTATTGCTTAGGTTCAAATAGCTGTGGATAATCAGCCACTTTGCCTGAGCGATGCATCAGACAGAAGGGTAGACGTCACATGTTGATGCATTGATCTCTTTCTTCCGCACCACAATCAGCACCTGCTGTTTGTTCTGAGCGCTTGCACACCCCTCCTAGATACGCCAGCGTGCTGTCCTGCATGTTTACGTCGCAGTCTACGTGTTGTAGCCCACAAATTCCCTACTCTGCTGTTTATTTTTAGCTAGACATGCAGTTCTGTTGTTATAAAGGCATGCCAGGCTATAGTCGCCTGTGTGGACTCTGACTCAGAGCAGCTATTAATCCTGAGTCGCTGCACAGGGTGTGACTGATGAACAAACAGGCGCTACAGCTTCACCAAGCATTTGTGGCTTCTCTTGTGCAGGAGGCCGAGGCACCGCGGAGCGTCTTAGAGGAAATTGGGCTGACATAGACCCTCGAGCTACTCCTGGATTCTCACAGACGCAGATCTGGCCAACTCCTCGTCTCTGTTGTTTCCTTTCCTGTTCACTGTGGAAAATGTCAGTGTTGTATGTATATGGTCACCATTAGTGTGCTGCATTATTATGTCCTGTGACGTCCTCTCCGTGTGGTGCCAACTGCGGCTTTAAAGTGTCTCTTTGTGTACAAGAACCCTCTCTGTATCAAACTGTACCTAGCAAGCAACAACCCCCCTCCTTACTTCCTGAACTCTGCAGAGAACAATGTAGCACCGACATAAGAACTCAAATCAGCCCACTACAGTCGTAGATGATCTCTGGTTGCAGCTAAATTGGAGGTTCGGCTTTAATTGCAGCTGGTGCCTCTCATGTGTTACCGTCTCAGAACGCGGTGCTGTTTTAGCTTTTTCCCAGGATCCTCTGTTTCTGGCTTCTCTTACATCCAGGTTTCATGCTCTAGTCATGACAAAAAAAAAAGTTGAATGGATGCATTTTTTCATCTAAAGTGAAAGTGTTATGAATCTACAGCTCTATCATTCACCATGAATTTATATCAGTGTTTGGGTTCTGTTGTCGGAACATGAATGTCATCTCATCCAAACTGGAGAAAGAGGTAGAATCACTGATCCACAGAGCAGCAGGGCCTTTAATTACCTTTTCTTCCGCCGTCTTTTTCTCTTTTACAAAGCTAGAAGTGTAGCATAAGCAAAAGAAGCGCCCGTTCAGCTTCTTCTGCAATACTCAGACATCATGGTGATATTTAAGAGGCACCAGCCTTAACTGGAGCAGTTGGGAAATTACTGACACTGTTACCGTCTCCTGTGTGCGAGGGTAGAGTTACCCAAAAATCAAGTCAGTATTTACATGGTTTACCCGTAATCGCTGTCAGTGTTAATGCTAAAGTTTTGTGTTTGGTGACTCGGCTCCAAAAATGAACACGTTGAGTTTTTAGGTTTGCATACTGGAACGTGGTGTGTGCTTGCTGAACAGTTGTGGCATTGTGCTTTTTCCTGTTTTGAGTACCTACTCATTTCTATATGACAAAAACAAAGATATATGTTGTGACCTCTTGTGATAAGTCAGACCCCCCACCCCCCCCTGTCTTCAGCCAGGTTTGAATTGTGACCCAAACAAAGAAAACACTCACACTTTGGCAAACTCTTAGGGTAATGTATGACCAAAGAACACTGTGTTTAACCTCCACACCGGTGTCTAACATGGAAGAAAAAAGGGATTTCTTTAAGTTTTCTTATAACAGCAAGCCGTGAAACTGTAAATTTGGGAGCTATTTGGCAACAACTTAATTCCTCAGTATTATGTAGTGACTCTGGTCAACTTAAAACAGGTCCGAGTTCCATGTGGACACAGAATGATAGAAGATCCTAGAACAGCACATATCAGGTAATCTGTATTCATTGCTATTAGCTTGTTCTAATGCCACTAAGATAAAGAAAGCAAACCAACAACTACTGAACAAGTGCTCATCTTACATTTCTTATAAAAATAAAATCTACCATCTCCATCACCAGACCACAATGAGTGTTGTAGAACATTTTTGATTTGTCTTTTTTTAAATCATTCTTTTGTATTTGACACTGCCACCACTTTATTTCTAATTTTTGAAAGTTCTAAACAATAAATGTATTAAAGAAAAGGAAACTTCTGATTGTTTATTTAAAGCAACATAAAGCATGTTCGAACAGCAACTTGCTTGTGTTTGACTATGAGATCACAAATGCAAACAGGCAGAATGAAATCACTCTTTTCTGTTGCACAGGCAGGGTGGAGTCTGCTTTCAAAAGTTAAGGAAAAGTGTTCTGTTCATGCCTTTATGCTTGACAGTCCCACAGAGGAACGAAGGTGTACAGTGAATTTTACCGGGAGAAGTTACTGAAGGATTGAATTCAGACTGAACAAATTGATACATTTACAGTGGTCTCTCAGAAGAATCCATTTTGCTGTTTCCGTTCAACTCGCTGCTCATTTCAGTGCCGGCCAGCTCACTTTTCGCCCCTTGGCTTAAATCGTCCTCCACACATTTCTCCTGTCTTATCTCAGGGTTTGTTAAGTCTCCGCTGGGAGTGTGTGGCAGAGGATTATCCACAGTCTCTTCCTGTGACTCTCCAGATGAGGCTGTCGCATCCTGCACCGGGCTTTTCTTCTTATGTTTCTTCTTGCTCTTCTTGTTTTTTTTGGAGCGTTTGTGACGGCGGTGTGTGTTCGAATCATCAGTGGGCGATCTCTTCCTTTTATCTGACTTCTTGGGGCTTTTTTCTTTGCTCTGCTTCCTTTTCTTCTCTCTACTTGTGCTTCTCGACTTCTTTCTTCCCTCTCTTGGAGCGTCCTCGTCAGTTCCGTCTCTGTCCTCACATCTGTCCCTGCGCTTGTACTCCTTATCCCTCGGCCTCTGCTGCTCTTTGTCTCTGCTTCTGCTCCTCGACCTCTCTTTACTCCGCCGCCGATCGGTCCAGCTGTCACCGCGTCGGGATCTGGATGACCAGCTGCCTTCCCCGTGCTGGTAGGAGGACCTCCTCTCTCTGCTGCGGCTCCTCCTCCTGGCCTCCTCTCGCCGGCCGTCGGAGCGCTCAGACCGGCGGTCGGGGCTTCGGCTGTAGCGGCGCTGCCTCCACGACCTGTCTCGGAGCCTCTGCGAGTGCCAGCCGTCCCTCCGGCTCCCCCTGACGCTGCGGTCCGGGGAGAGGCACAAATCCCTGTCGGCCTCCCAGAACTCATTGCCGGGGTTTCGGAACACGTGCAGGAAGTTGCAGTGTTTCCCTTTGGGGCACTTTTTCCTGTCAAACAGTCCTGAAGGAGAAACAACAAAAGGATGTAAGATATTACAACTGAATAACTTAATTTCTTTCCAAAAAAACAACAAAAAACTCCCCTTCCTAATACCGCAAAAAAAAAGGAGTAGCTCACCGCATATGGCGTTTTTCCAGCGAGTGACTGGGCAAATCTCACAGTGCAGCTGTCGGCCTGCATACCACCTCCCATTGAACTTCATTAAAGCCTCTTTGCACTGATCCTCTCTGGAAAAGCAACCGGCAGACGATTAAAAAATAAGCAACCGAGAGTGGTTTTCACATCAGACAATTCACATTTCTGAAAAAAACTTTAAATACATTTAATCTTACGTCTCAAACTGAATGTACACGTTTCCCCTCAGGTGGGGCTCGTAATTGCAGCAGACCTGAAAAAGGGAGCAGAATAAGCTCAGTTTTCATCCAACAAATACTTCCTGTAGCAGCTGTTTCCATTTCTTAGAGATCTGGACACTAATAGAATCTTCACATTCAGGTGGGATATTGTTCTATTATGGTTGCGTTTTTATTTGGGTAGTGAAACTGAAAAAAATACAAATGGTTCCTAAATGTCTTTGTGCGACCTGCCCAAGTATTAAACACCGTGTGTCAAACCCTGCAGATTTAAGCGTCTCCTGTGTAAGACGGGACGACAGAAATTGGTGACCTGGTCTCACCTTGAACTGCACCACTTTGCCAAACTGTTTGAACTCGGGCAGGACGTCGTGGTAAAACTCCAGGAAGGACTCCTGCAGCTCCTCCTCGCTGTGCTCCAGACAGGCGTCCATGTCGTAGTCGTCCCGCCGCAGCTCCTCCATCCCAAACGTTCGGAACATGCCTCGCACCATCAGAGTGGGGCTGGCTGTGGGATACACGTGCTTCCGAGAACACCTGCGCCCAAAAGACCACTCCGGCGTGATTTCACACACTCTAGCGTCACACTGTTTTCTTTTTCTATTTCGACATGAGGGAAAACGGAGACTAACGATACCTCTCTCCAAATCTGCATGATCCGGTCTTAAGGAAGAAGGGACAGTTGGCCACGTCGCGCTCTGTTCCAAAGTTTTCTGGGTTTACAGTCACTGGGGCCTCAGGATTCATCCACGGCCCTCCATTATCTAACTGTACACGAGAACAAACAAAGATAATCACCCGCTTCTGGGAGCATAGCAAAAAAAATAGAAAACATTTTTCATATTTCTAGTAAAATGACATAAAATAAAAAGCTAAATTAAATTAAATGCCAATCATTTTCATACCTGACTTTCAGCTTCATCCAACATTTTCTGAACAGCCTCCTACAAATGGTGTAAAGACACGGCTGGTGAAAATGTGAAGACCTCAACATAAGTGAAGCATATCTGTCACTGGGTTAAGACTACTGTCACTGGATCTGATAAGCACAATGAATTACTGGGTCTTAGAGGTCTGTGCCAATTAACCCGAGCCATCACACAAAGTAAAAGATACGTCCTTTTCTGTGCGAGCTGAGGCTGCTGTAAGGGGTTTTCTCTTTGAGTGTGTCTCAGTTAAGGAGTAGGATGGTTGAGTGTGCCACACAGTCAAGGAAAATTAAAAAACACTTACAAAGCAAAAGATTCAGAAGCCATCATGTTTAGTTAACGGTATAAATACTCATGAGATGGTAGAGGATATATTTTTCTTTTTGTTTCTATCCTCCTGGTGTCCGTTTCACCTCTCTGTCCCGCTTCTCCTGCTGCTTTTGCTCTTTTTCCTCTTCTTCTCTCCTTTGCCGGGCATCCCATTCGTCCTTTATCATCCGCTGAGAACACAAAGATAAATAATGCCAGTTACATCATTTTGAAGTTTTCACCCATGAGGTGCTCGCAGCATAACTTAGAAAGAATTGCCATGTTATTTAGATTTATAAATTTTAGTGCAGTTTCACTGGCTCAAACATGGGCAAACTATGCGCTTGCCATATCGGATCATCTCGTCAGTACCACGAGGATGGTGTTCATGGGATGGGGCCAAAAGTCACGACAGTACTCGTGTTTTTCAGAATGCACAACAAACCATTCACACCTTCTGTTCTGACATTCAAACTGTACATTTTTGGAAGAACTGCACAGATGTAGTTTACCTCCTCGTCTTCTTTTCTTTTCCTTGCAGCATCCTCCCTCTCTGACCTTAGCCTAAACTCCTCCTGGGCCAGCCTCTCTCTTTCCAGCCACTCTTCATGCAGTCGCTGTCTGAGAAACAGAATCGAGCACAATTAAACATGCCCTTTGTCTCCCCCCCCCATTTTTACCCCTTCCATCCCACCGGAGACTTAAGCAGAGTAGAGGTGTCAGCCACATATAAAGCTGATATAAAACTGTCACATCAATCCTAAACTTTGAATAATATTTTTTTAAGTAAAACTGCCAAACACATTTAATGCTTATCTAAAAGAGTTAATTAAAAAAAATTTAATTAAACAATAGCTAGTGGATAGTCGCATCAATAAGTAGTTTCACTTCCAATAGCAGAGACAAGAGTTTCTCAGTTGTCTGTATTGTCTCTCCTCTGCTTGCCTCTTAAGAGGGAAAGCATAAGATACAAACAGAGAAGCCCACTAGTGGCATCGACTTATTGCATTTTGGGAAATGGGATGAGGGGAGAGAGCATGCTTCATCTTAAATATGAACCTACCTTTCTTCTTCAGCAGCAGCATCATCATCCTCACTATCACTAGCTTTTATCTCGTCCACTTCTTCAGCTCCATTTGCAAGTCCTAAGTCAGAGTAATGGATATAGTAAATGCATAAATATCATAGTGGAAAAAATAAAACTTGTATGGAGAAAAATACATTCATCTTCATACCAAGAGCGAGAGCTTGGCGTTTCCGTTTTCTCCTCTCCTTCTTCAGGGCAGCTCTGCGCTGCTTTTTGCTACAAAGAGAGACAAAATATAAAATAAGACTTGTTGCAACGAAGTCACCCATGAAAACTCTTTACTTTCATTAGTACAAAACTTTTCTGCTTCTGTTCCAAATGAATATTTACACACAGAAATATGGTAATCTCACCACCCTAAACAGGCGGTCTACACGTTTACATCAGAAACAGGTGGGTGAAGTTATCTAAAAGACTATATACGTAGATTTTGAGTCAGTGAAAATGAGTTTGTCGTTACGTTACACCAACCTGGTTGTATGCGAGTTACTGACCTCAATGCAGGAGCAGAAATTTGTGCAGGAGTGGCAGCTGCCATTACAACTAACGGTGGCTAAATACTTAGCTTCTTAGCATGCTAAACTATTTTGACCGAGATTTTTCTTTATTTGCTTTCAGTTCTTGTAAAAAATATATATCCAAGTCAGTTTATAAAATAGCTAAGTTAAAAAATAGACACTAACATTTTTGTTTTCTGCTTACGGTGTCAATGAACGTTAAGTTGATTTAGCATGCTATAAACAGGAACAGGTAGCCAAGTACTTCCGGCTGCTTTTTCTTCTTCTATCCTTCCAAAGAAAACACGAACATGAAGAGCCTCCGTAGCTCAGCACATTCAGGTTCTAATGCGAAGTACAATGTTTCTGCGGGTCTTTTTTTCTGGTTTTCACTTTAACAAGCTGTTTAGAACACAACTCGTGATTATGTTTATTACTACACAATGTAGAATGAGAACAAGACGTCCAACAATCAAGTTATTCAAAAAGCTTATCTTATATTTGATATTATATTGAATTATTTTACTATTTAATAAATACATGAATAAATCCAAAAAAACTATTCATTCATCATCATTCACTTTTGTTCCTGAAACATTAAAGAGGTGAACTTTACATGATTCTTGAATGTTACCAGTTTGAACATAATGCAATTTAAAGCTCTAGTTTGAATTAGAATACATTAGATTAATACAAGACAATTCAGATAGCTCCATCTGACAAGATCAAATTTTTTACACGTGACCAATGCCTTTTGATAGTCTTTATGTAATTTATTAGTAAGCCAAATATGTAAGTACTATTAGTTTACACACGGGCATAATAATGATTTCTTTATTTGCCAACCAAGTACCAAGACAACTCTTTAAAAAAAAACACAATAATATGATAATTATTTAATTCCATATTACTACAACATTATGACAATTGGTTTTCCTTAGGGTAATCGTCCTTTATCTAACTATGGACAAAGTGTTTTTATTACAAAATTCATAGTCATATTTTTAGAATAAGCAACAAATATAACAAGTTCAGTTTTCTTTGTACTGATTCAAACACCTTGATATTGCTTTCTAATTTCTAATGCAGATCTTTGCTATTTTCAGCCATTTTTTAAAACATCCATGACATCTGTGTCTCTCTGCCTTTCCTTGGTGCCCTGAATCATTCCTTTTTCTTCTCTTCGACTGGCCTGAGGAAAAATGCGGGCTGGCTGTAGCAACGGTAGCACAGAGCCTGAGGCACCAGCGTGTACAGGACATTGATCAGTAAGAAGACCGACTGGCTTTCAGCCGGCACTCTGTAGGAGAACGGAGTCCGAGTGTGAAGAGATGCACCAATATGGGAGAACTGGGCCTGTACAGTGAATCAGTGAGGACAAAACAAATAAAATTAACAATTGGTTTGACATATATTTATATTTAAATAAATGGAGGGCCCTTGAGTATTATTCATTCATTCTAGATTTCTATGAAGATGTATTTAAAGTGCTAGTGTTTTTTTCTATATCTATTCAAACATTGTATAAAACCTTATACTAATTGTATTATGTGTCTAAATGCATACCAATTTCATAAAATTCGATCAGCTGCCAAGCTTAGGGTTTAATCAGATTTATGTCTATTAACCGTAAATGGAAACTGAATTTAACAGGTATCTCAGTATCTGTTGAAAGAAAATAACAGAAGGTCATGTAATTGCTTAAGGGTGAATGATTCGCATAAGGATCTCAGAAATTCTGAAGGTACTGTATAACATGAATGCCAACAGCAATCTATTCTTAGGAAGTCACAGAGAATGGACACATTGAATTACAACAGAGTCTGCTGGAGCATCAGCCCTTCCGTTTATAGCCTGGCCAAACTGTTGACATTTAAGTGAATCCCGCCATTCCCCTCAGTCTGAAGTCAGCTTCTGCCCTTAGTGCCTCTTGTGAGTGACATGTCAGCCTGCAGCTCAAACACAATAGCTGCTTTGTCCGGTAGGGATGAGACTGAGGCGCTAGTTGCTCCTGACAATCATTAGTTTGCATTTTTCGACGTATATTGACATTTCTACTTTTCCGTAGCTGTTCATATAGACTGATTGGTGGCTGCTGAAATCTTAACTACAACTTTTGGACACATTAAAGAGGGTAGATGTGTACTTGTCTGCTTGCTATCCATCTAGAATTACTTATCTGAGAGGTCTGGCCGGAATTCAAATCATTTGGTCCAGAAGTCTCTCCCATGGATGGCCTCTGTGTGACTGAAAATAAGTTTGTTTGCTTGTTTTAAATCACTGCTCTACTGAACCCAACTAAGAGTATTCAGTTTCCTGGTTCAAATGGATACAAGTTCTGTCGAAACATGCGCAGCCTTTGATGAATCGCCTAGCTTTTTTGGCTTGGACCACAGGGACCAGCTCCAAATAAAAGTGATAAATGACACGACTTCTTCAGCCGGGTGAATTTTTTTCTCATGCACATTCAGACTGTTTTGGTAAAACTTCTATCTATATTCCAGCAAAAAGGCATCAATGTTTATTCCTTCTTAAAGTATATGGTCCTTGTCCCATCCAGAACTGAAACTAAAATGTTCAGGTCATCTTCCACAGCATCTTTCAGACGAGTGAGAATCAAGCAACTTAGTCCGCTGATCATTTTCTCCCTTAAAAGTGACAATTCAAAGGATCAGCCCTGACATGCAGTTGCAGGAGTAGTGGCATGTGACAGACTCTGACATCAACTTTGTAGGTGACGCAGTAGACGGGAATCGACCATGTGTTTTATTTGTTTTTGTTTGTGAACTAACAAAACAATATTTTGTGCTTAAAAATATCTAAGAGTTAGGACGCATGCACCCATATAAAGCCTGCATCTGTTTTTATACGTATCCCATCTTCGTGGACAGTTACAGCTGCTCGAAAGCTGAACGATAAGAATACCCAGCAGTGCATACCTGTGCCAGTGCTCCCGAGTGTACTAGAGTGAGTTCTGGCATCCATTCGCATCCTGGGACCAACAGCCCATACAGGGCGATGACGTAGTACGGGCCAGAATACAACATGCTCACCAGCATCTGACCAACAGAGACATGGTTTCAGAGAGGATCCGGATGGCAGCATTCAGATGGCGTTTTGAACAGGTTCACCATCTGTGACTTACCTGGACTTTTGGATAGGCAGAGGGATCTTTCAGGTAGGGCTCATACTGTTGCATATAGTTTTTACACCATTTGCTGGAGCAGTCCAGCGCCACCTCCAACAAACAGAGCTACATTAGTACATGGCTCTACCTCCATGTGTGGATTGGGAAGTTTATCATTGGTGGGCTACTTACCAGACCTCTAAATACACAGAACCCCAGTGCTGGGATGAGGTAGATGATAAACAGCACATCCAGAGGCCTGTGGAGAAGGCCCTTCCTCTGATCCTCCTGAGTGTTCTGACATACAACATTTGAGCTAAAAGCTATGCCTCTTTTTTTGGTTTATCTCAATTTTTTAAAAAACATTTTTGCAGCACACTGATGGGAGTGGGAAACATATGGAAACAGAGAACTGAACTGTACATTATCCCTTCCAACCACAGTGTATCTGCACAATTATTTGACTATTTCAACAATATCGTCTGCTACTTCATTAAAACAATAACTACTGGAAATGCATGCATTCAAAGTGGGCTCTATAGTCTTGTCTTAATTTAGTACTTAGTGTTGACACAGCCTCTATTTAGAAGAAATCATCTACTGATGACGGATCAGTGGTGGAGTTGGGCTTGTGCGCTGGCTTCAAATATCTGTCTATTTATTGGTTAACAGCTCCATGGCACACAGCAATTTTCAGCGGCCCTCTGATGAGTCCACTTGCTTACTGTTGGCTGAGCAGCACGTGCAGAGGGTTGGCTGAAGATGCGGAAGCACGTCCACACAGACACTGATACATAAAACATGTGGAGGATAAAGAGAGGGCTCACTTGGGTCCCGTATTTTCCTGAGAAAAACACACAACAAGATCATGTACCACAAACTCTAAAAGTAGCGGTATTTCAGATGCTCTTTTTTTTTATTCATACATCTGGGACTCGGCATCAATCAGCCCACTACATAAGCTGTCTAAAAGCATCCCATTATTTTTAGTGCGCTTACCCGCAGCATTCCCAAGAATGTAGACTATGGCGCGCATGAGAAAAGAGCCCACCCAGTAGAGTCCAATTGCTCGGTAACTGTCCCTGTGAAAATCGAGCGACGCTGCATTGTGATTTAGACAGACACACGGACAAACAGATGAACGACAGATGAACCATACCCCCACGTGATTGCAGCAATCATGAGCAGATACATGAGATAGTGGACGCAACCGTCCCAGTAGCAGATCATGTGCCCATGTGCTGTATTTATATGTGGATCGGCCTGTTAAAACACAGCGTGCACTCGTCAGTGAAATGAAAAAGGGGAAAAAGACCGAACCCCAAACTGGACGCAGAGACTAGCACTTGCCTCCTTGAGGTAAAATGTCACAAATCCATCGATGATGTTGTCTTGCTCCAGTCCAATGATCAGGTTCACCACACTTAGGAATGCATACAGGGCGAAGACTGCACAGATGCAGACAATTGGTTACACGTTTCCAACAAACTACAACAAAAAAGTTCAGTTTATGGCCCGGATTAAACATTCCCACCGGGGAGAGACAACGTTACACAAAAATACATTCTCCTCTTCTTTGCAAATTGCTTTGGAAAAAAGATATTCTTTTTGGGACACACACACATACACACACAAACCCATATATGTCCATGGACAGTTTAGAATAATCAATTAACCTAATTTAAATTACAATTTCATACAGTTAAAGCATCATTTCAAATGCGGACAGAATGTAATTCCAGCCAGGAACATTTTTTGACAATGCATACCATGGAAAAGGGGATCTGCTGGAGCCTTCTTCTTCAGCATGAAACAGGATGAGATAGCCAGAATCAGGACTGTTGCACATCCAGCAAATACGACAGCTTCAGCACTGAATGCAAAGTAAAAATGATTTACAAACCCAATAGATACTTTCCTGGTGTTTCTAAATACTCCTCATATGGGAAAGCGGTTCATCACCGCTGTAGTCGAGAGAAAAAGAAGAAAAACTGTATCTCCACGCTCATACCTGTTGCTGTAAATGAGGGAATTGAAGAAATAACAGAGGGGGATGGATGTCAAGGAGAGGACAAACACCCCCGTTCCCGCAGACGCGCTCATGGTTCAACATGAGCAGAAAAACGTCCGATCGATCAGACGAAGGGATGACAATTATTCATTTTCCAAGGAAGGAAGGCTGGGAAAGTCACGCTGTCCCTGACAAAGTGAAGAACTCCCAAACATGCTGAGCGGCTGCCTCCCGCACGCCTCCTCTGCTCCTTCCCCAGGACTGTCACCGGACACCGTCTCTGAGCGGTATCTGTGGATTCGACGTGGAGACAGACATGCATTGAACATCGTCAACAGATTGTGAGACTGCTTCGGAAGCGTGTATTTATAACCGGGTTATTGTTATTTGGTTTTGAGGTGGAGGCAGCCCGCTTGTGGAGCTGGATCCCTCTGCAGGTGGAGCAGAGCATGTAAGTCATTTCAGTTAGTGTATACACAATGAAAAATTATTCAAATTACTTAAGTTTATACAGAGCAAAAGGCTTCTTGGCCCTCTTGGTTAACTGTGTGTAATCGGTTAATTGATCCCTCAACTGGGAATTGTTAAACTCAGAGTTTGTGTTAAAAGTACTGATTTTAACTTAATGTTACAAAATGTTTGATAGAATAAAGCATTAAAAGATGTTGTTATACTGTGGCTAAATGACGAACTAAAAAAGCTTTTTAGTTGATTATTGGGATTAAATGCATCAGTCCACTTCAGACCAGAGAGAGAAGGTTCCAGAGAGATTAAAATAAAAAGTTACTAATATCCCATTAGTAGAGTGCTTAATAGGTCAGATTTAGTAGGTTTGGTTAGTCAAACATGCTGTATGTGAGGGGGGGGGGGTAGATGTGTGAGAATTCCTCTGTGTTAGGAGGATTTCATATCTATTAATGTGTTGATCTGCTCTTTTGCAGCATTATTTCCCATCACAGTTCGTTGTGGATGGACATGGCATGAGTAAACATCACCCTCTAGTGAAGGATTCTTAAAAGCTGTGGTAATGCAGACAAAACAATGGAACAATGAATAAATTCAGAAATGAAAAAAATCGGAAATTGTACTAAGCTTCTCCTAAAGTAAACATGATGGCCTAAAAAAAGACATAACTTTCCTCAAAAAATACTTTCTGTACTAAGTCAGGTGTACTTACCTCAAAAAACAATTAACTTAGAATAGTTATGAATAAGATTAATAAAATTGCTCTGAATTTAGAAAACAAGGACTAGTTAAGAAGTTAAGCTATTAAAGTTCTTCTCGATTCGAGGTTGAACAATAAAGTTTGAGTGGAAAAAAGTGTTTTGATGGAACTGCGCATGTGTAATTCCTTTAGTGAGCAGCTAGCTAAAGTTGGCGCATTAAAGAGAAAGAGATCCACACTTTTTGTCAAACAGCGAAAGGTCAGATCGATAATTTGGACTGGAAATATCTTCTTATCTTCAAACAATGGTAAAAACATTTTCAAGTCAGTTTGTGCTTCTTTTGTTAGCATATTTTTTGTTACAACATAATTAATTCTTTATTTTTTATCTTTTGCATAGTCCTTTTCCCCAAAAATGATTGTCGTTATATTTTTATTTTAAAATGTCCATAACTGGTTGTTTATTTTTTTCTTAAACCAGTTTTTTAACACAATCCCACCGTGCTGTTTACAAGGTTCGCAGCGATTACCGAATGTACCTTTTGTTAACGTTGTCAGCCAAGATTAAATAAAGTTTTTAAGCTAAAAAAAAAAAACACAACTCAGCAATGGCCTCCAGCTGGATGGATAACACGTAAATAGACAACAGCCCGTTCGTGAAGGTGTATACACGATTGTCTGGTTGTAGGAAAGTTGGTTTTTGGCCCTGTTTTTGCGGAGAGGGAGTAATAAAATTGTAGCGTATCGTTATGGCGACCGGAGGCGGCGGACTGGCGTCAAACCATGACAGCCATGAGGCTGCTTCCAACTTGGTTCAGTGTGGAGCCGCAGCGGGACTGTCAAACATGCCGGCCTCGTCCTCCACCCCGTCCGGTTCCCCGCCGGTCCCGGGCCTCCACCGGGAGCCGGTGTACAACTGGCAGGCGACGAAAAGCTCCCTGAAGGAGCGCTTCGCCTTCCTCTTCAACAACGAGCTGCTCAGCGACGTCAGGTTCATTGTGGGCAAAGGCAGGCAGGCCCAGAGGATACCGGCCCACAAGTTCGTCCTGGCTGCGGGCAGCGCCGTGTTTGATGCCATGTTCAACGGAGGCATGGCCACGACGTCGACCGAAATCGAGCTCCCTGATGTGGAGCCCGCAGCCTTCCTCGCGCTGCTCAGGTAGACGGTACAGAGATGCCTCGTGCGTTCATTTGAACATTTAGCATTAGCATAAAGGCTAAATGTAACAGCGCTAGCTGCAAAAGATGGCTTCAAATATATACTGTATAAGTAAATTAACCTTATTTTACTCTAAGGTTAGTACCAAAGTTAGATTAAATAGTCCTAAAAGCCTTTAATTTTCTCCACCATAATTATAAAATTGCATTTAGTCTTTCTTTGCAAAGTTTGATATTCTTTTTTTAATTTTATTTTACTTTTTCAAAGCTAATTTAACGGACTAACTGTCCACAGCATGGATACGTGACCGTCTATAATTCCTTTGTTTTCCCTCTACAGGTTCCTCTACTCTGACGAGGTTCACATAGGTCCAGAGACCGTGATGACAACTCTGTACACGGCAAAGAAGTACGCTGTTCCTGCCCTGGAGGGTCACTGTGTGGAGTTCCTGACCAAGCACCTCAGAGCAGACAACGCCTTCATGCTTCTCACTCAGGTCGGCGTTGGCTTCTTTAGCTCGTAGAACTAGAACCAATCTCTGTATGCCATCAACCAAATTTTATCCGAGCAAAATATCCTTAACTTCTTAGATTTGAGTGACCTGGTGACTCTTCTGTACAATTTATGTTTCTCAGATATTGGAAAAAAAAATCTGTCCTTTATTATGTCTTAGATCATTCACTGGACTTTTTACTGCGCAGCTCACTGAAAGGCTGCCTTTTTTTTTTTTCCAAAAGAAAAACACTCCATGAAGAGATGAGGTCTTAATGCAAGATTGAGCATAAAAATGTTTCAGTAACATCTTTGTCTGATTTCTAGGCAAATAAATTTTAAAAAAGATGCACGATTCAGCATCTCTCTCTCCGATCAGCACTTAATTTTGCAGATGAAGCCAAATTGATGTCTTTGTGTCCTCAGGGAACCATCTTCCAGTCATGCCTAGTAGGGTTTTTATGTCATTAGCTGATCTATTTTTAGGTTAAGCTGCTGTTTGTTTGGGTTCATGGTTTCATGTCACTGCTGGCCTTTTTTCCTCCAGCCTGCTGCGTGGGCTCAACACAGTGATTGGAAGCCTCTGACACGCATTAAGCAGGGCACGTTCCCAGCACAGCTTTCTTAATGACCAATTTTAGTCATTCCTAATTATCCTTTATTTACCATTTTCATTTTTGTGAAGCTTAGAGATGAAAAAACAATCTTTAAAATGATTTAAGAACTAATGATGACAGTCCTTTGACTTTTGCAGAATGTTATACCGAGACGTTTCAATGAGTTAAATAACTTTTCTGCACTTTTATTTGCAGGCAAGGTTATTTGATGAGCCTCAACTTGCTACTTTGTGCTTGGACACTATAGACAAAAGTACTGGGGACGCAATAAACGCAGAGGGCTTTACAGATGTTGACCTAGGTATGTGTCGTACCATAACAAAACAAACATTGTTTATTTTATTTTCCTATGTATGTATATGAAATAATGAGCATCTTGTGTGTTTGGATGTGTAGACACCTTATGTGCTGTGCTAGAAAGAGACACGCTCAGCATCAGGGAAAACCGTCTGTTTGAGGCCGTGGTACGCTGGGCAGAGGCCGAGTGTTACAGACAACAGCTTCCCCTGACCTCCGAGAACAAGCAGAAAGTTCTGGGGAAAGCTCTCCCCCTCATCCGCTTCCCACTCATGACTGTGGAGGAGTTCGCTGCCGGTGGGTGAATCAGAAAAGTCAGATGCCTTCGTCACATAGCAACGATGCATATTTTTAAACAGCATTCTGACCAGTTCAGCCATATTACCAATGTGTCCATACCAGAAACCAGTTTGATATTCTTTCTTGTGCAACAGGGCCTGCCCAGTCTGGAATATTGTTCGATCGGGAGGTGGTAAATCTGTTTTTACACTTTACAGTAAACCCCAAACCTCGGGTCGACTACATTGACAGGCCTCGCTGCTGCCTCAGGGGGGAGGAGTGCAGCATTAATAGATTCCAGCAGGTTGAGAGTCGATGGGGGTACAGTGGGACCAGCGACAGAATCAGGTGAGCTGCCATTCCTGGGTGGTAAACGGAGCAATGGCAAAGAAGGTCCAAGTATTAACCAATCGTTTTCTGTCTATCTTTCTTCTACAGATTCAATGTTAGCAGAAGAATATGTATAGTGGGGTTTGGCTTGTATGGTTCAATCCACGGACCCACTGACTATCAGGTCAACATACAGGTAAAGATCTCACTCTGAATTGTCTTAATTTGTTTTCAATTGCAGCAATCAGTTTAATTATCAGGGTATAAACTTTAGTTTTCATCCTACCAACGTGACCTTATAAGTGAAAAGTAAAGTTACACTGTTACTCAGTCTGAAACTAGCGGTAGTACAAGAATCAGGGCAAAGAAAAAGAAAAACATGGAGGAGTTTCTATACATTTCAGTAAGACTTTGATAAGCAGAGCAGAGTTTTCTGGTTGGCCTCAAAGCAGCTAGTCTAATGAACCAGGTGGAGTAAGGATAGGGAAGCAGAAACACATGATGTGTAAAACGTCTGAGAGGGGGAAAGCAGGCTCATGCTGGGAGGTGATAAGGACGTCAGAGGCAGAGCAGATACGAGAGGTCGTCGTCCAACGGAGACCAGAAGGGTCCTTTGAGTCAGAGCCAGTGACCCTGCCGCTAAGTGCAAGATAAGAGCTCAAATTGGAGATGACAGGGTTTATTTAAGTTTCTTACCTTCAGCGGTGACATTTGAACTCTTCATGAACGAGACGGCCTTCGTCCATTTCCCTAATGCAGAATTACAAGTTCAAACAGATTCTACTTAAAATGGCAGCTGTTTTTTTAACTCTAAAATGGAAGTAAATGTATCCTTTGAACATTTCTTTAAAATAAATGACTATTCTTCTTTTTTTTTTTTTTACTCTTTAGATCATAGAGAGCGACAAGCGCATTACTCTGGGACAGAATGAGACGGGATTCAGCTGTGATGGCACAGCCAGCACCTTCCGGGTGATGTTCAAAGAACCCGTGGAAATCCTTCCAAATGTCAGCTACACTGCATGTGCCACCCTAAAGGTCGGTTTCACCCTACTCCTAAGCCAATTGAAAATGAAACGAGTGGACATTACCGTTATGCTAAACTTGGGTCTCATTTTAAAACTCAGGGTCCAGATTCGCATTACGGCACCAAAGGTTTGAAGAAAATCACCCAGGAGTCGGCAACAGGGACCAAGACGACATTTCTCTTTTTTAGTTCACCTGGAAATAACAACGGCACATCAGTGGAAGACGGACAGATACCAGAGATCATCTACTACTCATAAAATCAACGTGTTGCAATCCAGGTACAGTGAACCAGGGAGACCTCAGACTACTGGGAAGACTGGACAGCTAAAGGTGGACATGGTGCCTCAGGATCCCCTGAAACAACGAATGTGTGTGTGTGTATGAGTGTGTGTATGTGTGCTGTATGTATAAATCAGCTGTTACATACATAGTGAGGAATGGGAAAAAATGACAGCTGGAGGAGGAAGAAAAAGTTTTGGGGCGCTTATCTTGTTCTCTCGTGTAAATGATGCAAGTACTGACATCCTGTCTGTGTTATTTTTAACTGCCCGTGTTGTAGGAGTCTTATGTTGTCCAAGTAAATCTACGAGGACGGTTACCATCTGTCATCAATGCCAATTCATTTAGTCACTTTTGTGCAGATGCAGTTATTGAAAATAAATATGTGTTTTTTTTTTTTTTTTACTATGTAAGATATATCAATTCTCTGTTCCTGCATTAAAGGCTCAGAGTCAGTTGTATGATAATATTATCAGTGGTACATGTTGTGACTGCCGATTGGCTTAGCACTTAATAAAATGTAAATAAATCCAAGAAAAGATCAATGTTCTGGGACTATTATGCTTAAATGACTGAGAAATTTGTTTTTATTTAGCTTTTGATGGTAAAAAGTTGTATGACCAGAGTAAAATAGCTTAATCTGATAAGTTCAGTAAAGGCTTTATATGTATTTCCCCCTTTCTGTCACTAGGTGGTGCCAGATACTCGACTCGTACAGTTAAAGCTGTTGTTGGACAATGGAGGGGGTGGGAGAAAAAAAAAGCCCTTCAACTAGACATTTAATTTTATTCGTCAGATCTTTATATCCTACTATTAAATGATCAAAGTGACAAATGATATTTTTGTTGAACATATTCAAATACTAATGCACATATTTAGTTAAATAACTAAGACAACATTGTACAAATTCTAAAGCAAGAAATTGGCCTCTGTCTGGCTTATATCAATAATAATTCTTTCAGTCCTGCAAGATATCTTAAATCTCTTGGGAGGTGAAGGGGATGGAGTGATGTCACAGTAACCTTCAGTCCTCCCAAATCCTGGGGAAAATTTCATTGAATCCCCTGACATATGTGCATTACCCTTATCCTGTTAGAGAGAAGGAAGGCTGTCTCCTGAAACCTGCCTCTGCATCTCAAACATGAAATGCTCTTAAATCGCTTAAGCTGCACGTTCCAACGAGACAGGCGGTGGAAAGAAGGCCTTTTTAGACAGCTGTGAGTGGGCTTTGATGAGGAGACTGATCCATGAAGGCTGTCAGGTGAGTCACCGAGACCTGAGAGCTTCTCCCGCTGACTGCCCACATAGACAGCCTTTTAAAACAGAAATATCCAAGAAAATCAGTTTGACGCAGGTTTTTTTTCCCCCCACCCACCACATAAAAGGCTTTCTAAACGCCAGCAGGACAAATAGATGAGCCACTTTTCTCACCTGTGTTGTTTTGAGTATTTTTCAAATCTGTCAAAATCAAGCTCTATGAAGGCACCATAGGAGGGAGAAAGTGGGGATCCACGGATAGTCATATATGGAGATATGCAGTTAAAAGTCTGTTATGCGAAACGTTTTCCTAAGTTATTATATTACAATTCTTTGGCAGGGCTTTGTGGCGTTCAGATGTGTGTGGTTGTGTTTCTCTTGTGTGCGTGGGTGGGTGCACGGCAGCACAATGAGCTGTGTTTCACTGCATGAGACTTCTACTTGAGTACTGACAGCAGGGGAGAGGACTTATGGCTCTGCTGTTTTTGACAACATATGACTGCACAGAACTGGGGTGTTCATATCATAATGAGTCAGAATCACAATATCACGAGTTTTGATGAGATAACACCCATTTTGCCAATTTGGCACAGTCATTTTTCCACAGGAGGACACACTTCTACATAATCCGAAAAAACTATCGAGGATGCCACACATGTTAATACAGTTGATAATTAAACAGCTTTAATTGAAACAACAAATTAAAAGGCTTTTTTTTTCACTCTGAAAGCAATTTGTTTATATTCCACTGTTTATTTCTGTATATTAAAAAAAACGCTTAAAAGAATGTCCTCAACTGTGGACAGCAATAATTATGATATGCTTTAAAAAGAGAAAGGTAAATCCAAAATTTACAATATTTTAAAACAAACAAGGGAAAACACAGACAAAAAATGCAACACCTACCGAATATTTCTCCATAATCATTCATTAGAATTAGAAATGATTCACTGACAAGCAGACTGCAGTTTGTGATAATGAGATGTGATGTGTAAACTTATTTTCTTTTTTGGGGTCAAGTATGGGAAAAGCTAACTGATGAAAGCAAACATGATAAAGCAGAACATTGTGGATTTTAAAACATTGTATCCTGATGGGAAAGATGCAACAAATGATGGACTGCAAATACGTTGGTCTTCACCTTGAAGAGGATTCGGTCATGTCTGTACCAAGATGACGCACACCTGCCCATACTCTGTGATAAAGAAGGAAATCAGCCACAGGAGCAGAACCAGAGACCTTAAGACACCCATCAAACTATTAAAGAAGAGTGTTTCTGTGCTGGGGACTGCTCTGGAGCTGATTAGAAATAGACAATAATGCAAACCTCTACATAACATAGTGATCAAATAACAGGCCTAAAGCATCCATACCCAATCACTAATTATTTTTAATGATTTACAGTCTAAATAGGAAGATTTTGCCCATCTCAAAGAACTGACAAAGAATTTCCGATAAACTTACATGTTGTAAGTTATCTATACACTCAGGAAAAAAAGAACTGATAAAAGAATTTTGTAAGGAATATGCCTCAGGTAAGAAAATGTTCCCTGTGCCATGATCTTTTAAAGTAGAAAAATAACATTTTGTTAATGTTGTACGATAGGAAAAAGTCATCACTGTGCTAGTCCTGTCGTTCACAGCTGGAGGGTCCATCCATCCGTCTGCTTTCTATCCCAGCCTGATTATATTAGGAGTCATAGGGGTGCTGGAGCTTATCCCAGCTCCCACCGGGTGGGTGTCATCAATCCATGCCCATCAATCATCTCAGAACCAACACTAGAAGGTTTCTGGTTGAAATGTTCTTCAGATTCTCCCTCATGGAGCTTCAAAACCCTCAAATCCCACAATAAGAGTATGTTCTGGTTATAAAAAATGTGTTCTATTGCTTGCAACCTAACAAACTCTGTCTTTTATAACCCCACAAATAGGTTATACAATACTTTGAGTGAGAAGCTGAACATCAAAAGGATTATTTTGGTTTCCCATGGTGTCCCTGAGTGAGTGAACATCTCATTATTTCCTGATTTAAGGCAATTGACCAAATTTAATGCTTCTCTTTTAACCAAACACAGAGAGTAATATGCAGCTTTTTCCACAGACCAGGTTCTTTTTGAATATCTCATTAAATTCTAGATTTGATTCAGTCTTGTTATATACTAAATACTCTTTTAGGCAGCAGAAAGAAGATTGACCTTTTTGTCCATTACTGTGCTCGTGCTGGATTTCAGCCTCAGTGTGCAGCCAACCCTTTTGGTTTAGGAGCATGATTTATCTGAGCACTTACAAATATTCAGATATTCTGTACACGTTGTTCGCTTGACACATCCTCTGTGGCTGCGATTTCTTTGAAATACATTCATGCAGAAGGCTCTGTTTTTAGATGCAGCTCTGGATGTGCGTGGCGAGACGGGAACCTGCGGGGATGAGTAAAGGTGCTTGTTCGAGTACATGTGTGTCCTTCCTTGTCCAGCTGGTACAGGTTATGCAATCTGGATCCTGATGATGTAAGACAGTTGGATAATTAATTGCTTTGTTCACACGACTGTGTGCTGAGCATCAATAAGCCCTTTGTTAGTCGAATAAATCAGTTAAAGTTGTTCACATCAATTCTAACAGCTAATTTCTGACCTCTCTTTAGTCAGAGGTTAAATTAGAAGAGTATCCAGGAGACTTTAGTGTTTTAAATGAATAGGTCACATGACAATCTGATGTTACCCATTCAGGCCAAAGGCTCTTTTTATCTAAACATGAAGGTTTTTTTGAGAACTTTGAATTGTTTACCAGGACTTTTTTAGCCTCTCAGGAAACCAGAAATGCTAAATAAAAAGTATTAAAAAACTATTGATTTGTATCCATGTTTTTCTGTATTAATCAACCTTAAGTATGTTTGCAATATTTGACCGAGAAGCACTTTGTATGAAGAAGTGAAAATCAAGCTCTACCACCAAAGGATTTCATTCTGTTTAAGAAACATGGCGGCAGTGGGTTCAAATCTGCTTAAAACAAACAAAAAGTAAAAGAAAATGCATTATTGATTGTCAGTGATAATCGTCTTATTCTCATGCGGCCACATTCGACCCTTTGGGTCAAAAGGTAAATATAACTGATGCAGTCAAAGAGTGAATATACCTGTTTACCTGTCTGAGAGACTTGTTTACAACAGCGATTAATTGTGTGTACAGAGAATCGGCACCTGGGCCCTTTCAGTGTGACCATTGGTATTCAGAGATGTAAATTTTCTTCGGTGAAGCGGTCGGGCGCTCTGCAGGGTGTCAGCTCTCTCCATCTCAGTGTATAATTGCTGGCTTGTTGGCAGGAGACATAAAGCAGCCTGAAGAGGGAGGAGAAATATTTCCATAATTCACAGTGCTGCACAGAACAGTGACCCTTTTGAGGATAATGACGAAAATATGTACGCTCCAAATTGGCCCAACTTCGGTGAGACCAATCTTTAGGTTGTTCCGTATGGTTTGGGTTATTTGGGTCACTATCTGAAAAGTATCTTTAATGTTTTGGACGATTGCTCTTTTGATGGAGTGTCTTACTCAAAATCTTACCGGGGCATTTTCACGAGACGTGAAACTCGACTTTTGACAGTATTCCCCGAGGCGTTTCCATTCTATGACCAAAAATATAAGACTTTAGGGAACAGGATGTAAATGTCAGCAAGACAGGGAGACTAGTTGGGAGAGGAATGCCATCCCATTCCTTACAGGGTTCCAGCTGTTCAATAATGTAGGAATTTCCATGTTCTATCTGTTATTTTTTCATTATGTTAAATCCTTGGACTGCAGGCCACTCATGCACATGAACTGGGTTTTTTTTGTGTTGTTTTTTTTTTACAAAGAACACGCATTAGATACAATATGTGGCTTAACATAGTCTTGCTGTAAAATTCAAGACCTTCAAGACCCTGATAAAGATTTGATAATCATCGAGATGGGGGGTGGGTTGTATTGTTTCTGAATGCCGTAAAAAAACATATTTTTGTTTTGAAGATGAATTTCCAGAAGTAGAAGTTAATGGTTGAGCTGTGGTGTGGTGGTTAGCACCGTCCCTTCACAATAAGAGGGTTTCCAGTCCCCGGGGGAGCTTCCTGTGCGGAGTTTGCATGTTCTCTTTGTGTCTGCGTGGGGTTCTCTCCGGGTTCTTTCTCACCCGTTGTCCACTGGGATGGCCACCAGCCCCCCCTGCAACCCGGTTTGGAAGAAGAGGTCTGGAAAATGACTGGAAGTCAAAAGTTCCCCTGGCACTAATGCTCTGATCGGAGATTAAATGTCTAATGTTTCACAAAATCAAAGTTGTAGGGTAGAAACATTCATTAGGAGACCACTACTCCACTGAGCGTCCTACCTGTCTCAGTGGGATTCCCACCAGATTTAATCAGAATAACAAGCATCCTTCACCGCTGCCTTTACACGGATGACCTGAGCAGCTGCATGACTTAACTTCCAGAGCACGCAGTTCGGATGAGCAGAGGAAACCTTACGGCGGCTGTAATTTGAAGAACGTTTTTTTTAAATTCTCGATCCGGTGAGTGAACAGCTCCAGGGTCGCCATCTACACGTGTGACTCCGTACCAAAAGATTCTGTGCCGAGTTACACGAGCTGATTCAAAACTGGGGCTATTTCCTCAAACACACACACACACAAAAAAAGAGCACCATGAACACTGTCTGCTGGGGACGGCTGGCCTGGACCAACCTTAGCCCCCTGTGCTCTCCAGCACCAGATGTAGGTCGCAGAGTGCTGCAGGGACTGAGGGGTGGGGGTTGGGGGTGGGGGGGGGGATGTGCCAGGCCGTGTTTATGTGCGATGGTGGGGAGGCTGGAATGCATTGTGCACACAAGTGCATGTGCGTTAAGAGAGGACTAAAGCAGGGGGGGTGAGGGTAGTGGATGAGTACATCATCAAGGACATGCCCCCCAGCGCAGGCTCCATCGCTGTCACATTGCATCGCCACAAACGGGCCTCATGAAGAGTGACAACCCGGCAGACCAGGCCGAGCGCGCGCTCTCTTGTAGGTCCCTCACTGCGGCTCTTTCCTTCTCTTTTCCCCCTCTGAGCTCAAGATGCATTAGCAGCTAATTCATTAAAAGATAGAAGGTGATGGATTCGATGAAACGTGACAGTGAAAAGGTTCACGAGCTCTTCTACAGCGAGCATTTGAAAAGGTTCTTTATCAGATTGGGTTTTACAAGGATTTCTCTTAATGTTGCTGAACAAAACAAACACAAAAAAAATCAGCATTGTGCTCCATTTATAAGATGAGTGCGATGACCGAGCAAGAGACGGTCAGCGTGCCGTGGCTCCAAAAGGACCAGATTGGGAGGTCAAAAACCGGGCATGTCTTTATAGCTGTGTGAACTTCACACATGGTTTAGTTGCTCCGTCTCGATTTTAGACGGATGTCAACAAATGTTCCTCATATAATTGCTCACACGTGGAAAGTTTATTCCTGCCTTTTTCCAAATTCATTAAACACACAAAGAAAGAGACCAAATTCAGACCTTGGGGCCCATCTGGATGCTTTGTGTAGACATAGCAGCCACGTTATGAGCTAAATGTCAGTCTGAAATTAGAGAATGAATCGTCCGAGTGATGCCAATTCAGTCTCTGGGGGATGCCTGTTGGAGCCACTTTGAATGGCAATTCATCAGAGTAGTTGTTAGAAAAATATCTATTTTACCAGAAAGTAAATAGTTCCAATTTCCAAGTATTTTGTATTATACTTATCAGTATGAGTTACACATTTCTAAGTCAAATAACATAAGTGCTACGTAATGAAATTGATTTTAAAATCTCTGTCCAGCACATCCTTTTGCTGTGAAGACATAGACCTCTAGGATTCGGATTCTCTAATCCAACATGATTGCAGTGGTGATGGAAGGGTTCTCCAGCGCGTGCCAGTTGCAGCACATCTCCCCCCCCCACACACACACTTTCACCCAAGCCTCCGTGCACCCTCCCTTATCATCACAGCTGATTACACTGCTGCAGTCCAAATGAAGTGTTAACCTTGTCTCCTCCATGGCCGTAAATAGAAGCCACAGAATGGCATGCGAGTCCAGCTGGATCCAGTGTCAGAACGGTGCAGGGGTTTATCTCCTTTCTCCTCGTGCTGCGTGCCAGAAGGTGTCCCGGAGTTGCTGTTTGTCACTTAACTGCGCTCTGCTGTAAATGGGCTGTGAAACCCCGAATGCTGACATCTTTAGGCAATGAGCTACATATGCCACAGCCAATGATGCATGGAGCAATAATGCATTAATGATGCACATAAATATTTTAGCCGCTATTCAGAATGTGAACTATTATTGTCATGCCTCTTCAAAGAAGTTATGGTGAAGGCAGCGTTCCCTTGGGATCCTTTGTACAGGTCGTTCGTTTTATATCATCAACAGCACTGATGTTAGGCATCAAAGTTAGAGAAACAAGCATTAAAATCACATGTTCACAAAAAGAAATGATGGGTCCCCAATCGAAGTTCTGGCAGGAGAGGTCTGAAATGCTGCAGTACAAAATTCTAACTAAATGGAGAGTTTGTTTCTTGTCTAAATCCATAAAAATACTCCAGACTGAAAAGACTGCAGCTGCCAGACATGAAATGAACCAGGAAATGAAATGACTGTCCTTTTGTAGCTTTCATCGTGTTTTAGGCTTGAATAAAAAGCTTTTTCAGTTCAATTTTAAAGCTCGTTCTGTCTCCTTGCATCTATCTGACCTCCTGATATTATACAGTCCTGCACTCACTCTGAAGATCCTCCAGCAGGATGATCTTTTCTGTGCCCGACTTTAAAAACCAGAGTAGACAAAGCTTAGTTGTGAGAGCACAAAAGGTAAAGATTGAGCTGTGTGACGATATTAGGTTAGCAGAATCAATGAGCTCTTTTAAATCAATCATTGAAATATACTTTACATAAGAAAGCCATCCATCAGTTTATTTTCCATTCCAGGATTTTCCAGTTCAGTGTTGCTGGAGGGTTGGAGATTATCCAAGCTGTTATTGGAGGGACTCTCCTAATGATTTGTTCTGTGTTGTTGATTGATGTTCCACAATATTAAAATCTGACCCCATAACCAGTGCTATCTGGCACGCTTACCGTGTACATCACACCTTCCTGCACCTGACAACAGCTTTGTTTCAGTATAATTCCTGGATAGACTGCTGTGCTGAATTTAACAAAGAAAAAGATTCTATAGACTAGGATCATGCATTTAATGTGTATTGATCCCTTATGGCAAGTACCAATTCTCTTACAGTCCACATTTTAACTCAGTATTTAGATCGATGCATCCCTTAAAAAACAAAGTATGTTTTTTAGTGACAATGTTTAAATACTAGAATATGAGAATGCACAAAAACAGATCTTGGATAGGGAAAATTCATATTTAATGACAGATGTTAAATCCATTCATTTGGTTTTGGATGCAGAAAAATTAAGTTGCATTACAAATACATTTGCAAAAGACATTTAGATTTGCTGCTTGTTAAAAATAGTGGTACTGTTGATTCTTATGTAACCACAAAGCAACAAAATGATCTGATCATACGAGTCTGGAATATCGCGGTGATATTCCAGTACTTAAGCGATATATTTGAAGATTTAAAAAAATAGTCCATACGTCTCAAATACTTAAATCATTTTCAGTGCCTTGTGAAACGACAGCTCCAGTAATACAATCTGCAGACTTGCTCTTCCAAATACATAAACAGGAATGACATCCAATGAATTATTAACATACATTTCATACCTCCCGTGCGGTGTCAGTTGTGGTAAAACTGACTGAACATATCAATCTCATAAACATGTACGTAGATGTGTGTCGTCTAAAGAAAGTTATCAGAATACTGACAAATGTAGAGAACCCGGGTGATTATCGTGGAGGTCAGTAGCGGTCATAATGTGGTCTCTGATAGGAGTTGTATCCCTGGTTGGAGCTCGGACGTCCTGACTGATAGCCACTTCCATGCCCCCAGTGCCGGTCTCTATCTCTGTCTCTGTCGTGCCAGTGCTGCTGCCCCCGATTGTCCCCTCGCCAGCCTCTGCCTCCGCCCCATCCGCGGTCGCCATGTCCACGCCGGTCCTGGAACCTTCATGAAGACAAACAAAGACACTGATGTTTGCCTTAAACTTAACATATACAAAACAAAAACACACGCTTAGCTATTACACAGATCAGAGTGAAACCAAGAGCATCCAGTACATTTTTCTAATTCATTAAATAGGCAGCACTGACCTTCAGATTCAATGACAATGTTAGGATTGCAGAATGCAGGCTGTATTTTAACCTGAATGCTATTCAGACTTTTAAAAAACAATTCAAACAGAAACCTTTTTCCTACTTTGCATGTTCCCCCATTGAGGTCAATTTGAATCTCAAACTGTTTGAAGTCTTATTTGTGTATTTCAGTCCGTCTGTCTATTATGTATACGAGTTCATTTTTACAACCCTTTCAACTTGGTTTGACTCGTCATTCTTGTCCTTTGGTATCTCTGGTGGTTGTTTTTTGTGTCTCTGAAACCTTGTGTCATCCTGCAGTTCTTTGTAGTTGTTTGGAACTCATTGATTTGCGATCACCTTTTGACAGATGGATTACCTTTTAGACCTAGTGCATTAACCATTACCTCAGCTTTAGGTTCAGCAACAGGTGACCCCTGACACTAACCCCAGGCCTTTCCGTGGCACACCCACTCAAAATATGTGGGAATGCTTGCAGTATCTTCTAATCAAGTGTCACAACAGCATCTTGTTGTTAGACTTTGTAACATATTTAACTATAGGGCTTGTTCCATTGCCGGGGGGGATGTGAAAAAATTCCATGAAATTCACAATATTAGCTGGACTTTGCGTAACAGTACCGGTTGTCCCTGCCACGCTGGTTTCCTCCTCCACGCCCACTCCAGTTCTCCACGATGGGTGGAGGGTCCGCTGGACGGTTCAGATACTGCTGGTATTCATGGTCCTCTGAAGTAAACCTGTGGCCAAACAGCTCTTCGTAGTTTTGCGGATTTTCCGCAGTCTCTGTCATTCTGTGAAGAGAAAGAAAAACACACCTAAGCAACGGCGCCAAACACAGCTAGTCTGTTTGCTAATTTCATTTAACTTTCCCCAAAGGGGTTCCACGACAATCAAACGGTCCTGAACACAATATGCGTTAGCAAACGTTACAATTTACTCAACAACTATTACAGAGGGAATTGGCAAAGCCACATTTGAAAACAAACCTCAAAACGGATGTGTTGTTAGCATTTGTTACAATGTAAGAGTGGTGCGCAGTTCCAATATCAGACCGTCACTAAATAGCTTCCCCCGAAACACACGAATAGAATGTAATGGTTCCGCGAGCGTGCGCACCTGCTCTTGATTGATGCCGTGACAGTCAGAAAAAAAGGACCAACGATTAAAATCGGCCCTTTAATAGATTCCTTAAAAATTGGAAGAGCCACTTTGGGCCAAGTAAAAGAGACACATTTTGAGTTGGCGGCGCAGCTAATAACTTCTTTATTTCTTCTTTATTTTTGGTTCATTTGGGAGAAAGTGTCAACCACTGGAAGTCAACACAGCCACTTAAAAACATGTAAGTGGGGATGTCACGCGACAGCGCAACATATCTGCTTTTTAACTGCATGTTTAGTTTAGTTTGTTTGTTCGGGTCGGGCCCTCGGCGTCTCGTGGGTTCGGACCACGGCGTGGGGTGTTTGTCAGGATAGAAACCGCATACGGCACCGCAGATACCACGGGTTTTTTAAAAAAGAGTGGGCGGCTGCTGGGAGAAGCAGGTGGAAGCCGCTCCGTGTCGCTGCTGCCGCCCTTCATACCGACACGCAATCCCACCGGGGGGAGGAAGAAAAACTCCGCGCGCAGACTTTTATCAGATAAAGCGAAAATATCAACTTCATTCATTGACGCCGATTGTTGACAGACGCCGGGGAAGAGACCAACCCGGTGGCGGATTTATTGTCCGGAGTGGGGGGAGGAGAAACAAACGGGGAAGGAGAGAAAACTTCCAGAAGTGCATGTGGTTTCTGTGAGAGCGAGCCTGACAACCCGGTGAATCGAGTTTACCAAGTGCCTCTCATATTTCACTTGTCTCTCGGCAAGCGAAACGGACTTGTTCGAGGCTGGTTCACGGGAGTGTGAACTCAGTGGGACCACTGACCATCTTCGGACTTTTAGCTGCGCTTTTAAATAGTGTTTTTACCCCCCCTCCTCCTGCTCTCTCTTCTGTCATTCTAACCTGCAGATAATACGGAGTTTCTCCTTAAGTCCGCGGCAATGGGGTGAGTAATCCACGGAGCGCCTTTCGTGACACCTGCACTCACTGTCGGCTTCTGTGGATTCATTCCTTAAAAATACCTCCGACTACCGACCCAGTTTTCTAGTTCTGTGAAGCCTTCTTGACTTGATGGAGCCATAACAGATCGACGCTGTCATATATGTGCCTGGGAATTATCCTTGTATGTGTTTTTTTTTTAGAGGATGAGGAGAATCTGGATTCGTGGGGAGTCTCTTGGTGGACTGTGAAATATCTCGAGCTGTAAAATCTAAGATGCAGGTTTTCGGATGACAAAAGTGTAGTGTTTTCTGGGCAGATCTTCAGAATGATGAGTTGGGACTTGTCTCCTACCTGTGCAAATATAGCTATGTGAGGGGTTTTGACACGGAGGTGTCAGTCAACACTGCCCACTAATAAGGGGAGATGGCACTTGTGGGAGTGTGTGTGTGTGTGTTTGTGTGCGTGTTTTCCACCGGGCTGTGGGTAGTGATGTGTACTCCCCCACTGTAGCTGACAGTAGGGAACGGGGCCTTATTTTGCCTCCACAGCAGAATAATGCTGTGGACAGCAGTCCACGGTTGTCAGTGTTGACCCTGTGGCTCGTTGCCATAGTTATGCAATCACTAGTTGTCCTCACAAACAGGATCCACGACTGAGTTTTGTCTTTTTGGCTTCAAACTCCAGTGTGCAGGGCCTCTTGTTGATGTAGAACTGGCGATATTAATAAGTCATTACACCTAATTTCTCTCAAAATGAGTATTTATAATGGACATTTAGTATGAATATCAGTAATAGCTGAGGTTTAAATGTTATTAAGCCTTGATTTGTGTCAAATTCTGCATAATTATTTGACGGTTGCCTCAAAGTGCCCACAGTGTCGTGTTGTTTATTTCCCCTTGCTTTTCCACACACACAGTCCAAAGTGTGTTTTTAACAGCCCTGTCTTCCTCTTGGGAATTTGGTGTTGTTGTGGAGCTGCTTTCCTCTCAAGAGTTTGGTGTAGTCATCAAACCGGTTTAAAAAAAGAAAAGGAGTCTGTCTGGTTGTATCATGAAACTGGCCCGGTGGACCAGCAGCTGCATAGCAACCAAGCCAAGGCACCATGTCACACCTCCAGACAGAAACACGGGGAGGAGATCTCCCTTTTCCAGTTTCCAGGTTTCAGTCGGTGACAGTCACTGGTATTACCCGAGAACTGACTAGATTTCTGGTGGGAGGAAACTATCTCCTTGGCAATTTCATCTGCTAATTCAAACTTGCCCCCTTACAGTCTTTTAAGGTTTGTTTCTTTTTGTGTGTGTGGGGGGGGGGGGGGGAGTTGTTGCTGAAATTAAACATGTTGCAGTATCTCATTAGTTGATCTATACAAAAACATCTTTAATTCATTATTAAACAAAATGAAGAAAATCCACTCAGGGGTCAAATCCCTTCAATATAAAGGGTCAGGGTGACAATTATTAGTTTTACATTTCTACATCTGACACCTATTTGCCTTTATTTACAGTAAATATAAATGGTTTGTAATACAAACGTAGTCAGTAAGTACAGAATGCCTTTCACGGAATATTATTTTCCCAAGACTGCTAAATGGTCAGTTTCTTCTTTTTTAACTTGGTGTAAAAAAGTGAACCTGAAAAATGATTGCAGTCAAAAAGCGTAAATATTTCATGGACTTTTCCTTTTTATTGAGGATTGCCGTGATATGATAATTACAGATATGTTTGCAGTCTCGTGCAAAAGTATTCATCTTGATTAGATTTGCACTTTATTGTGCTATATATTTTTCCTCATTGTTCTTGATAAAGATTCAGTGATTTCTGCCCCCTAAGTGCACACAGTGAATTTGTTGTCTAGTTTGTAGAGCATCCACTTTTTGAAAAACATATTAATGTATTCATTGTTTGTATTATAATTAGGTTCTTTTTTTCCTGATACTCTTGGCTCTTAAATGGAGTCGTGAGTTAATTATAAGCCATGCGGCGCACTCGCGTACGATAACGCCCACAACGTCAATCTTCTTCTCTTGTCCCTTTTCAACTGTAAATCTTGGATGATATAATCTATCATTACTCTCTTGACCTTGAAACTATAGTTATTGATATAATTTCTCTGATAAATGGTGAGGAGCTCACTGTGTGTGTGTTGGTCATAATATTTTAAAAAAATGTGCAGCTTTCTTGGTAAAATCAGTCTTGCAGTAATTGAAATTAAAAAAGACGAGAAAATCTGGATTTTGACTCAGATTGACGATGGTCTTTTTACAGGAATAAACGCCAACACAGCCGGCAATACAATCAGCATATTGCTATTTAAAGTAAGCCATGCGGGGAGTAGCCCTAACACAGGGATAGATGATAATCTCCTGGCTGGCCAGAGAGAATGACATCCAAAGGCTTAACACTCATTGATTAGGCTCTGTGACATGGAAGTGGGTCTCCTGGCTGCCCTGGTAGGCGAGTGGATTTTAAGCCTAATCAGTGTGTCCGTCTCTGGTTTGCAGAGAACTGTTGTGGAGAAGTGCAGAGGAGTGGAGGCAGGTCTTACTGTTAAAAAAATTATGTCTAAATGAAAGGGGACAGGCTTACGGTGGATTGAATGTCTCCTCACCAGATGGTGGAAGCCAAGGAGGCCATCTGCTGTCACGCTGTGTTTGTGCAGAGACTTCCTCACTTCCTTTTCCTTCGCTCTCTCAGATTAAGTTGGGCTCCTCGTCCCACCTCAGTGTGGTGGATGGGGTCCTGCTGGGATCGCTGGGGTGAAACTGGCATGCTGCCTGTATTCCATGGGACAATGTATGATGCCAGAAACCGGTGTTAGCTATGAAGGTCACTGCTGGTGACTGCTCTTAAAGCACACATAGACGCGCTTCAGTGAGTGACAGAAAAAAAGAGATTTCTATTTCTGCATTTAATGTGAATGGGTCAAGGGAATTCGTAGCCATGATTTTGTCAAATTATGAATCGAGCTGTTCTAATTGATCTTAAGTCCCACTTTGGATCCACATCCACTGTCGTTTGACTTAGCTGTGTCTTGGCCTACTATTCAATATTTGGATCATTTGGAATACTGCTAAACTTAAAAAGCCCCAAAAATGATAAATTATGTTGAGTCCAAATGATTTATTCTATTTTTAGATCCAATATTGGAGCAACATTTCAAACCTAATGCCAAGCTCTCTTTATGGCTCTACACCACCGTTTTACAATCTGCCAGGCAGAGTGGGGTGCATATTTTCTTGTGAAGATCAATGAACAGTGGTCCTAAAACCCTTTAACCAAGACACAAGGAGCTATTGGACGGTTAGGTGGCCAGCTTTCTTTTATGTCGGCAACAAATGGGCAACCTACTCCACTTGGCAGAATGCAAAAGGAAGAGGGCCAAGTGCTGGAAACAAAGTGGGGGAAGAGGACTTAAAAATGACATTTTTGTGGAAGCAACGTCTTTATTCCCTACAGCTGTCCCACTGTCCTATTGTAGCAGCGGCCAACAAGCACATCCTGATGCTCTTTCTTCAATATGGAGGGCAAGAAACTTTATATCGCCAAAGTCTGATTTGACTTTGTTTTTAGGTGTAGAATGAAGCTGTTTAAGTGAATAAATGTGGGCTGTTTTTGCTGATCATGTATCACACTCAAGAGGTGGAATAATCATCCAGCATTGTTGATTTTGATCTTAAAAAGCATCAACTTGACAGAATTGTTATTGGCTGAGGAGGAAGTGATGTCTCCCAAAGTCACAGCCCTGTCTGACAGATGATTGGAATTAAACACAGTAATTTGACCAGTTATTGCCAAGAACAATAATTCCACAGATAGATGAGAAAGCAAATATCCCAGACATTGTTTTTGCTCTTTTTCTTTACAATTGTTTTTCTGCACCATGTAACATAATGAGGAAGCAGTGCCTCATAAGAGCCCTCGTGGCACAAATACTGCTGCTAACAAACACATTCACATGAAGTCTCCATTAAACTGGGACGGTTTGTGCTTTCTGTAAATGTCAGGAGAGGAAGATGAAGGCATAATGCAGAGTAGTTGTTCCGTTCAGTTCTGCAGCATTTGGAAGGAATCTTAGTTTAGGTTATTGCTTTCAGTATCTGGGGGGGCAACCTGCTCTCTTTGATTTCCTCACATCATTAGTAACACAGCAAGCTTATTGCAGCCAAAGCCCAGGTGGGGAGGCTGTAATGGACCCACAGAGCTTTTCTCCACTGACCATTGACCGCTTATGTGCACCAACAAATCGTTGCCCTTATTTATACAAGAGTCTCTGGCAGGTGAAAAAGAGAGCATCTGAATTCATTAATCTGACTGAACGCATTTGATTTAAAATAAGTTTAATTAACGCATATTTTTCTTTTTATATATGAATCCCTTTCGGATGTCTCAACTTTTTTCCCCCCCATTTTTCTATGTTTATAGTGGTACATTGACTGATTTGAAAATCTTATAACCGGAGGAAAAATTCCTTGTGTTCTTATAATGACTGAGATGTGCTTTTGTTATTTGTCCAACTGAAATGCCAAAGGAGCCTTGAATTGTTGCAGTCAACACCAGCAGAGAAGGTGGGGAAAGCACCAAGCATACTGTGGATTCAAGCAATTTTTAGAGACAAAGTCCAACACAGTGTGTTATAGATATGCTGTTAGCCGTATTCTGATTTGAAGTAATTTATTTATAAAATAGTGTTGCTGCTGACCTTCCCAATTAGAGTAATACGGATTTTTGTAGAGAAGAAAACGGATGTCCTGCCTGTAAGTGATATCTAGGGTCTATTTTTTAATGATACATTTCAACAGTGTGTGGGAATTTTCCTCAGGTCACCTGAAATAATGCTCTGGATTTCACTTCAATGAACCCTACGAGTTTGTATCTTGCCTCTGGGTGATTAAAAAGTAAAAGAAAAAGGGAATCATACTTTGGTAACTTAAACTGGCCTTTAAGTTCAAATTCGCCAGCTGACTAATGAAGATGTCCTATTACATAATCATTAGTTACCTTGTGCCTGTGGGTTGGCATCCAGACGTACCCGTATTCACACCAGTTTCTGCATTTCTGCCCATTTCACGCTCCAGGCAGGGTGTAAGCCAGTTTATTGGTGCTATGTTTGACCTGTTTGGTGAGACTTGACACCTCTTACAACAGTTTTCTGAGAAAAAAACGGGAAAAAAAACTAAACAAAGTGCTGAAAGGTCAGACAATTCTGCAGAAATTATGATTTCACCTTCATGAAAATGGATCAAAAGCAATCAAACTCAATGAAGAATATAAATCGTTCTTACACTCTGCATCACGCTTGCTTAACACCTTAAGTCAGCCACACAATGCTCACTCTCTGTAGGAAAATGAAGAATGCTCCCACATACCAAAAGCTGCTGAAACTGCAGATTTCTGTCAAACGGGTTTGTTTTTGGGTGGTTGTTTTTTGCCATTTAAATAGCTCAGTTTGACCCCAGTTTCCCTGATCATCAATCTGACAGAGAGCTAAGTGACTAAGACAACCTGATGAGAGGAGTTTGTTTGTCATTTGTGCCTGCAGTGGATTCCTAAACTCAGGAATCTGGACGAGGCCGTTTTCTCTCATACCAAAAAAAGCTTCTGTGACGTTTACAGCTGAACACAAATGCAGTGTCACTCCAGTCTATGGAAGTAACCACAGTCTTACCAAAAGTAAGAGTGTCGATCTAGTGTGTGAGCTGAGAGCTTGCCTGACAGTTTAGTTCTCGGCCATATCTACCGTATGTCTCAGCATAATTCCTGTTTTTCCGTTTGTTATCCAGGAGTGCACATTTGCCACATCATCAGAATTTTGTAGGCCCGAGGTGGATGGGCACAGACGGCCTGTACTTACTCAGACCTGCCCCTCCCTTCCAGAAACACACAGACCTGTAAATTATTCAAAATACTAGATGGGGACAAGGAATACCCGACAGCCAGCGCGACAAAGAATTCAGCTGTGGCAAAGGCCTGAATTCTGCTTCCCCCTTCATCCTCTCGAAATCAATCAACCTAATGCTTTTCATCTGGGAAAAGCAGATCACTGAATTCCACCAGCAGCTATGCGAGTGCATTCATGTGTTCAGCGGTGGCCTTTCACTTGTCTTCTCCTGCCAGTGTGTACTGGCCCCAGACACTGCCATAGCAAAGGTCAGCGTGTGTGTGTGTTTGCGCGCATAGCAAAAGCAACAACAGTGATCTGTGTAATGGGTTTTGTTGTTCCCAAAGCAGATGAAGACTTAGATTAGGCTTAAAGCAGACAGTGAATTTATTAGGCTTTCATTTCTGTTAGAACCATACCATAATCCCAATGGAAGTAAGAGCTTTATTAGCTCATGAATATTTGCAGTGTGCCAGCCTTACCCGTCTGGTATTACATTCACCAGCCACAATATTAAAGCAATGCCCCAGCCAGTGTCCTCTAGACAACTTGAATTGCCAGTTGCAATAAAGGTTTAACAACAATGCCACCGTCTGCACCCTTTAGGGCACGTCAGGTCATACAGGACGGTACCAGTTTATCTGGGTGGAAGGTTGCTGGTTCGACTCCTGAATTCACAGGGCCACACACTGGTGTATGAATGAGTGTGTGGTTTTATAATGAAACACAAAAGTGGTGTTTTTAGAAGGGACAAATTCAAAAGAGTGCAGTCCGTTTACCTTTTTGTTATCTGTATTAGGCCAAACAGCTTGTTTTGACTTTAAAATGCTCTCTCTTAATCTGGATTTAGATTAATTTTTTCTGTCGCATCATAGTGCTGGAAAAAAAATCAGCATTTGTTATGGCGTCTGTTTGCCATGAATGTTTTTACCATGCCAAGCGACGTGCTTCTCTGCTGGTTTGAGCCCAACAGCCCTCCTCACACTTTACATATTTAGTCCAAGCTTTCATGTCATGAAAGTAAATGACAGGTTGGGAAGCTGAAGAGGGAACATTTGAAAGTGTGATAACGCAACGCGCTTCGAAGCAAAACGACGTAATCTGTTGGACATTGGTGAGAAAAGCTCCCTTTCAAGATCATATGTGCAACAATGCATGTGGGGACACTGGAGGAGATAAGAGACTTGTAGTTCAGTGGCCTCTAATCTAGAGCATGTGGGGCTTAACGTGGGATGGACCTAAAGGCACACACGACGTAAAGCTGCAAATTTATGATCGCAAGCTAATTTACTCACAGCTGTTGACCAGAAATTAGTGTGTGTAGAGTTTAGTTGTTCAAATGGTAATCTGCAAACCAAGATATTACCAACTAAATTTCCTTTTTAGTTAAAATATCAAATATAGGCTCTCTTACAGACAGGTGATTATCATGAAGTTTAACTCCTAATAACTGACCTAAAATTTCTAATTGTTTACCCAAAATTATTAACCTATACACAGAGAAGCCGTACTGACTAATGCTTTGTGTAATACTGAGATGATACGTGTTGCTATAGAAACCCTTCTAACAGCCATCATTTGATTTGCTTCACCTGAGTTGATTTCTGCTCCTTTTTTTTTTTTGGTCCATTTAAACAAAAATATTCTCTTCTGCTATTGAAGGGATACTATAGAGGAGGCTCAAACAGTAGTTTGATAGTAGGACGTAGGATTGTGGCTATAGATGGCCAAAATGTCAGCAGTCATTCGGTTCCACTTAGTTAGTACTGACATGTAAATAAGTTGGACTGTTCACATTTTCAGTGCGACTTCACACTCAAGGCACAGCGTGCATTCCTTGAAGTGCTCTCCAGTTGTAAAACGGCGTGGAAACGCACCACTGTCTGGCATTGGCCCTGTCGAGTTTTATGTCGTACTTTGTTTCTGAATCCAACCCACTTCATGCAGCTGATGGTCATTTGCAGATTCGTCCTGAAGGCTCTTCTGATTCAGTGGCTAATAACCGTTGCCACTTGTCAGTTTTTGTATCCCACCAAGTGCTGCAGAGTGAATGCCTTTGAGGAGAGGTTTGTTACATGTTCTCATTTGAACAATTTGTTTTATCTCACACCTCTAGGATGACAGCTTTTTTTTCTTTTTATTATCCATCCACTGCATTCCTCCCGGTATTGTTATTGAAACAAGGGTAATAGTTAGTCAAAGAACAAGCCAGCTGAAGAAAGTTGCAGTGATTGTATGCTTTGAATACAAAATCTAGAAATCAAAGCGGATGAGTTTTAGCTCTCAGGTCGTGATGCCTGACTTAGACTGCAGCAGCTATGTATGTGGATGTGTGTGGGGAAGAAGGATGATCTGTGTCTGCAGAGAATTGTCTTTGGATGTCCTAAAGATGAAAAAATTCTGTCATGTTTTAGTGTAATTTAAGTTGAACAGGCAGTCTGATCCTGCCCTCTGCCCTTTTGCTGCTGCTCTTCTTGCAGTTTGCTGAAGGGAAGACTTCACTTTACCAACACAGAAAAAGAAAGACGGGATGATCCAGAGCCTTTCTCATGTCATCATTGAGCAAGACCATACATGTATTTTTTTTTATAGTCGGTTGTCTCCCAAATTTATGCAGCTTCACACTTAAAAATAATTGTAAGTTTATTGTAAGTAAGATGTAAAAAATGGTATATGTAAATGTATTCAGAAAAAATTACCACATGAAGCCTTGCATGTCTGGAAAGATAAAAACTCAACCTGAGTCATTATGTAAATGCTGTTTAAAAGTGGTGACATACATTTTCTGGAGATATTTCATGGACATTTCATTGGACTGTTTCCTAGTTCACCTGATGGATCCTCAGTTTGCTGTTTTTTTTATAACAAACCCATTCTCACATTAGCATTATAAAGCAGTTATTTCCACTAAAGCTCATAATCATTGCACAGTATTTATTTATATTGACATTTTCCCCAGTAGAAATGTATTTGACTGTAACCAAAGTATTTATTTTGTCCCATAAATCTTCTGTTACAGTAGAGATGTAGGTGTACAATTTCTCATGCACACTGAGAGATGTGTTACTGCTGGCACCTGAGAGGGATGGGGTGTTGATGTGCTAATGACTTTGGATTTCTTTGAGGATTTAGAGTTTGTGTTAAATTATCACCCGCTCGTCCACTCTAGGGCTCTCAAGGCTCGGCATCTCTGGAGGCAGCATACACTGAAACGAATGTTATGAGCTCAGCTCTCACTGCTACTCTTCGTTTGGAAAAAAAGTTGTGAGATATGGCTTATCTGTCGGTGGAATATATCTTGATCTGTGGTCGCATTGTCTTGTTTTCCCCTCTGACATTGACCCAATGCTCTGTCCTCTGTTCTTCAGGGAGCAGCCGATCTACACCACCAGGGCCCATGTCTTCCAGATTGATCCAACCACGAAGAAGAACTGGGTCCCTGCCAGCAAGCAGGCTGTCACAGTCTCCTATTTTTACGACAGCACACGCAACAGCTACCGCATTATCAGCGTGGACGGATCCAAGGTACATTTCTGAGTCTGTAACAGTTTTCAGGAAGACATGGTGGCAAATATTTAACTACTCTCAGGAAGCAAAGAGGTGAAACACTTTAAGGTAGAAGTGAAAATGGAGACCTGTGATGATACATTAGTTTTAAATAAGCTGAATGGCACAAGAATCAGGACAATTTAATGTATTTTGTGCCATTCTCACCAATTCAGGCTTCTTTTTTTGTCTTTATTCTGCAAACCCTGAGGCTTTTTTTTTTCTCAGCATCTTAGGAAACGAGAATTTAAAAACTGAGAGATCATTATCTACCCTGCCCTATTTTTTATCAGCCACTGAAAAGAAACATTGATCATTTTTCTTGAAATTGACTAAAGAAAGCTTTGCCTGTACCCGTCGTTTAAAGTTGCCTCACATCTAGTGGCCCAATTAGATATTCATGCACTATTCTTGCACTAAGCAAGCATGGATTGAATGTCTTTTAACATCGTTTAGTGGCAGTCACAAAATAGATGAGTTATTGGTTAACACCCTTAACTAATCTTGTAGGCAACCAGAAGTGATTATGATACTCAAATGAAAGACAACATGGTGAAATATTATCGTTTTAATGTAAAGAAATGTAATAAAGCAGAGACTAAACACAGTCTTTTAGACCTTTTTAAAAAGAAAAACCATTTCTGATTCAAATGAGTGGTTCAGCCTTTTCATGCAGCCAGTGCCATCTAACACTACCCGGTGGCAGGTGCCCGTAAGTGGAGAAGCTGAAGGGCAGCAGAGTCTATTTCTAAAACCTGCATGAATAAATAAACGGAAAAACTTTTCCATTTTTAAAATGAGAATTCAACAATGTTGTATATAAGTTAATGTTTTGGCTTTCAGAAAAATAAGAGGCCGCGTTCAAATGCTTAAAATTGAACATTTATCTACAGTTTGTTTCTGTACAAGCAGTATTTAAGTCAAGACATTGTTTTGGTGTTTTTGGCATGCGTGAGGAAATCGAGCAGCTGCCTCCAGTTAGATGCAACAGGCAGCCTTTGGTATATTGCTTTTAAATTATTTATTTATGTACATTCTATTGGTATAGAAGACTTAAACTGAGGGGCGACTTTTAGCTCTTTTATCCGTAAATCCTAGTTCCCCCCGCGACCCAATCAGGGAATAAGCGGTATGGATAATGAATGAATGAATGAACCCGTAAATCCTATTCTGATCCAAAGTAACTGTCAAACCTCTGCTCAACACATATTCTTTCTCTTCTCTCAGCTTGCCCACTTTTGTTGGGTTTTTTTGTGGGGTTTTTTTGTCTTGAGAAATCTTATCTGCATCAATTATACATTCCAGTATTGGAAAGGGAGCAGATCAGCAGCAATAACGGCAACAAGGCAAAGATGCATTTTAAAATGATGGCACAAAAAAGCTCAGTTTGATACAGATTACTAAAAGGGTCAATTACCAAAACTGCACTGTGCAAAAATGATAATCCTCTAGCTTTGAGAAATCAAATAGCTTAAAAATGTAATAAAGGAAGCACCACAAAGAGGTTTGGAGAATGCAAGTCATCCAATTATTCGAAGAGGTTTGAGTGAGAAGAAACAGATGAAAACTTAACGTAATTTATCACATTAAAAAATATTTGGGATAACTTTTAAACATGAAAAACCACAATTAAGATGCATGTTCTTATAGTTTCAAAGTTAGATATCAAATTTAAAACCAGTCTTTGTTTCCTGAATCTTTCCAGGAGACTCTCACAGCACTGATAAGTGTCCATTTGTTGTCCCATGTGAGATTCCTGTGTCCAGACAGTTTTCCACTAACATCATCAAATCATTTTCCACCTCTTCATGCCACAACCACCCTAAAAGACCATAATGATCAGAGTACACGCATCATTTTTACAGTCCTAAGAATATGCCCCAGTTCTCATCATATTGTTCAGTCTTGTTTTTTTAATAGTTGGAGATTCTATCAAAAGCCTCGGCTTTATTTATCCAAAATTATTCAGACCTGTCATCACGAAAGCATGCTGCTGACATTTAATCATTCAAGTGTGAAGAAACGCCACACCAGTCATCCTACATTTCATATTTACACCCTTTGCCTTGGCTAAGTGAAGGAGTGTTACCATGGCGATTGGTTCTGTCTGTGTAAACTGGAGGAGCATTATGATGGCAATATCCCCGTCATGACACTGTAAAGCAATCACCTCTTGCACAATCCTAACTCACGCTGGCTACCTGCAGGTCCACTTGAGGAATAGAGGGGAGTTTAAATCAGAAAACCCAACAGCTGAGTCTCGTTTCAGTACAAATTTATCTGGATGTTTTTGTACAGCAAGAAGTTTCTGGTGTCTTTTCAAGGCGAGAAATAAGTACGATGTAAATGTCTACCGTGTGTATGATCACACCTCTGGTTTGTTTGAATACATTGGTCCCCTTTACCATCTGTCTTAAATATAAGGAGCATTGTTTTTTTTCTCTGCTGCTGCAGGATTTGAGTGCTTTGTTCAGGGAAATCTCTCCTAAGAGAGCTTTGCTATTATTTCAGAAAACCGTTGTTGTCTCAGTGGTGGCTCTTCCCACTGTAACTGAGTCAAAACTGTCACCAGTGTTGTGATGATTGACAATGGCTCATGTAAATATAGTAACAAATAATCATTCCATGTCCTCTGTTTTTTCTTTCATATGTCGTCTTGGTTGGTATACTCCTTTGCAAATATTTACTTTAATATCCAGGATTCCCTCTCTTCTACCAGCCTCTCCTCTCTGCGGTAACCTTAGGAGAACAGCGTGTGTCATTGCATCCCTGCAGGGAGCCACTATATGTCGGGTGTAAGGATTTCTGACGGTTATTTCAGGTTAGCGATGGCTCCTGCCCCTTTGAATTTTGACTTTATTTTCAGTTTGCTTAAATTCGCAGAGATGTTTTTCAAGAGAAAAGCAACCTAAGTGGTGACATGCTGAGTCATCAAGAGTTAAATATAGTTTGTAGTTTGTACACTAGCTGCCATGGAGACAAATCTGTCCCGAATAATACTCTACTTCGCTGTACAAACTGTGACAGACTGTCGCCTTGTATTCGCCCCATCACAATGGTCAGGACTCTCTCTGGTGATGTTTTGGCCCGCAGAGGGGAAACTCTGGCCTCTTTAGAGGCACTCCGGTGGAACTGCGTCCCCCGTCATCAGGTGACGTGATATCGTAACAGTATGAGCTCACAGAGAAAACATTTCAGCCTTTGTTTCTGATATGAATCAGGATTCAGATTCCTCTGAGTTACCTTGTTAACTGGTATTTGCCTGTCCTTGGCTGTTGGTTGTTTGATTCTTTCTGCGTTCTCAGGCAGGTGTTTATCTGTTGGATTTCCACTTTCCCACTGGGTGTTATGTTTTCTGGTGAGTGTTTATTCATAAAGTAATTTGGTAGATCTAAACTGAATTGCGTATTTTGTTGAATGCCCAGCTGTCATGATAGTGAATGCAGAGGGCTGTTATAAGTCCCAAAACAATTACCCCGAAGGATTATGGTGAAATCGCCCCATCCCTGCCGTGAGCCGATATGCAACGCAAACATCAGCAGAGTCTGTATTGTAAACAGCATTGCATGTCATTGACTTTACTTTTAACAACAACAATATGAAAACTACACCAGCAGACAACAACAGAACGAGGCTCGGGTCAGAAATCATGTAGAGCCATAATTCGGGGAATCAGGCTGAATTTCCTGTACATTGTATTTTTTGTGACATATTGTAAAATAGATCTTCCGTGCAAGAGCTCCTCAACAATACCCACATTGATGTCTCTGCACTTTTCTGCAGGGAGGAATGTAGATAATGCAGGTAATGCAGAAGAGCGGATATGCACACATTCCTAAGATGATTAGTTGATTCATCCCCCGTCAGGACAGCATCTTCAACCATAAAATAACTTTCACTTCAACCCACTGAGACTTCATAGAGTAGAAGAATGTACCAGTGGCCCAGTTATGGTCTTAATGAGTGGGATTTTTTAAAAAACCCATCTCTAACAGTCAGTAAGTTCACCCCCTGCCAACCTCAGGTAAAATAGCCTGCATCATTGTCCCCACAAAGCAACATGGGTGTCCAGCTGTTGGTATATGCTGACATGAAAGGAGCTGGGAGACATCCTAAAGCCTTCTACTGTCATATTATCAGACTGTTTTCTTCCCCTGTTTCTCACTCCAGAGAGACCTACAAAGTGCTACTGGAGCAGGGGCAGAACTCTCCTCTTAAAGAATAAATAATACTAACAATACTTGTCTTTCACCTCCTGTCAACCTCCCCCCCTCCCCCCTTCTCTTGTTCCTGCTGCACCTAACCAACCTGAAGATCTGTTCTCCACTACTGGCAGACTTTCAATATGATAGCTGTTTGTCATAAATGGCTATAAAAAATTGATTATTTTGCATCCTTGTGGTAGGCTTTGATTTAAAGCATCTGCTAAAGGCATAAATGTTAATGTAGATTTAGTTATTCTTTTCTTGAATATCACATTTCCGCCTCATGCGCCATCACATTTTTCCACGAGAGGCTGTTTGCTCACATCGACTTTCATCTTGTCTTTCTCTGCTCGTCTATGAATTATTACACTGCTGGCAGTTGCTCTGGTTCATAATCATTCCTGTCCTTGCTGCCAAACTGTCAGTTATTTTAATAGGCATCCGTCAGAAATTACACTTTGCTCCACACTGGAGTCATTCTAACTTTCTAAATGTTCTCAGCAAATCATTTCTACGTTTTCCAAGTGGAAAAAATAGTTTTTCATTTGGTGCTTTGCAGCCGATCGGTTGTCACAGCCACTTTCTCCTTTCCAATGTTCATGTTCTTCATTTCCACACTTATTTACTGACTTTGCATAATGTGGCACACACCACAGACATAATCAGCTGAGGAAGCTTTTCCATATACCCCCTCTGGTTTTTGAGTTTCTAATTGACCTTTGGGCCATTAGCCAGAGGAGCTTCACTCTGCGCCCCATGTGCCACTTGATCTACAGCCCAGCTTGCCGTCTGCACAGCTGCTGGCGTCACTCTGCTCTCCCTGTGTGACACCTCCCACCCCCTCATTCGCCTTTTCACTGACTCGTACATTCCTACATGCCAATATCCAGTCACAAGGCCCAGAAACACAGGGGTAAGCTGGTAGTCAGATCTTGTAGGCCAATAGCTCAGTCATTACTGTACCCAAGACATTTGTACCTTTTGACTGGATGATGTTTGGTTGCACTCATTTTTTCTAAAGGTTTTAGACCACAATAATAACCATAGATGTGTTTTTATCTAGCTGTCTTTGTCAAAATGAGTAATAATTTGAACTGATAACAAAATGGTGCGGCTGGTTTGTCCAAACTTTGGACTTGTACAGTTCATTCAGCCCCCACTTCAAAGTCACCTGTTTTTTGTTGTGTGGCTTTTATGATGAATCAAGCTTGGTTTTTGCATTTAAACAAAAAAGCTCAGTTCGACATAAACCGAGGTAAATCAATTAGAGATCAGTGTATGAGAGAATGTGAATTAGATGTGGCCACTTTCTTCCAAAGCCCGTTGTTCGGTCCTGGGATGGATGCAGAAGACGAGATCTGTAAAACAGCATGAAACAAATTCAGATGCAATGTGTTTTTTTTTTTGTTTTTTTTTGTCACTACGCCCATCTTAACCAACTTTTTTTTAGCAGTTTGTAATATTAAAACAACTAGTGATCTTTTTTCTTTGTTAGGCTGAGAATTGAAGGCAATTTTGTTTTATTTTTTATCAGGTGGGACATTTTCCGAATAAGCCATTTATAACGAGGAGCTGAATATTAAATCAATCAAATTATAAGAAGTTAATTTAAATCAGAAACTCTAGGTATTTTGTGATGGAGTTGAAAAGTTTGCAAACAAAATCAATGGAAAGAAGAGGACATTAAATTCTTAGCTTTACTGATACTGATTGTGGATCTGTTACAGGGTCGGTTTTTGTAGAAATCTTGCATTTTGCATAATTTATTTTCTTCACACGTCACGTTTAAGTGGATAAGTTGTTGGCTTCCCTCAACTGTTTACTTAATTCCCCTTTTCTTCATCCTGCAACTCCGGCCCAGTTTTTCCTCTGTGATCATTAAAGTTTCATCCTATGTTAACACTCCTCTTGGAGCCGATGCAGTGAGCTCGGTTAAATATTCACTGTGCTGCCTGAGATGAGATGAGCGCCGTTCAGGCGTCACCCAGGTTTCTCTTCAGGGTAAATTGGGTCACCTTTGTTTTTGGTGAAGTCTCTGACAGACCGACGCGTTTAAAATCTGATTAGTGGCAGCTTGATGAATTGCATCTCGCTCTGTAAACCATGAAATGAGAAGTTGAATTGTTATTTTTACACTGTACGAGGCAAAAAAAGATCTTTTAGTGTGTGTGTACGTATGCTACCATCCATTGCTCTGAAATGGACTCGCATGGGAAAAATGTTGTTGCAATTTTCCCCCTCCTTGTTTTTAGCAGCTCTGTGTCCAGTAATCATTCAGTGGAAAATGTTTTTTTCCCACCTCAGCTACTGAAAAGATGGAGAGGGAGACAGTGGAGGCGTAGAAAAAGACACCAGTCTGTCAGAGTCCTCCAATCCTGCGTTCAGAGCCATGTTGCTATGAAACAAGCCTGAACTGTGATTAAACTGTCTTCTATTGTTTCTTAATTGTTCGGATAATAAGCATGTGCTGCTTTTTAAGTTCAGTCTTTGTGGAGCGATTGGGTTTGTGTGCACACGATGGTCGTTCACAGTCACACGTATTGAATTGCGTTGACCAGAGACATGTCCCTCAACTCAAATGGCCGGTTGAGTCCGGTAAGCTGAAATAATGTCTTAAACATCTAACCGTTCCTGCTGTCACCTCAACAAAAAAGCCTTCAGTTCTAGACGGCAGCAGATGTTTTTTATGTACCTGATTTACGGCATAGGCACAACAGACGGATGTGCAGCGTAGGCTGTAATTTGACCGCCTGGATGTTAGCGGGGCATCACTAAGCGCCGTGTGTTCGTTTGTGTGGCTCTTTGACTTTTTCTTCTTTGGTAAACAAATTCTTTCTTGATGAGTATGAAACAAACAAATACACTCCCCCAGTTTCTTAGTCATTTCTTTAGTGTTAGATTTCAGTTTTTCATCCGACTCAAACAGAAGTCTTTGTATGGAATTAATTGCTTTGCATTGTAAAGAAGCTCTCATCTATAAATGTGGATCAAACTTTTAATGAAGTGGCTTATTTTTAGAAATAATAAAGAATTGTGTAAAGTATGTGCAGCACTTCACAGATTTACTCTGGTTTGAGAGGAGCAGAAAGACAAAGATGGGCTGCACAAATATAGGAGGAAAAGGTGTGATGGAAATAAAACCTTTGGCATCAAAACCCTGTATATTTTGTAGTCACATGTTTTATGTATGAAAACAGCAGGTGTAAATCATGGCTCAACATTTCCGGGCTGTGTATGTTTCCATTTTTAAAATGCAGCAGCAGACATGTGTCGGACAGGCTCAGCTGAGAACAGCTGATACACCGGCTCCACTCTCTGCTGGATACCATCAGGCCCAGACCACTAACCAGGAGTTATTTTTTCTTCCTAGGTGATCATCAACAGCACAATCACGCCCAACATGACATTCACCAAGACATCGCAGAAGTTTGGCCAGTGGGCCGACAGCAGAGCCAACACGGTGTTTGGGCTGGGCTTCTCTTCAGAGCAGCAACTGTCCAAAGTGAGAGGAGCATTAAACTGTATTAACTCATTAATAACTGCATTCATTCCATAAATGATTGATGTTCTGTGAAAACATTTAGCCGAACTGAACGGTTTGTGATGTCACCTCGTAATGCCTCTAAATACACGCCTCTGTTGTGCCTCCTTCATTTTTCCAGTTTGCTGAAAAGTTCCAGGAAGTAAAAGATGCCGCCAAGCTAGCCAGGGATAAATCTCAAGAGAAGGGGGAAACGTTGAGTAATCACTCCCAGGTAAATCTGATTTCTCTGCTGTCCCCGATGAGGTCAGGGCAGCTTCCGTGGTCACTGTCAGCTCCATGGAGGAAAACTAAATAGATCAAAAACGTATAATGTTATATATTTGAGTATGTTGTATTTTGCTAACCCATGCAGTACAGAGAATCTGTACAAAAATACAAAACCGTTAGCATATTGACCACTCATTTTGTGGTTGAATTATTTTGAAAGATGGGTCAAAGACGCTTTAAAGCTGCTTGTCAAAGGAAATAAAGAAGCTGGTGACTTTAAACTTCTCCAGTTTAGTCTCTAAACATTGTTAGCATTCTTAAAACCAAAATCATTATGTAATCGAAGTGAATCCACAGTCGTCGACTCCCTCCTGCCAGGCCAGCTTTCTTCTTGTGGCGACTCAAGCTGGTTAGGATGAAAATCAGCCTTGGCACACGCAAAGTAGCTGGGCCAAATGACATGATAAATACTGGCAGCAGTCTTCTTCAGCCCCGCACTGTCAAAGCCGGCGTGTTCAGGTGTTCGCAGTGTCAGGTTGAAAATGCCAAGGCGCCACAATTCTGTAGAAGATTTCAAATGGAAAAAAAACTTGGAAATGTTTTCTTGCTTTACACCTGCCTTCAATTCCCATGTGCTCGTGTCCTTTACCAGGAGTCTGGACGGGACACACCCTCAACCAACCAGGCATCAAGCATCAACGGAACAGACGATGAGAAAATCTCTCATGTGGGTCCAGAGGCGGCTCTGCTGAAGACGGAGAACGAACGTCTCAAGAGTGCAGTCGAGCAGAGGTAAGGTTTCATGTCTGTGGAACATCTGGAAAACTTTTTTTAATGGAACTTGCACATATTCTTAATGTGATCCTCCCCTCATAAGTTAAAACAAGTTTAGTTTATTCAGTAGCCTCCAGACTTAGGGGGCTAGTCGCATCACCACAGAAGCTCTGAGCAGATGTTTCACACCATTAGATTTAACAGCCGATTGACCAAACTCTGCTTTTGAAATCTTTTGCTTTCTGTTTTGCTGGAATAAATACTGTCTCAGATCATTTTGGCCTCAAGGTTTACAACTGGTTATAAATAAATAAATTGATAAGTATAAAATTCACTAATGTGTGATATTTAAAAGAAAGTAAAAGCGAAGATCACGATTACAGTTTCCTCTTCAGCTCGTGTGTCATCGTGACCAAAGAGATTAAAATGATTACATTTGCGCACTAATTAGTGCGGCACCAAACTGTGCTCGTATGTTCTCCCACTTTATTTAGTTTCTACTGAGATGATATCACATCCCCAAAGGGCTTAGAAATCAGGATCACAATGTGCTGTGAGGCTGCTCTCCTACACTTTTGTGTTCTCCGGCCTCCACGGTCCAGATGTCCAGTGTGTAAATCAGTAATTACATGAAACACCAGATGTGCTTCCAGATGGGATTAAAATAGCTTCAGGGGCAAAGTCAATTCAAACCGTAGAAAGTTCATAATACAAAATTAAGTTTAGGCTCAAGAAAAGTGGGGGGAAAAAAACAAATACATTTCATATGTTCTTTCCAGATGTGAGAGGAAGCTTGAAGCATCCCCACATGTTTTATTGAATAGATAACAAGTTAGTTTTAGATTTATTTCTATGTGAAGATGTGCTTCTTTGGAGTGCATTAAAACTGATATCAACCCTGAAACATTCTTTGAATGTATCCTTAATATCAGTGTAAAATTTTGTTAAGCACAAAAAGTTAACTTTTCTGTTAAAGTGGCAGACATGCCATGACTTGAAGAAAAAGTGTTCCTCACAAAAGATTCTCTGGAGGGATTCTGCCATATTGCTACAGCAAATACAATTTATTTAGTCCTTTTCACTCTTTTTCACATCCAGGGAATTATTCCAAACGGAGACATATGAAACATTTAATCTTTGTTTTCATAAAATGCAGATTCTAAACATGTTAAATTGTCTATTCTTTTGATGGACAACACTAAACCCTGCCGTAGATAAGGAAGCCATCAGCAGTGCAGGACAACCTCTCCATTCTCACCGATAAGACAGAAACACGCTGGTGTGAAGGTGCCCACTCACATCAGGGCTAAGGCTCATTACATCTTCGAGAATTTCCTCATGTTTTTTCTTTTCTTTTCGTCAAATGCGCATTGACAGCGTGATGTGCAGAGCAGCTCATTAAATGGTTACAACTGGAAGGGTTTTGCGGCATTATGTGACATGCCAGTGGGCTGGAGCTCCAGCCCTCTCACACCGACTGCTTTAAACTTGACTCCCAATAAAAACGATCCCCGATTTCTGTCTCTGTCTGACAGCAACACCAATGCCAAGAAGTGGGAGACGGAGCTTCAGACTTTAAGAGAAAACAATGCGAGGCTTGTGGATGCGCTGCAGGAGTCTTCTGCTAATGTAGAGAGCTGGAAGAAACAGCTTAGTGCCTGCAAGGAGGAGAGTGACACACTCAGGGAAAAGGTAACACAGTCACACACTCCTACCGGGAGGCTGAATCATGTACACAAACCCATCGATCCTGTTGAGAGAGAAGATGACGGGTTACTGCCTCCAGAACAACAAGAAAATTGAGTCCTTCTCTAAAAACGATTAGTGTCTTCAATCCACTGAATCAAATCAGGACAGTGCGATGAGATTTTAACTCAAAGTTTGACAAACTCTGTGTTAATTTCTCCACTTTAGGCAGCCAGAGGGCTGCACTGCTGTTTTTCCTGCACCAGAGTCTGAGCCCACTAAAAATAGCCGCATTTTTAGTTTCATAATCGGTGTGGGCTGTGTCCACAGCTGGGTGGTGTTGCAATACGATTCTTTAACTTTAACGTGCTGCCCGTTAAAGCAAAACATGAAAAGTTCAACTGATTTTGGTCATTTTTCAAAATGACACCATTCATGATGTGCAATAAATTAACAAAAATGCATCAACAAAGGAATGCCAACTCCTCCCACATGGGAAAACAACACGAGAATGTGCTCTAAACGTCTGCCATTTTGACCACGGACCATTGCTTTGTCAAAAACTGGTGCCCCGCCTCGTTTCTTTCAGATTGCAGAACTGGAAGCTCAGTGTAATGAAGCCAATCAGGAGAAGCAGAGGAACGCCCAGCTGAGCGTTCGAGTTCAGGAGCTGGAGGCTGAGCTGCAGGAAAAAGAGCAGGTGAGGAACCACGGGCTCAGTCAGCCTCAGTAATAATAATGAATGTAGTTCCAACAAGCGGAAAAGAGTTTTCCACGTCTTTCATAGTTTTGTGGATCGTTATCAGTGGATTTATGGAGTATGACATTTCTATGGGTATCATAAAATGACCATTATAATCTAGTATAAAATTGGGTTTTGCACTAAATCAGACACCACACTGTTGAAACATTTTACAACATTTTACTCTCTCTGCAGACTTTATCATAATTTCTAAACATCACTGCATTTTTTATGTTAAACTGCTGAATATCGCCTTTAATCGTTTTACGGATTAGACACGCGAGAAAAGGAAATTAACATTGTATTCTGGACTCATGTCTCTGTTCACTTTGACTAACTTTTCTGCAATGATACAAATGAGGAAATCTTGCAAGTCTTCACTTTAACAGCGCGACTCAATTAAGTGTTCAGATTTGTATTCAATAGTTTTCATTACAGTTTCAAAAGGTGGAAAAGGCTCCACAGACAGGAGACACTCTCAGATTGCCTGTGGCAAACCATGTCTGGGATATTCTAGTTTACCACCTGGCAGCCGGCGTATTAATAGAACATATACATCTTTCCTTGGACAGTGGTGTATCTTACACAACAGGAAGGAAAGTAGTTCAAAGAGCTGGAGCTGATTTTGAAAGATTGCAAGCAAAGACTCGCGCCCACTGGGAGCTCCAGCATTTCCACTCGTTGGTAAATCAGACTCTCCAAACACTGACCTGAGGGCTCTGTGTTTTCAGGGCATTAATGCAGCAGGAAGCCCACAGTGGCTCCTCTGCTCAGTGACTCACTCCCTCCTAGAAATAAAACCTCCTCACTCGCTCCAATTAAAAATGTGCCTATGAATTATGAAGTATTCGCCGTGCTGACCCATGGACTCACCAACTGGAAACTAAAAGAATAAAGCTAGTTAAGGTTACTACAAAGACATTACCAATTTTTACTCAGCTTGGAAAGAACGGGTGCTGTGAAACTGAGTTAAAAGCAGCAGAGAAATGAAAGCCCTAATTTAAAGTTAAAGTGGATGAGAAAGAAGTATTACAAAAATTCTTTAAAAAAAAATCCTTTTAGAGTCATTTTTTTATCTTTTTAGAATCAATTCTGTTTGCTTTGTTTACATAAATATTGATTTTCTTAGGCTCAGTTAATCTCATTAACCTAATCTTCATATCAATGCAAATACATTCTAGACATCGTGCTGACTGTCACTCTGCAGCCATTTCCTGAGCCTCATTAAATGTGTTTGGATAGCAGTTACATGAAGAGAAATGAAAAAATACTTTGTCAAGCATACATTTTAGTCTTTGAATCTTCAGGTTTAAGCACAAAAAGCATCGACAGTCGGGAGTTAATGACATTAAGATTTATTGAAAAAAAATTAACCAGATGGGATGTTTTTTCTCTTTTCATTATCTGGTTTCTTAATGATCGTGTTTCCCCCCCCTGTCTTTTCTCGCTCTTTCCAGGAGCTGGAGAACCTTAGGAAGCAGGCAGAGATAATCCCAAAGCTGATGGGCGAGTGCGAGGCTATCACCACCAAACTGCAGGTACCTTTCACAGCCGTTGTGTTTTCCTTAGGTGTGACTGACAGCAGTTAAAAGGCAGAGAGGCGTGCAGACCTCAAACACGTGTGAGGACACCGTGGCTGTCACAGCCAGCTAACACACTCAGGCTCTGAGCTCTGTCTAACGGAGTGTCTATTCATCATTCAGCCGCAGGGCTGGTGACACAACATTCCTATCACGGGTTTCACTAGCGCAATCCGTCGTTACTGTATCTATTAATAAAGGTCTGTGCCCAGCACAATGCTCAGATTATTGCCTCTTTGAAAAGTTTTTCTTCTCTCTGACAAAGCAGGGGCGCATCACTCTCAAAGCTCATTAGTTTCTGTGTGGTGCAGATTTTCTGTTTAGCGAACAAAACATTTGAAGTGGTTTGGGAGTCCTGCGCCGAGCTCTAATAATCAGGTTTTAGAACAATATGCTGAGCGTGTGGGTTGCATCTTTTAGATTAGGTTAGTGTTGAGAAACCCTCGATATGGATTCGCCTCCGTCTCCCTCACAACAAAGAGCCCCTGTAAAGCAAGAACCCGTATTGAGTAATACCGGGCTTTCTGTGAAACCAGAAGAGCCAGGCGGGGTGAATGACTGGTGTCCCGGCCGTGCCAAGTCTGACATGATGCTGACGCTCGTTTCACCCTGTGCCGACTGACTCAGAGCAGGATTCCATCATCCAAGCTGTCGTGGATGTGCGGCCTTTTAGCGGAGGAGGATAAAACCAACAGTGGCGTGCCTGAAGTTCCTGCGCTTAGGAAAAACTGACAGCCGGGTTTGTTTCCACACCGGCCCGCTGGACGGCCGGCGGTGGCTGCAGCAGGAGTTGATCTAGCTGCATACCCAAAGCGAACAGAAGCGCGGACAATGGGATTTCTCAAATCCCTCCGTCGGTCTGGAGGCCCGGACTAATCCGTTTCCATACAGGAGAGGCAGTTTTCCCATGAGTTAAACATGCCCACCCCGCTCCACCTCTGTGTTTGTGGCTCCCCTCTATTTAAAGACGGCCCCCCGTGTGGAGATCGGGTTTCTGGAGTCAGCTGGAGGATAGAGCCATGCAGACTTTAGCACTCCTATTTTAAACTCCTCCCTTCAAAGGTATCTTTGAGATCCGCGTGGCGCTTGTGTCGCCTGCCGGTCTGAAAGGCTTCCCTGTGCCCTCTCACCCAGCACACGCACACATGAAAGATCTCTGACGAATTGTTTATGTTTTCAAACTCCAGTGCTACATTTTTGAGAAATTGCTAACTGTTTTCCTTTAGTTTATTTTATTTTCTGGCTGGTATATGTTGAGGCCATCTGATACATTTTTAACTTTTCCTTCGTGTTGGAATCTGCTCAGACTGCATCTTTTCTACTGTATATCAAAGGCTCGAATCCTCTGATATTATTCATTTCACTTCTCTGAACCCAGCGTCTGACTTGTCCTCGGTTTCCTCTCTAAAAAGGTTCCTCTTCTTTCATCGCAGGCTGCTGAGACTAAGAACAAGGAGCTGGAGGGGAGGATAGAGGGGCTGCAGCTGGACATAGACGACAGTCGACAAAAACAAGGCAATGTGAAGGGCGAGCTGAAGAAGTTCATGGATATCCTGGATGGAAAGATAGACGAGCTGCACGAGTTCAGGCAGGGGCTCTCGAAGCTGGGCGCTGATAACTGAGAAAAACACGGCTGAGCTGAAAGGGTGAGAGGTCAGGTGTGAGGGATTCACTGCAGTTTGTCTTCAGGGCCCAAACTATGTGGCGCCCCACTCCCCCAAAGTCATGCCCACTCTGAAACTTTCAGCTTTGGAATCCTATAAACACTTCTATGTCAAAGAGGGATGTTGGGAGAAGGGAATTGTCATAGTAAAAAATGGAAGACCAGCGTGCCCCACAAAATGACTCCATTTTGTGTGCGGGCATGATGAAGGTACACTAAGAGTCACACTTTGAGCTTACTCATCCATTTCTGTGGGGGTGGGGGGGGCTGTTTTGAAAGCTGGTGGTGGGTTTTTTAGATTCTGTCCATCTGTCTTTTTTCCGAAGGCTGCAGAACCTCTCCACAAACAGTCTGAGCTTAGAGTAGAAGAGGGGACTTAAAAGGGCTAAAAAGAACCACATACAGACGATGCTGTTCAGCATGACTACAGTAATAATTGGTGTAAATCCTTGTGGCCCCCTCCGACATTTAAAGATGAAGTCCCTCTACAGACTGTCCTCGTTGTTGCCTCTCGTCTATCTCAGGTGTGTTGGAAGACAGATTATATGCACATTAAAGACAACGGCCATGACACAAAGTGCCTCCAGGCGAGTCTAAATCTTCCTGGACAGGAAAACTGGCCAAATGATGACCATCCCGCTAACGGTAACTCGCTGGCTTTTGGGAGATGACCTGCCGATTAACATCCTCACCGACAAAACGAACAGAAAAGCCAGACAGCTGCGTCCATCCTGAGGATGCGGGAGTGACGGCGGGCGTCTCTCAGAGTGGACGGCAGCAGCAGCTTTTCCCGCGGGCGTTTGCAGTAAACTGTCCCCTTCGATTACATTTGCGTTTTCAGAAGGAAAACTCTTGTCTCAGGAACTTTCCTTCTGCAACATCCAAACTGGTAGTAACCCCATCTCGCCTGACCGTAGTGTAGTGTTTTAAAGGACTTTGCGTGCATCGGTATTGCTGTTCATTTGTAGAACAAACCTGTGTGTCCACCCGGCTGTTCATGTGCTTCCTGAACACTCGTTTTTGTTTTGGTGGTGGTTATATTTGGATGTGGGGACATGGTGCTGCTCAACGGGTAAATAATGTGAAAGTGTTCTTCACCAAAAACATTTAGATGGATCGGGCCTTTTCACAAAAAAAAAGTTTTTTTTCTTCTTTTATCTTTCTTACGTATATTTATTTTGGGTGCCTCTGCAGATACTTGTTAGACCAAGTTAATCAACCTTGATCTACTGTCCAAATAAAGTTCATTTATTCAAACGATACCAAACCATCAAGATTTTATCATGCTGATGTTGCTAGTTATTGAATTCAGTTTTGAATCTTGACACATTTTTAATCAAAGTCAGACGATAAAGTAACATACTTGCTGTGTATACTTTGACTTTATAAGATTATTGTTCACATCATTGTTTCGGTCATGTTATAAGACTGAAATATCTAATGAAGGGATTTATTGCTTATTGTTCTGTTTTTTTCCTGTTTGTAACTCACCTGAATCCATATAACACATGTGATTCTTCCTGTTGAACCAATGCCTCTCGTGCACTTTTGTGATTCCTCCTCAACATTGTACAATAGAGCTGACAATTGGTAAAATTTAGTTTAAATACAAATGCAAGTGTCTTCTCCTTTTATTGTTTTTTTCTAACAACTTCACTGTAAGAGCTTGAGAGGGACAAAATGTTCCAGCTTGGTGCGGGAGTAAAATGTAAAAAGGAGAGATTCTGGCAGCACATTTGTCAGTGTCCTGACTTCTTCCTCAACAAGTAGGTCAGAGTAAGAGGTGGAAAGAACCAAAACAAGTTTGTTCCTCTGTTCATTTCCATAAAACTAAAGATAGTTGGAATCCTATCAGACATAAATAAGGATAGATATGATCACAGTCAGAAGCATGTATCAGTTTTTAGGATCAGAACAAATATGAGCTTGTTTTAGAACTGATGGGGAAAAAAACACTTAAAACTCAGATGTCTTCATGGCTCTGTTGTGGAGGACGTGTTGCCTTGGCAACTATATCCCTCGCACTTTTTTTTTTTCAACAAACGGTATAAACGATGGACACTTAAAAGTGGAACTTTGGTACTGCATTCCAGCAAATGAATTGAATGAAAGACGGACATCCTTCTCAGTAATTTCCATTTACACCTTCAGACCTCTGCGGGTTGACACCCTCAGAAAATTATGATGCAGTTTAGGCTTCAATTAGCTCCGTTAAGTCATTTATTTGTTAATCAAGCAACAGTTGATACAAAATATCTTTGCTTTAATTTGTTTGTAATTATTTAGAATAATCTTGTGGTCAATGAAGAGTTAAAAGGGGGAACAAAAACGGGTCCTTATCTCAGAAAATCCTTGTGTTCAGGTCAAATTGGCTTAATAAAAGAACCGATTCCACCTAATTACCCATAAGATAGGAACCAACAACAAGTGAATCACGATCCTGTGTTCTGCTCTCATGGATGTCACTTTGACTTGCCACCTACATGCAGACCAGGCCCACACATGGCACTCCACTTATGCTCAAGAAAGGTAAAGATGGACTGAGGTGTTGGTGTGTCCTTCAAATCTAATGGGACTTTATGACTTTATGGGGGAGGACGGACAAACTCAAGGATCCACTTCTAACACCTCAGCCCAAAACAGGTCATATTGGACTGGTTAGAGTTAGCGAGGTGGCCATAAGAATATGGCTGAATGGAATTTGGGAATAAAAAGTGTTTGTAATCAACTTTCATTTTCCTTTTGGCATCCAGGTATTGTTACATTTTCTTTCATTAGATCCATATGTTTGACTATGGTCTGAAGGCATTCAACTAAAAAGAGAAGCACAAAGCATGAGGTATAATAAGCCTTACTTGCTTTTAGAGACGCAGAGCAGGAGCAGCCTCCTCTCCTCTCCTCCCCTGTCTGCTGCTCGGTGCTGTCGACTCTCTGAGAGGCTCATTGTGCGACTGCTGGTGAGTGGGCGAGTCGGTGAAACATCATTAAGACACTATGCTGCTCTGTACATGTGTGAGAGGGAGAGAAATGGAACTGCAGGCCACTACAACTGAGACTGGGGGGGTTACCATAGCAACAGGCTGGGGGAATTTAACGTGGGTTTCCACGATCGACCGGTTTGTCAAAAAAACAAAAACAAACAACAAACCCCGCCACGCGTGTCTTCCCCCCTGGTCCACCCGGATCAGCTGGACGCTGCCGGCCGAGGACCGGGCCCACCGGCCGGATAACGGGGACGTCTGAGCTGTCAGAACCAGACAGCGGTGTCAGAGTGAAAGCTGCCAGGGTGGATATCGCTGTGTGAGTCATCACCGTGGGATACAAAACCGTCCCGAAGCCCACTCGTCTGGGTTCACCGGCACAGGTTCGATGATGTCTGATTGGGGAAAAAAAACACTAACAAAAAGCCATCATTCCGACCCGGGAACAGCCAAGTCTGGGCAGAACTGGGAACAAGCATGAGCCATCAAAATGGCAAAGATCTCAAGGGGGGGATAAAGATTGAATTACAAAGAAATCTGCAACGTTTCATATTCATGAAATTTATTCTCGAAACAGTGTGCGTTTCCAGCCCTGACATAGTCAGCTCACAGGTTCGGCTGGAATTTACTGACCCAGCAAACCCTTTCATGCTGTTTGTCAGCACAATGCGTCGCAGCCTTGCCTTTGAGCTTTTGTAAGGATTTATCAGTGATCGGATACAAATTAGTAGTGCATACACCTGAAACAAACATTTATCACCTAGTTTAAGGCCTCGTAAAAGAAGAAATAACAGGCTTGTGAATTGCACCCATAGAGAGTGAAACAGGGGCAGGGCATCGGAGGCGGGAGAGGTTAATAAACACTGCTGCTTCTCACTCCTTTTTCTCTGAGCTTTTTGTCGCTCTAATTGAAGGAACAGTTACTCAGATTTAAGTACATTCATGATTAGGAGTTTAGTTTCGGTAATGAAAGACGAGGCTGTGTGTGCTGGGGCCGTGTTGCCTTCAGCACAGGCTCCTCCTGCTGTGTAACAGCCTCACAAAAAGCTACTCACAACACATTTGGGAACATTTCCATCCCGTACACACGTCGGTACTACTACTACTTGGCTACGGTTTTAAAAAAAAACACAAAAAAAAACGCATCAACCAGTCATTGAGCAGAGGATTTCTGCATAGGAGATTTAATCCCGATTCTGCCACCTACTAGTTATTTGGACTCGGGCCCTTTTGGATTTACTTCAACATCTCGGGTCTACTTTGAGAAGGCCAATAACGGGATTACTGTGTGACAGCTTCAGCGCGCCGCGGCGCTGGCGTCGGGGGGGGGGGGAGGCGTAATCCCGTCCTCGTCAAAAGAAGCAGCTTTTCGGTGAAGATCTGGCAGGAAAAACCAAAGCCGTGAGCAGAGCAGCGGGGGTGATGTCAGGACGGCCCCCCCCCCCCCCCCCGCTGTCCCAGTCGGTGCTCTGCGTGTCCTCGTCCCCTCGCTCGTCCGAGTCCGAGTCGGCCGCCACCCTCTTCATCCGCATCATGGCCGCTTTGATGCTGCGCTCCAGCTCGTTGTCGGCGCTGTTCGAGGCCTCCGCCGGAGCAGGGACCACCTAAAGGGAAACATCCAGGGGGGGGAAGGGGGTGTGATAATAACAACATAATATGTTTGAGACTGATCTGATGCCAGATGCCGGCTGATTTGTTTTTTTTTAATCATTATTCTACCTAAACATGTGGTTTACAAATCGGATTTTTCAAAGGGATTTTAGGCAGCGTGGTTGATCTGTTTGATTTAGTTTTAAAGCAGCGTTGTTAAAGCGTTAACAACAGACCGATAAGTACGCTGATGCGTAACGGAATCGTGAGCCACGCTGGCTCTCCGTCCCATTTGCAGGGGTTCCTGAAACACCTGAGTCACACAGACCTGAGATCTTATTTTTATTGACACTCGTTCTCTCTGTAAAGACCAGTCCAAACGTCGGTGATGGTAAAAAAAAAGAAAAAGAAAAGAAAAAAAAAAGCTCCCAGTCTTTATTTTTGCAAATCCATATAATTTCAAAATCTAAATGTAAAAAAAATTGTAAAATGCAAATTCCAGAAAATAATTTGGTCCGACTAAAGCCTTTCAAACCCTCATATTAGCCAATAAAATCATAATTTGAGCAGCCAGAGGTAGAGCAAAGCTGCCTCCTGATTGGTCGATTAATAATCATAGAATAGGTTACAAACAGAATTCCTATCAATGTCCCACCTTCTTTAGGGTGACTCCCTGTCGGATGGCACACATCAGGCTGCCCCTGGCGTCCTCGGGGGGGGCGGCTGTCCTGGCAGAGACCTTTCTCAGCCTGATTTGTCCACGCTGCAGCGAGGCCAGCACCTCATCCATCGATCCTGCAGCCACACGGGAATAAAGACAAACGCCTTAATGGTAATAGAAGAAGCAGGTAACAGGATGGTAACCGGAGACAGTTTTGAGGAATTTCATGGCTTTTATTGCACTGCTGATGAAAGCAGTACAATAATAAAAAAAACAGCTTCCTTTGATTCCCTCTAAAGGTCAAAACCATGTTGGTCTCCTGTGTGAGTGGTACAATGTGATAAAAGAGCCTACTCCGGACTCACAGGGGACTCTGGGAATGTATGAAAAAACATGCACAGATGCACGCGCACACACTCTGAACACAAATTTCCCATGAACACACACACACATCCTCTCCCCAGCAGCGAAGCTTCATCCTGCTCCACTCATACAGCATTTTTTTTTCCTTTTTATTTACATGGCTGTCTCACCTAGATTCTGTTTGAGCGTGCTCTTGGCAGGAAACGGAGGGTCCTCTTTCTCACTGAGTGGCATGGGCTTGTCCTCAGGGGAGGGCGACGCTCGGGCAGGTGGAGGAGGAGACAGGGCAGGTGGCAATGGAGGAGGAGGTGGAGGTGGTGGAGGAGGGGGGGGTGGGGCGGAGGGTGCGGGGGGGAAGGGTCCAGGGGGAGGGGGAGAGGCTGATGATGGACATCGGCCCGGAGGCACAGGGGACGTCTGTCGGGGACAGCCGGGACTGGGGAGTCTTCAAAATGAACTGGCCCTGTCGCTTCTGGAAAAAAGACACAAACACATCATCGGATTTTTTCAACATTTTGTCTGGGAACAGCTTTAAGTCATGGGTCAGAATAAACAGAAATGCACGCTTTTTTACTCTGCTGGAAATCTCCTATACCTCCGTCTACTTCTCAGCTGCTTAATACTGTTAGATCATGCTTAAAGATGGAAAAGATTCTATTAACAGTAAAAGGTAATTCAGCAAAATTTACTCACAATTGGGCACCTCTTATGACATACATAAAATCTCTGCCTTTATAATGTATAGATAGATGTGATTGACCATTCATGTCATGTGACTTAAATTTACAGAATAGTTGAGTGAAGAATTGTTGCCTTTTAGCTTCTCAATGCCGTCCAACCCACCCCTATTTTTTATTTGTTTTATTTATTTATTTATTTATTTATTTATTTTTTTAATTAATTTATTTTTTGGTTGTTAATGTATATTTTATTTTATTATTTTTTTATGTAATTATACTTATTTGTTCCTGTTTTTGTTGTGTTAATACAGAAAAAAAAAAAACTGTGTAAAAAAGAAAACAAAAAATCGGAGAAGTCATGTAAGCTTTGTACAATGTATGTAACATCAATATATGTATGATCTCCTGATGAGCAAATAAATGTTACACAGTAAAAAATAAATAAATAAATAAATGAAAAAAAATGCACGCTTAATGACGCTGACAGGGGGCAAATCCTCCTAATCTTCACCTGTGCAATCATTTGAGGAAGTAAAGATAGAAACAGATCAAACAATCTGTTCCTCAGCTAAACAATTTCTCAAAAAAAAAAGCTTCTCAGTTGCTGTTTAAGATTGTGACGCACCTAAAGCCGAATCTCCATCTAGTTTCTCAATATTTGTGTGATCAGGCTGCCGCTAACTAACACTCGAGAGATTTCTAACCCAGGAACAACTCAAATCTGAGTCATCCGCGGCGTCGGTCGTTACGAAACATCTGAAGTGCTTTCCAGTCTAAAGGAGTGAAACACACACACACACACACACAGAGGCCAAGGCGGTGTCAGCCTACACATCCCACCGTCTGCCGTCATGTGGAGGACAGTTTTGGTAGGAACCGTTGTCTGATGAACACAAAGAGCAGCTCCTCCACTCCACATGCCCAAGTGTGCTTGGACATAATGACACAAACCTAAGAAATGAAGCTGAAAGGGAGGTTTCATTTTTGGCTGTAACCTGCAGAGGACAGCGGTCAGATTGCTCCCAGGTTTCAAATCCCGACTGGAGAGCGAGTCACTGATGAATGAGATATTTTGGGGGTCTGAGATTCTTTTTTTTTTTTTTTTAAAGACTGACAAATGAGCTCTTATGTCCCGTCTCCTCACTAGCTGTCAGCTGGAGTTGTTTCTGACCCTCCAGACTGAGAGTGCTGTCCAGAGAGCGTCTCACATGATGACAGTAACCGAGCAGAGAATTCTTTAAAACATTTCTACTACAATACATTAACTGGATCTTTTCCCCAATCCAATCTTTTTAAATTGAAGTTCATGTTTGGAAGGATTTATGTTCTGTGACGTACTTTTTTTATTCTTTTCCCACTTCCAAAACAGCAATGTTTTGGTATCACAACAAAAAACTCTCTGTGTTGAGCATAAACCAGCAGCAGCTTCACAAAAACACTGACCGTACTTTTCCTTTTTAAAGAGAATAGAATCCACCTATTCAGAATCATTCAACAGTTAGGGCTTGTTTAATCATGAAGATAAGTGTCAAAGTGGAAGATGTTTAGTGTTTCAATTTCATTTTTTGGGCTTTCTCCACAGCAGCTTGTCCTTTACAACAACTCCTGCGCCAGCTCTAAAGCCCCTGACAGCTGTTTTACAGACCGGTGCTTCGTAAATATTGCATTGGACAGGCCACCATTCCAGCTACCACCAGTGTACTCCCTTATGGACCTCAGCCAGTCTGTCGAAGACATGACCGTTTTGGTTGCCTAACAGAAAAAATATACTTTGGGAGCTACACTTTTGCATCCTTTGATACATCAGTGACCTTACCCTCATTTCGATCCTGAAACACAAGAATCCAGATAAGTTAAGGTACACGGATGACAGCTCGCTGAGCCTGTGGGGTTTGGAGCTGAATACTAATGCCGGTGTGATATAATTCTCATGGTGTGACGCAGGTGCTGTGCTTCAAAAGTTCATGATCAGTTCGGAGTGCCGTACCTCTCACATATGACACCTTCCAGCATAAACACTTCAAATCTACTCTCTCTCATTTTCGGAAAAAAGTCCAAAGAACAACACTGAACAAATGGAGGCACAAAGGAGCCCAGAAATGCGCCTTTAAACGCATCCTTGGCCAAATGTCACTAGCCCATTTAAACCGTGAGGTCATTAAAACCCATCGAGGGCTTCGTTTCCCAGTTTGAAGTTTGAAAAGCTAGTGACTGATGAAGGTGTGCAGCAGGAGCCTCTGAGGTTTCATTAATGGGAAAGGAGCCGCAGTAGGAAGAGAGCAGAGAATATATGAGAGAATGTGAGGGAGCCTGACCTCTCTGAAGGACCGTAACCTGCTCAGAGTCTTCTCCCGCTCCTGGTCCACCCATTGCTTCCGGCTCTGCTCCTCCTCTTTCCTCTTCTCTCGTTTCTGCAGACAACAGAGGGAGACAGTGAGAGGCAACGGAGAGGAAGAGCCGGATCCGTCTTCGTCACCGCGGCGTTTCTGCTGCTGCTGCTGCTGCGGGAGTGTCTGAGTGGGCTGCTTGGTTTCCGTGGCGACGCACCAGTTGGACCTGATGATGCTGGTTGAAGAGCACCGAGCTCTGCTTGGCCGCCGAGTGCTTCTGCTCATGGGCATCGATGCACTGATCCTACAGAGAAACAGAGGGAGTTACTGCAGACGGCCCCGGTCACTCAACCCAAAGTCTCATCCAAAAGTCTCATCTCTGAGGGTTACAGCAAACGGGGCATAATTCCTCCTAATGTTCTCACTAAATAACCAATCTGAAAGCCATGGAAGCATCAGGAGGGGGGAAATTGTTTAGCTGTGAGCTAAAAATAAAACAATATAACAAAGGCTGAAATAAAAACTATGATACCAAGTTGACAATACAGTTTTCCGGCAAAAGAAGTTGAAGCCTCTGAAGTGGACCATTTGATACTATGGCGCTCCTCCACACCTTCTTGTTGCGGAGATAAGCCCTGCGGGCACAGATGTGGCCTCTCTTGCTCTCCAGGTTCTGTAGGCGTCTCTTGAGCTGGCCGATGAGTGGAGACTGTTGAAGGCCCGGAGGGGCCAGGCTCTGCAGCTCCTCAGGATCCTCACACACGTCGTAGTACACCACCTCCTCCTTCAGCTCTGAGACGCAAAGAAGTTACTTTAGCCATCAAAAATAAAGCAACTTTTCTGCAGTCACCACGTTGACTCAAATATGTCAGCTTTTCAAATCAGCTCTGATTTGAATTCTTTTTTTATTTCAACCAAAGTTAAAGTTTCATGATTTTTTTTAAGTTGCTGTCTTAAAATCTGTATTTGAAAAAGCAGGTTTATTAGAACTTAACCTTTCCTTATTTGAATCACCACAATGTTAATCTAAAAATGTAACATGAATATAATATGTGGATTAACCTATATATTGGTTTAACAAATCACAAGAAGCTTTTCATATTTCATATTAAAGGAAAGAGAAAAGTCTTCCATTTCCTTCCAGATTATTTGAGTTCCCTCACAGGCTTCATGAGCTCAGAGATCGTACTATTTTCTTCACTGAATACCAAATGCACACTTCTCTGCAGTTCTAGATTGGTGGAATAATAAAAAAACAAAAAAAACATGTAAAGGTTCAACAGTACCCACATAAACAGGTGGAAACAGCGTGTGCACAACACACAGCTTGGAGGCAAACACCCCATTTCCCCTGAGGAGCAATTAGGGAATTATTTACATGAGCTAAATGAACTATTTACCCACAGTAAAGTCTTTACACAATACGATTAACCAAAATACTTTTTTTTTAAAATGTCAAATACATTGCGAAATTTGACGGTTGCAAAGTTGTCAAACTTGTAATGACGGCTGACGCTAAAACGACAGTAATTACTCCGAATCTGTAGGGAGCATGTTATCATAATCCCAGTTGCCCTGTCACATAATATCACGGCAGAGACAGGTTGAGCAGCAACTGTTGGCAAAACCGAAACATAACCACCCCTCCACTGCTGGGCATGTTCAGCTGCAGCCAGTGGGGGAGCAAGAACCTTTCAGTGAGCATCCTGAAACTACACAAACATCCACACAACCTCCCAGATCTGACGTGAACTTAGACACCCACCCAAAGACAAAACAGAGGATCAGAGTTACACGTGATTGATAAAAAATAGCAGGGGCCTGCTACTGGCTGACAGCCTGGAATGACTTTTCCGTTGGTCAATAAGTCGCGTGTAGATGTTCTTTCAGAGTGAGCGTACCTTTGATCTGCCGCCGCACGGTGTCTATCTGAGCCACCAGCAGCTGCTCCTCGTTCTTCAGGATCTCAAACTTGGTGTCGTACAGTTCCAGCTGGGTTTCGTAGAACTGCAGCTCCAGCCGGTCCACCGTGTCCAGCTGCTGGCCGTCCTCAAGGACAGACCCAGAATCTGCCCTCCGGTTCTGGACTCTCCCCGACAGGCTTCCCAGCTACAAAACGACAGATGTCACTCCTGTTTAAGCATCATACCAGTGTTTTTTTTTCTCCTGTTTTTGCATGAACTGTGAGCAGTTTGACACAAATGTAGCTTGATACTTGCTTCTTGTAGCCAAATCCAATTTTTAAGCACTTTGAAACTCATGGTGTCATTGAAAATGAAAGCTCAATGCCCCCACTCCTCATTTTGTTAGGTATCAGACTTAGTCTAATTCATTTTTCCATCTTATCTAGTCTCAGCAACACATAATGACAAAGCTAAAACAACATTTTAGCATTCACAGCCTCCGCTGGGTTGGAAACGACTGCATTCTCAAATATTCATGAAAAATGACACTTGCTTTGGATTTAGGGATTCTTCTATATTCTTCTATACAGATTTTCTTAAACCCCATCTGGCTGAGGGCTTTTAAGTTGATCAGGAAATGTCTCGCAGTTAGAAATTGAAAGGATATTCAAAGAGTTGCATGAAAGGACTTTAACATTGTTTTGGCTGTGTGCAAAAGATTCATTGCCCTGTCTAATCCCAGGTCAGTTTTGTTAAGCAAGTTCGCATTGAGTCTTTTTTTTTTTTACTGGAGTGGACAGCCTGCTCTAAAAGCCGCTTTTTTTTCGGAACCTGCAATGGAGCAGCACCTGTTTATGATCTTTGCCCAGCTCTCCATTATTGGTTTTGTTCCAATAACAATCAGCTATATGTGACACAAAGTAAAGGCTGTGAAGTGAAATCCATTAGCATTAAGGCACTAAAAAAACAGGTGTAAGAAAAAAAAAAAGGGTCACGCTGTGACATTGCAGGCTCAACAGTGCACTCGTCAGCCATGAATGGCGGTGCCACCAGCACAGAATCCTGCGTGGGCGCGGCTCACTGATCTCATTAGAAACACCCGCATGCAGCCGTCTGTGCGAGGGCTCGTGTTGCTTTCACCACGGTAGGCAGCAGCAGCATCCCCAACCTGGATTTTTAAAAAGCTTAATCAGATGAATAATACAGCAGGGTGGAGGTGAGGGTACTGAAGGTGCTCTCTCCTTCCAAGAAAAAAAAAAAAAAGCTTATAGCTGCAAAAACATGTGCACCAGGTTTTTTTTTTTTTTTCAACTATCCTTTGATCCTGATGCAGTCATACGTGTGCACCCAGCCGCCGCGTTTTGAATATGTATACACAGACACGCTCACTTATTCGTGCACACAGGTTTCTGGGGTCTGTCAGGGGATTCTCTCCTGTTTTTGTGGAGCCTTTATAAATAGATCAAAGGAATCCAGCAGCCACAGATTCACATCGGGGTAGAATACCAAGCGTGAGAGCGCCGTAACACTCCAGATTTACAACCACGACAGAGAAAACGTTTATCTCGGAGCTGAAAAGAAAAATTAATGAAGTCTAAACCTGTGCAACTGCGCGAGACTCCAATATGCCTTCATAACATGAACTAATTACGGAACGACAAAACAAGCTGTTTGTGTTAATGAAACAACAGTGAGACATTACTTTTTCTCTGATGGAGTCTTTCTTGCGGCTGAGGCACATCTCTGCCGCTCTCATGTGCTGCAGGGTTTCTTTGGCTAGCAGGAAGCGGAGCTTCTCCAGTCTTGGAGCCGCCGACGCCCAGGCAGCAGGTCCAAAACGCCGCTTATCTTCCTCCATCTGTTTTAACATACCTGCACACGGATGTATGGATATGAGTCACACCGGTGCACCAACTCACACACAGAAATACGTATCAAACACATATATACACATGTATATGTGTGAACACACACAAATACGGATGAGAGAGTTGGCACACGTCTCTTAAGCAAACCTTGAAATATCCTTCAAGCCCACAGGTTTTAGTGCACTGCTGTTAATTAAGATTTGGTCGGAACATCTGGCAGAGCGATAGCTTTTGGATCTGGGTGGCGTGCTGGTGGATTTGATTCAAATCCATTTGAAAAACACTTCCCTCAGAATGTAGGAACCTTAAAGGCAGAAATTGAAAAAATTCCACAAACAAGATCTGTGCCTTCTGTCATCAATTCTCCTGAATGCTTTTTTATTACATCAACCTCCAAACACGGAAATGGCTAAATTCTTCATATATTCTTAATCAAGCGAAAACTCAATATTGGTTGCAAACAGATATGAAAATTGCAATCACGCTTGAAGGCATTAGTGTAGTTTACATATCAAATGAGCTGCTCACAGCTCTTTAATCTGTGTAGAAATCAAACTTCCAGATGCTTGAATGCTTAAATTTTCAATTGTTCTCTAAGATTGTCTTTTTCTGGGGGGAAACAGACACAGAAGGGAGGAATTTTGCATGTTTCGGTGGAGGTTTTAAATCCCAGACTGCTCTTATTTGAATTACCTCAATAAAGCATAAGTAAGTTTTCAGCAGCTGCAATTAAACTCTGAAAAAGGAGACTCCAACGCCCCTTTTTTCTCTTCGGGTGACACAGAAGATTAATTAATGACAGGATCCCAGCATAAATAAAAGGAAGAAACCCTGCAATATATACCAGCCAGAGCCTTTGAAGTTTGTGCAAAGTAGGTGACAGTGATGTCCTGAATCGAGGCGACTGCATCCTCGGCTTTCATTCTCCACTCTTCTGCCTCCTTCTCCAGAGCAGCAATTCTCTTGGGACCCAAGTCCTCAAACTCCAAAGACTTCTGAAGAAAGGCAGAGATAGAAAAAAGATACAGTAGACAGCTTTACATTCAATGACTTAGTACATACTTCTTGCAAACTGTTAACCCAAATACATTTGTCCTCCATTTACTGTGAGTTTAGACAAATCTTTTTTTTTCTTCCATATTTTTGCTGAATGGAGCATAAGGATCTTTGCTATTAGTGGATCCACCAGAAATATCCAAGAAATTCAGGCCTAAACTGACATGTTGAAACACTTTGATGAGAACAAAATAGTTTAAGTAGCAGCATGTTGTATTTCAAGTATATTCTGAGGTTCTAGATGAGTTTTCGGATTTTAAAAACCTTAATGTGTGTTGGAAGTTTAACGTTTAATATTGTTGAATATTTCGCTTCGTCCCCGCGACCCCATCAGGGAATAAGCGGTATTGATCATGGATGGATGGATGGATGGATTTCGCTTAGTCAAGTTTAAGAGAAACAGCAAAAAAGGGTAAATTATCTTTTTTTTTTTTTTAGAACTCTTACCAGGATCTCCATCTTGTAAAGGCAGGCCAGTTCTCTCATGTCTCGGAAAGGCTGCAGCAGGTACTGGAAGAAAGTGGTGGCCACGGTGACCAGGTCCTGGTAAGACTCGTCCTCCTCCTCGTAGATGCTGAGCAGCGCCACCATTCGGTCGGTGCTGTTGTGGCTCTGCAGCAGCTGGAGGAAACACAACACATCAACATTGTTATCCTAAACTCCATTGGGTCTCATCCCCGCAGGAAGCCGTCCTGTTACGCATCTTTCAAATTCAAGCGGAAAGTTGATTCAAACTGTTTAAAAAAATAGAAACGTGGGTAGGTTCAATGTGTTTGGACCACTTACAGCAACTCTAACGAGAATTTGGGGTTAAATACAGCACCCTAATTTGGATATAAACTGGTATTTTTGTTCTTTCCTTTTAAAAAAAACTAACACATGCTGACTTGAATCTGTTCAGAACAATGTCGGTGTGGTCGGCTTTCCAAAACAGTACTGAAACTATCAGGTTTTTGGTTAGGACTTTTCATCACCTCTGAAACCGAACGGTGTAGTTTGACTCCAACTCGAAAAGCACAGACCCACACAAATGTGACAAATGAAGTTGAGCGCTTTTCTTAGACTCCAGTGCCCTTTTGCCTGTTTTTCTAGGGTAAACTAATTTCAGGGCGTGATGGTGTTGCAATACTTAACATGCTTTGACTGTAATCCAGAGTTTGCTGTGTCATGGCAGGCCTGCTTTGCACCACCACTGTGTGGTGCTAGCCTGCAGGCCACAGATCCAACTCCTGAGAAACATGATGCATTTCATTTTCCTTTTTCAAATAAAAAACATTCCCTAGTCTCTAGTAATACTGTAGAATGACACAGGAATGGTCCACGTTTAGATCCATATATTTGCAATGCTGTGAGCACCTTTTTGGGGTAACTGTGTGCCCCAGTGGCCGGTGGGCAGATGTGCCAGATGTGGCACCCGTGGCTCACCTGTCTCAGGTGACCTTTGGCCCTGGACATCTCCTCCTGCATGGTCTTCCTTTTGAACTCCTGGAGGTTTTCAAAGTACTCCTCGACGCCCCGCTCGTCCTGGGTGAATAAAGTTTCCAGAACTATCTTTCGGCCGCAGAGGTCGATGGCCGTGCTGAAATACTTCTCCAGCTTCCGACACGGAGTCTCCAGATCCCTGTCCTCGTCGTCGTCGTCATCGGGACCCGACTTCCGACTGAGGAACAGCAGGTCCCAGATGTTGCTCTGCTCGAACTCCGACAAATCCGGAAAGCAGGTTCCCAGGACGTCCGCCACGCACTTGAACTGTTGGTGGACGTGTTTCAGGTCGTTGACGGAGAAGAGTCCTGCCCAGCTCATCTGGGGGTCGCCGGTGGTCACTTCGGCTTTGCGTTTCTGCCGCTGTAACGTCCGGTTGTGGCAGGTGACGGCGAACTTAGACTCGATTACGTTCCACTGCACGATAAAGCCCAGCCTAAAAGTCTCGTTTTCCTCGAATATGTTGCTCTTAATGGCCACCCAGCCCTCCAGGCTGTCTAGCCGGTCAACTTCTAGGCTGTCCATCTCAAAAACAGAGATTTCAATTTCGCCTCCGACAAGCTGTTGGCTCTGTTTACAACGTCCGCCATTGATGTGACGTAAGCGGCGTTCAAGGGCCAAGAAATATTCGGAACAAACTAGATTTAATATTGGTTCCAGCGAAAGAAAAACGAAAGATTAGTAATCTACCAATAAAAAGCAGACATGGTCTTTTTTTATTTTTACAATTGATATATGTTAGAATGGAAGTTTTGGATGAGTATATAGCTAGATTTAAGCAACATCTCTGGTCAGCGTCAATAAAGTGAAATGAAAGTAGGATTTACGAGGTACAGTGAAAGTACCTCCATGCCCCCAGTGTTGCGTCTAACTTTGACCTTCTCGTCACATGTTTGGGGATTTCCCATCTTCTAATATAAAATTAAATGTAAGCATAAACACTAGTTCAATAGCGTTTCATAGTGTTAAAAAAACATTCCTAACTGGTTAAGGTAGATGTGACGTTTTCAGCAAAACACAACAAGTTCACTGGTAGGATGTTCGACATGCCACTGACATCTGAGCAATGTGTTTCTCATCTATTTCTGTCGCAGTCTCTGGCTGAGTGTTGGACTCCACAAAGTTTGCCTGTCAGACACCAGCACTTCATGAAGCGGTTATTTAAAAGAAACTGGTTGACTGAGTTGTCAAGGTAATTTTGTCATGATCCGATCGTTTACAGTTAATCGATATACTACTGTGCACAGGGAAGCTTCTCAAACTGTTTGTGTTTATTCTGCGGTATTATTTCAGATGGTTATTGATGTATAGATCGCTTTCCCTGAATAACAGAGAGCCTAATTAAAAGTGAGCTTGCATCAGAAGAGTGGATCTTAAGTGCTTTGTATACGTCTGTCTTGACATAGTTCTTATGGAGATGGACGGAATCAGAAGAGGCAGCCTGGACGTGATTCCAGAGGAAGCCCAGGAGCAGGACTTAAGCAGAGAATCCACCACCGTGGAGACGTACAATGTGGTTTCAGACAGAGGAGGGAGGACTTTCCAGAGGTTCTCTGTTGAAACGGATGAGTCCCTTCACTTTGATCCCTGTGAAACCAGCTCTCCTTCTACTACTGGAGCAGAGGATGGAAATGATGACAATGATGTGTTCAAGAATGGGAAAGATGAGGTGGGAATTCTCTCAACTTGATATATTAATTGGATATTTATATTTTATTCACAAATTTCAATTGAATTCTGTGCATAGATAACATAAAAATGTTTTGTTCTGGATCAGAAACATGCTTAAAAAGGAGCAAATTCTGAATTAAATGTCATGTCACTGGTTTGGATTAAGATGTAAAGGGGTCGAGTATGACTGCCAGTTGCTTTCAGAGTGAGATCAACTCGATCAGGAATCGGTTTCAAGGGAAAGTTGCTGAAATGGAGAACTTTTCTGGCCATCTGGAGGAAATCTTTCTCACTGTGGAGGTAAAACTGAGCTTGGTTTTCATGGACGTTGTTTGTTGCTGTGCTATTTAGTGCCTGTGCCATTTGGGAACGCTTATTCATATAAAATAGTTTCCGTTTCCGACTCAAAGAGAGGTAAAAACAAAACAGCACTTAGAAGTGATTCTATTTACAAGAAAGGTCAAAATGAACCTCGCAACTCATTATTCATCATCTTCAAATGTTTCACAGTACGTGTGTGAACTCCACATGAGCGTCTCTGATCATAAACTTGTTCCTGCAGGAGAATTTTGGCCGTCAGGAGCAGCACTTGGAGCAGCACTACAACGACGTGCTGCTGACACTGTCTCAGCGATATGACGAGAGGGCGGCCGCACTGGAAGAGGAGAAGAAGGGTAAACTAGAATCCCTGTATGGCCAGCTGCTGCTCTGTGGTCAGGCCCTGGATACCTCCAAGGAGCTGATCGAGACAGCCCAGGAGGTCTACCGCAGCCAGGACAAGAGGCTTTTCCTGAAGGTGCCTTTTGCCTGGTTTATTTTGTACTTTTTCATCAGCTGGTCACAAAAACACGCAAATGCAATTACATGTACAACAATAACGCCCCAAAAAATGGGCCTGACAGACGTCTTTGACTTATCTTCACAGGCAGTCAAAGCCGTTGTTAACAGGTAACTGGGAGGCTGCTTGGTGACTGCATGGTGTGCTGTGTTTCAGTCGAATGCTTTTTAACGAATTTTCAGATTATTGACAAAAACTAAGTTTGCCGTAAATCCGAATCCACTGTGTGAGTCTTTAAAACGATGCTGGAAGCCGCAAAAACAATACTTAAGTAGAGCAAAAGTTTGGAGATTTTGTGTGATCCAGATTACAAAACACAGTGAGTCACCAATGTTTTTAAACTACTTTATATTGTTGCTCATTTAATTTCTTTTTATCCGAAAATAGAATTGAAGAGTTTGCTAAAGAGGAAATTGACCTCACGTTGTCTACAAACCTGGAATTTAACACATCGCTGGCTGATCTGTCTGATGTCAAAACCATGATGGATTCTATCAACGCCGTCCCAGGTCTGATTTTAAAAACTGCACACCCAGATCTTTGAACAAAGAATTTATCAGAAGAGTAAAAGCTTGTTTCCAGAGCCTCTGAACAACTTCTTACTTCAGATAGAAACAGTTATTTCAGACATTATTTCCAACCAGAGTATTCAATATTTTTCCCAAGGCCCACGTTTAACTGAAGCATCCTTATCATTGTGACCCCACATGATTAAAAATCTTTGGCAGAGATGATGGATAGTTTTATGTGACGTTCCCATAACAAGAAGAATGTCGCAAAAAGGGGTGAAGAAAATATCTGAAATTGAACGATTTTACTGCGAAAACAAAAGAGGCATTTTGAGGGAATCCTTTAAAAAGTTCCAAACACAGACTTTGTAAATAAAGTCATAGAGACAAGAAGAGAAACTGTAAGGAAAAAATATATGTATATGTATACATATTTTATTGATAAAACTATAACATTTTTGCTATTACAGCTCCATCCGCACCAGTCATCAACCCCCAGATGCCCAATTCGGCCACCCAGACGTCTCTGCATGTGTGCTGGAGCTTGTTCTCCGATGACACAGTGGAGTACTATGAGCTTTACTACCGGCCGGTGCTGGAGGACACACCAGCGGACAGCACCTGTGCGCCTCCTGGTATGACACACGGCCGCGCCGACTGCAGATCCTCGGCCCGTATCAACGCCATCTGCTCTTTAACCTGCATTAAAACACGCATTTATCGAGTACTGAATCTGTGCCCTTTTCAGAGAGCAAGGTAAAAGTGAAGGAGACCCACTGCTCTGTGGCTGACCTGCTGCCCAACGCTCAGTATGAGCTCTGGGTGACGGCCACCAACACCACGGGCATCAGCCCGGCCAGCGAGAAGGCCCTGTACATGACGGGTAATAGATAATTACTCCCTCAGATGGACTTTTCTTATCCCAGGCTTGCATTTGTGAGAGGAAAAAAATGCCTAAATCTTATTTTTATAGTGCCATCACCTCCAGTGATCAAGCAGAGGGAGTGTAGCAGTTCTCCAGAAGCTGCTCTGATCCGCTGGGAGTCTGGAAACACCAACCCTGTGGACTCCTACACGGTGGAGTTCAGTCAGATGGGAACAGACGGCACAGAGTGCAGCATCACCGAGTAAGAGCTTTGTTTATCAACCGGCCCACTTGCAGCTGATAGAGCCACATAAGATAACATCCATATTTCATAAAGCTTTCCCTGATAAAGCGCCTAGTTAAAATGAGCTCAGTAAAAATAGTAAGTGCGCTGCAGAATATGGGGAGCTTCAAAGACGTTTCTACTGCAATGAGGCCTTTGCTTCTGTACTTTCATTAACAAGTCGGGGTTAGTGCTTGCCTGGGATTTTTAAGTCCCGTGGTTATCGAGCTGCTGAATCAAGACTCTCTCTGTCCTAGAAAGTCTATTCTTAGCCCCAGCGCCCGCAGCACCGCTTGCCTCGGCTACAAGGCTGTCCTCACAATTTGGGGTCATTTTGCATTTTCACCCAGTCACTTCAGAAAACAAAGCGCCCAATCAAGACCCTAACTGATCTGTTTCAGAGGTGGAGAGACGTGTTTGAGGCTGTGCTGAGGAGCAGAGGAACGGCCCACCTTTCTGTTTGTTTTTGTTTTACCTTGCTGTCCTTCCTGCAGGTCCATCGTGGCTGTGCCCACCTGCCAGTGTCTGATCCAGCTGCAGCCCGGGCGCCGGTACCTCATCTCTGTGAGAGCCGTCAACATCGGTGGGCCCAGCGACCGGAGCGATGTGGTCACGGTGTCCACCACAGGTAGGAAGACATCACGATGGCTTATTCTTCATGCTTTTGACCCATGGAACCAGAAACTTTATCAAATGCTTAGCTTGCAAAACTATATTTGAAAGTAAATGCAAGAGCGATGATTTACAATAAAGAATCACAAACAAGTGTTCTTTTAACCCTCATAAATCACTTTAAGTTTGATCCCTCTTCCACTATGATAGCTGTGTTTCAAGTAGGTTCAGTTCTGTTAAAATACAAAATTCTTTTCCTTCCAGAGGAAGAAATTGTTAATTTTAACAGTTTACAATTAATTAATTGGTTCAATTTGAACCAATTAAATAGGACAAAAAACCATGGAATGGCAGAGATGAAGACCTCCAGATTAACACTTATCAATAATTAGAATTAACTGTTAGATATGGAGTCTGAGCATATCAGACTGGATATGCTCAAAAATCAATTAATATTTTTTTTATTCAATGGAATAAAAGCTCCAGAGCTGAGAAACTGCCCCTTTTCTTCAATACCTGTGCAGGAACGTTCTTCTACCTCCTGGAGGACACCGCCCACCCCTGTCTCTCCATCTCTGAAGACGGTTTCACCATCTTTTACGGGGACGAGGAACTCCCGATAAGCGCCATGGCTCTGGACGACAGCGCTTTCACCAGGTGGGGAAGCAAACGGCCGTCTGTCTCCATAGAAACGTGCTGCGAGAGGTCACGGGTGTGCGCGTGTGCGTTCAGGTGCGTGGGCATCCTGGGGAACCTGATCCCGGTGCGGGGCAGGCATTACTGGGAGGTGGAGGTGGACGGGGAGACGGAGTTCCGGCTCGGCGTCGCGTACGAGGACACGGAGAGGAGCTCCTACCTCGGGGCCAACGGCAGCTCCTGGTGCATGAGGCACATCCTCAGCCCGTCCAGGTAACGCCTTCAAAACAACTCAGAAGATAAATAAACTGGCCTCTCTGAGTAGGTTTCTGTCAGATTTAGATTTAGCCCTCTAGTCCCCATCAGCTCGTGGAAACTGGGCCACAAGTGTATTCTTAAGTGTTCAGAAATGTCCCTTTCCTCAGCAAAAAAAGTGCTCCCACTGCGTGGAAGTGTTATCCCACTGAAGCTGGAAAGCCTGCCCTGAATATGTTACTTTATGCGCGTTTCTATGGCAACTGTTTTTAGAACAAAGCAAAGCGGTCACGTTATTGAATTTGGCCGATACAGAGCAGCAAATCAAGAGACCCGAATGAGTTTCTGTTGTGAACATCATCACATGTCATTTTCTTTCATCAGCAGCCTTTTGAATCCATCTTCTTCCAATGACAGAAAAAGCACTTTTCTCAAAGGCCTGTACTTTTTTTTGTCGTTTAAAAGGCATAAATATGAGTTTCTGCACAACGGCCGGAGTCCTGACCTGAGGATTACGGTTCACCCGGTGCGGATCGGGGTGGCCCTCGACTACGAGCGGGGAACGCTGTCCTTCTTCAACGTCAGCCTGGAGCAACATCTGCACACCTTCCACTGTCACTTCCAGAATTTTGTCCAGCCCTGTTTTAGCCTGGACAACCCGGGAGCCCTTACAGTACACAACAACATCGAAGCTCCCGAGTACACCTTCATCTGACACGTCTAAACATGTTAACGGGTTTTTAAAAGCTTAGTGAGTGAAAACAAATTTTAAAAGTTACAAATAAAAACACCAAAGAGCCATTTTCAGAATCACCATAATACTTTAAGAAAGAGAGTGATTTTCAGTTGTTTTTATTATATTATTCCATGGGAACAGCAAAAAAACAAACATTTTCCAAGATAAGAAAAAGGTTTCATTGAATTTTACAATATGTATTAAACCATCCGTCACTGCAGCAGACCAGGTTTAAATTCCAAAAGAAATATGGGCTTTTTTCAACTAAGTAAAGACAAATTTAGGGGAAAAGGTATTTAATTTTTTTTTTTTTTAATGGAGTTGATAAAACAGTTGCACCAACATAAAAAAAAAAAATTCAAAAGGGGGAAAAGGCCACCCTGCGTGTGTCCAGACTTCAAATAGCTCTCACTCATGTGCTGTTTGCATTTTTTTCTGTTATTTTAATGATGGAAAGTCTGCCATTTAAAATCAGAAAGAATAAAAAAAACAGGGTGCCACGGGACAGATAAAGTGGAAGAAAATAGCAGGTGATGGTTCAAGTGCTCTAATAAAGTCAGGATACAGAAATCCTCAAAGTTCTGAGTCGATTTACAGGCACAACATGAGCTGCATTTGAAATCATTCGACTACTAACAAAAATACACGCTGACGGTGAACCAGCTGGTAGCTCCAGCTCTATATTTACACTAGCCTTCAGGTGGAGCAGCTTAAATGTGCTCTCCTGAGACCAAACTAATGAGGGAGGGTAGTATTAAAACCTTTTTGTATGAAGAGTCAAGCGAAGCACCAGAAAGTGGATATAGTTCAGACATTACCGGTATTTTCCTCCCTTTGGCTTTAACTTACTGATTACAAATCCATGTGCTGTACATCAGTTATATGGAGCCTGCCAACTTGGCAGAAAGTGAACCTCATTTTTAAAGGGTGGTCTAAAAGGGGTGACGATTTGTTCTTGTTTTTTTGGGGAAGTTGTGTCCCGCAGAGCCACAGAAATCTTGTTTTTTTGGCTAAAAAAGTGGCAGTATTTAGTCAAAACACTTCTGTAACCCAAAACTAATGTATGATAATAAAAGGGTAGACAGCAAAACTCTGTGTTGATTTACTGACAGAACACTTTGGGGCAGTCAGAGGTTATGAGTTTTCTGTCTTACTGCTGCGTGTCCTCTCCTCCTCTTCATCAGAGGAATCCCCACCGTAGGGCACAAGCCTTGAAGCGTCTACGCTCACTTTAGTCTTCTTTGGGCACGCGTCCTCCGGAACGTCTGTAAGGGCACAGTAAAAATGGAGAGACAGGAGAAAAGAAAGGTGGAAGACGAGAGAGAGTGGGGAGAAAGAACAAGACAAAGAGGAAACCCATTGAGGTGCCCCAAACAAGCGGTGGTTTTTGGGTTCGTTTGATCCAGGGCCAGGGGAGGGAAGATATCAAATGAAACGGCAGCAGAGCACACATCCATTACAGGCACGTCCGGGGACACATGTTGAGAGAGAAAACAAGGGAAAGACAAAAAAAACATATACAAGAAGAGCATGTTAGTGAGTTCCGCCAGGAAGAGAGTCACACAGGTCTCCACTCCTCCCCAACTGCTCCATGGGGGGAGATGCTACGTCATGCAACAGACAACTCCACAGAGGAAGGCTCCACTTATTCAGGCTCTCAGAATGCTTGGAGATGAAGAAGGGCATACCCAGTGAGGCGGTGCTGCGGGGCAGGCTGGCCGGGTCCTCCGCCGGAGCGTCTCTCGGCCTTTTGCGGGCGACGGGAGCCGGAGCCACAAAGGACGGGGGAGGTGGCGGCATCAGAAACCTGAGGCCAGAGAAGGAGCACGTTAACACCCGCCCGGTGCAGGATTGTGGACACAGATTAAAGGTGTGGCGTCAGACCTATCGACCACTTTGTCCTCGCCCGTGCTGGGTGCAGGAAGGGTGGACTCCAGATGAGCCGGACCCTCTGAGGAACAGCGGGAAGGCTTCAAAGACAGAATTATCATCCGTTAATATTTTGGATGGTTTTAAATAAAAGAAATGTAGCTTATGAGATGCTCCGAGTTGGGGATCTTTATCATTTTTGGCAGCAGAGAAGCACAAGTCCACATATATTAAGTCCTAAGCAGGCTAAATGCAAATTCATTTATTTAGAGGGGACAATCCAGTTAAATCTATGCAACACATTGAATGGCAGCATGGAGAAAAAACCTATTTTAAACACTCACAACATACAGACAGGAAAAGCTCTAAAAAGGGAGCACGAAATGCTCAACTGGAATATTTTTAGACACTTTCATTGAAAGTAAATGCAGAATTCAGCCCCCTTTTTTCTTTGCAGCAGTGATGCCTGAAGCTCTTTTTCAAGGTGAACAGTAAAACAAACAATAAACCGGGTCATATCTGTAAAAAGGACATGTTACACTGCCCACATTTCTTTTAAGTGGTACGGACAGGAGTTGCTCTCCAGCTAACCTGTTCATCCTTAGCCCCCTCTTGGAGATGTTTGGGACTTCCTGAGTCAAGGGGGGTGTTTAAAAATCCTTCAGGCTCCACTGTCTCACTGCTGCTTGGGTCCTTAAGTAGAGCACAACCAACACATACACACTGATGCTGCCAAAGGGTTTCAAATAAAGAGCTAAAGCCCCTCAAAGAGGCTAATTATGTGTGCTAGTAAATGGGATTTTTTTCCATCGTTTCTGATTGACCGACTGACACCAATATTTTGACAGTAACAGTTTAGTGGGTGTTGAGTGATTACTGCCCTTGTTCCTTAAAGCTTTGGGTAAAAACTGGAGTCTAAAAAATAAAAAAAAAATTCTTATACATGAACCATGACAAAATGTATTTCTAACAATTACCTGGACAAGATAGGGGTGTGGTTTCCTGGGACACACTGGATACTGAATCATTGCCTGGGAAGATGGAGGGTTTGTGGGCATGTTAGAACTTGGGGGACCTTTTGCATTACTCCAATAACCACCAGCTCCTGGATACGCTGCATAGCCGCCAGCATACCCATTTGCTGGGTAGTTATACCAGGACCCCTGGTTAGGGTAATTGCTATTAGATGGAAATCCTTGAGCTGCATAAGCTGAAATGACAGTATACAATGCCAAATTAATAGCAAATACGACTTGGATCAAAAGCAGGGTGTCTTGACAAATCTAATGTATGCTTTCAGCTTTCTGTTGAGCCACTAAAAAAACCCAGGGGGATAATTAACCATTAAAAGAAGAATGCTGTAAGCAAATACTTTATATTTGCTCACCCTGTTTGATTTTACAAGTCTAGTACCAAGACCTTAAGAGTACTCACGCTGCGTTGAGCCTGTAGCTGTGTAGGCCGACACTGTTCGGGCGTGTTCAGTTTTCACCTGAAGGGGGACACAAAATGAGGACGATTTCATCAGCTAAGTGAGCTCCAAAAAAGGATGCATCGATTCATTTTGGGCAATGCGATTGTGGGTAGGTGCAGAGCACTCATGACCTATCTCTGAAGATCAGGTGGTTCACACTACCGCGCTTCGTTTTGGAGGTGGGTATCAGTGAGAACTATACAGCTTAGTAGTTTCACCTTCTTATACCTCCCAAATCAGACAATGCAGATCGGCTCGCTTGGGAGCCATTTGCCAGAACATTTTCACAAACTTACGGTTTCCAGCAGACTCTCGGTGAGTTTCTTTGCAGACTCCAATCCGGCTGCGTTCGGGTGGCTGCAACACAAAAAGAAGCATTGTTTTGAAAAGATGAAGCAGAAGCCAACGGGGTAAAACAAAGGAGCATTTCTATGCGGGCTCTACACCACATTGATTTGAATTAATGGCTTCATATAATATATTTAAATGCAACTTCTTTACAACAAGTGCGTCAGGTCAAATGATCGTTTACCAGGGGTAAACCTACCTGACGTAGACATAAAGAGGCTCAAAGGACTCTCGCTTTGATGCTTGTTCAATGTAACCAGAGCCCTTCCCTCGCAGGAAGACTCGAGCACCGGTCTCGGTTTGGATGTGACTCAGATAGGAACCCCCTGGGCCCTCGACCTTTTCCTTTACATTAAATGAAGTCAACGCTTGGTCCAGACCCACAAAAATCTTTGTGTGCACAAAACTCTGAAGGTGAATGAAAAGAAAAGAAAGAAAGAAGTTTATTAAAATACTTCAATCCAAGATCACACACTATGTTTAGCTGGCAGTGAAAATGTTTTGTCAGCAGATGCGGTAATCCGGGGCTTTTCACTGGAGACCCGGGATGTTCTCTCTGCTAGTTGATTTTGGAGGTGGGTATCAGTGAGGCAACATAATCTTCATTTGCCTCACTTTCTTAACCTCCATTTTACAATGCTGCTGTGGTCTAAACAGAACTAAGAAACAGCAAATACACATCGCTATGCTTGTATCATAAAATATAGCACAGTTCACAGTTTATTGGGGTTTTTAAGTACCCTGAACATTTTATATGTCTGAGTAGTTTTGACAGGAAAACTTTAGCATGGACCATTATAAGAACATCTATATCCAATAAGAAACACAAAATGGTGGAACTGCCTACCCCCGTGTGAGGAGCAGCGGGTCTATGTCCCTGGACTGGCACTGCGTTGGTGGTCCGTGGCACGGGAGTGGCAACGACAGGTCGAGGAGGCTGAGGGTAGAGTGTGAGAGGCGGCATTATGGGAACCTGCTGTCCCCCTGATGCTGCAGAGGCCCGCAAAACATCCTCAGAGATGATCTCCTTTATCCTTATCACAGCCTCTAATGTTACAGAAAGTCAGCAATGGGTGAAAATGTGCCGGTCGCCACAAAGGACTTAGAATGGGCTTGTGAATTACATTAAAGAAGACAAAGCAAGGCTTTTTGTTACTAAGAGAATATATAAGAGCTGTAACTTACTGTTGACCTCCTCTTGAGTCTTTCCTTGGACATGCAAATACAAAGGTCTTTGTCTGAAATAAAGCAAGAAGGCAAACCATCATCCCGTGTAAATTGAATCCATTTCCCAAATTATTTGAAAACTCAGGAGGAATCACAGTGATGATAAGACTGCTCGATTAAGTTGGAACCAAGTTAGATATAATTAGACATGATCATTCTGAAAACTTATGTTGTTGCTATTACAAAAAGCCAACACATACCCTGCTCCACTTTCCTTAACAATGTCACTCATATAATGACCTTTTGTTGACACAACAGCTCCGCTAAACTGCCGAATCTAGGATAGACAAAAACAAAATTATGAAAACTTTGTAGAACATGCTTATTTTACAACTTATATACCCAGTTCTTTTCTTTTTTTTTTTTAATGCAGTGTGTCAGTTGTGACATTGATATGCAGGTTGCGTGCGTACCTCTTCTTGTGTTTTGCCTTTAGTAAGAAGGTCTCTGCAATTTATTGGAACATCATTTATGTCAACCTCAGTGACCACCATCTCTTCCACTGTGGTTGGTGTTTGAATACTTGAAGGTGCCTTAAACATGAAGAAGTCAATCAATCCTTCAGCACTGCACAATGAGACACACAATTATTGTCATTTAAAAAAAAAGAACATACCTTTGCAAGTAAGGGTGGAGGAGTCAAAAGCTTCCCTTTAGCCATCAACATGGCATTAATTTTAGCAGCCATTGCTGCTGCCATCTCAACTCCTCCTTGAGGTGGAGGATTTTCCCCCATTCCCTGTGGCTGGCCGACTGTGCTGGTTGATCCAACAGAGTTGACTTCTGATAACGAAACAGGGAGAGGTGCATTTCTAATGCTCCTCTGCTGCTGCACATCCACATTCTGTTTGGGCTGGGCCGGCTGGTCCCAACGGCTGGTTAGGCAGCTGAGAATAAAAGAAAAGGAAGAAAATCAAACTTTTTGACTTAATGACGACATTTCTTAAAAAATAGAATCAAGCTGACTGATCTAATATTTAATATACATTTGCATTTTCATTCTGGGCATGAGTTGCTTGTTTTTATTTTACGCTTCTGTTTCACTTGTCTCCAACAGTTTTATGGCGTCAAATTTCTAGAACCAGATAACAGACTTCTAATATTAGCCCTGAAACATTTCAAGGACCAAACACACATTAATGATCAGTTTCTCGTTAGACCAACCATAAGGGCACAGTGGACTTCAAGGTACAAAAATAACTAAAGAGCCCAGATAAACTTAATGCTTTCAGTAATTTGTAATCAAAAGTACAAATTCACAATACCACTAATCAAAGACCAAAAGTATGCTTAACAAATAAAATCAACGTAAATGCAACGTGCGCATTGGTTAGAAAGCCAGACTAACGCTATAAAATGTACGACTTAAACATGACAATTGAACTGTGATATATACACGTTTACAAGGTATGGTTTAGTTTTTAAAATGTGTTGTGTGTAGCTCTACAAAGTCGAACTTTTAAATCGAACATTTTAGAGTTACAACAAACTACACTAAAAGTTAGCATTACCATACACAAAAGCTAAGCTAGCTAACGTTTCAAATTACGATTGTGATTTCAATTGTACACAATATCAACGGGTCTACTTTGCAGTTCGGGATTTAATTGGCTGATTTCCGATACATTAAAAGAGACCAAATGAATTTTATTTAAGTTTTTAGAGTAAATGCACACCGAAAGATTTTTTTACAGGCCGGATTGTTAGCCGTTTGCTAGCTAACCGAATGGCTGTAGATAGTGTTACTTTAGCTAGCTAGCTAGCTAGCCTATGGCGAAAATGTGCTGTGCTGCTTATTAGCACGTTGCTGGCGCCAAAACAATTATCTCAAATTAAACAAATACTTACGGCGTTTGTCCTGTCATCCCCGAAGACATATCACTACTCCAACAAATCTATAAGGAATCGTAAGCTGTTTCTATTAAAGTTTACATCGGAGGACCGCCGCCATTAGCCTGTTCTCTGTTGCAATTCCCTCTGACGACTTGTCGCAAAGTCTGATATAGCGGAAGCTGCGCTGCGCTTTTGTTACGTAACCGTCTGGAAGAGTCCATACAGCACCCACGTTAAGTCTGCAGTATACAGATACGAATACACATGTAGTTTCCGGAGTTTTGCATTATTTATTAACGCACCGTGAAGCTTCGTCAAATTTGACCATTTCAAGTTAGATACACCAACTTTTTCCGTTTCCTTTTTGAGTAACCACAATGAAGATCTACTCTCCCGCCTTTTGTCCCAGGACGCTTAATTCAACCCTCCCTCTAAAATTATGCATAAGTTTAAACTTACCCTGCAGTTAACATTACAACTATGTTGTGCTAACGGTATGGTTCCCAAATATCTAACCCAAGCAACAGGTTACACAATTGCCCAAACTATTCCATCAATCTCATTATGTTACTTTTTACCCTTCGGTGTTAACACTGCATCATGAACAGAAATTAGAGCTTACATTTGGATTACCAAAATGATAGCTGTACATGTATTTGGATTGGCAAACATGTGGCACATATATTTAAGTGGACATTGAAGAACAGAATTCTTGAACGAAACCCAGACTATGGGTCAACTATAATGGTAAAATAGTTCTGTTCTGATGATTTTTCCACAGTAACAGCTGGGGCCTACACATACTTTTCTTTAAAAGATTTAAAGTTAATTTACAATGCTCACTTCAAAGCAGAAAACACTGATATAAGGGTGATGTAATATGATGAAAAATATTTTCAACATGGAGTTTTCAACATGTTTATTTTCAGTCTCATGCCAAAAGCCACCATTTTGCCATGTCCCTATTTTATAAGTTAGTGATGTCCCTTGCTGTGTCTTGCTGTTCCCTCCCCCACAGCAGGTGATTGCAGATGGCCCTCTCCACTCACCTAGTTTCTGATGGAGGTTTTCTCCCCTTTTTCCTCTCCGTTGCCAAGTGTTTGGTCAAATGATATTGTATTTCTTTCGGTGTCAAAGGCTGCTTTTTTTCCCCTAAATCAGGATCTTGCCCGACCTGACAAGACGTTTTTAATTATGTTGCTACAAAGGTTCAGTGTTGTACAGCTGATTTAAGAAGTCGGGTCATTTACATGACAGGGATTTTTAATTGATTGGAAGGAGATATTAGAAGATTATAAAAATTATGTTATTTGGCTTTTGAGGTTTTCAGATCTCAAAATCTGGAAGGGGAGACACACATAAATAGTAGTTTATGCTTTTGTGTGCAGCAAAACTCAGCTTCGAAACTATTTATAAATGAATTAGAGAGAATTTTCTACAGTCGCTTCTAAAACATGCGAAAAATATTTCCTTGTGTGGCAGGTATTGACTAAATATAAAGTTGTACCTCTTACAAAGTACGATAAGTTGGCTGAACTGAATGCAATTTCCAGTAAGAGTTAACTGATATAAGACAGAATTACATACAGGTAAGAGCACACACACTGAATTCCTGCAGGAAATAGACTTCAAACTTATAGCTGACATTATTTTATTTTTCATTGAATAGTATCTAATTTTTTCCCGTGCCTTCAGACCAAAATGTGAATCAGAAGGAACAAACAAATCCCCTGATTGAGTGAACAATTCTGTCATAGGAGAGAAACAAACATAACTGTGGTCAATGAATCGTCTTAACCACCACTTGCTTAGCTTGTTATGGCATTTATATACTGTTTAAAGAGGAAATAAGCAACAATCTTTAACATATATTAGTATCCTAATCTGAATCCAACCTTGAACAAAAAGCTGTTCCCTAGATCTGTGCATAAAGATGTTGGACAAGTGGCCAAAATATAATGATGATTGATCAGAAATCAATGCAAGCCGGCCTCTAGGAGACTGCTTAAAGACAGTGATAGACAATTCTGCAATCCACATCCTGCATTACCATTTAGTTCTCTGTATACATGCTCGGCGTGACTTTCTTATTCACAGGTATTCAGATAGCTATAATGGTTGATCTCATCTGCTGCAAATCCAGTGTAAAATTCATTGTCTATAAAAATATTGAGATTTACTTGAACATAACCTTCTGACTATGTTATAATAAAAACTCCAGATGTCTGTTGCAGTTGCACAGTGGGATGTACTGTATAAATATTGTATAAAATAAGGCAGTCTTTTCAGTAGGATAAACCAGATACAAAAATTTCTGGGAGAAAAAATTTCAAGTCCAAAATGTTTTCACATATTTCTGCTGTTGTCAAATGTCAAGCGGTTTACAGCATTAAACCAAGAGTAAGGGATTGTTGCAACAATGAATGCACCCACGCACTCACACCAACAACCAAAACACTCCCACTCATTCTCGCACACACAAACACACACACACAGTCTCCTGATGATCAACAATAACAGCTTATTCTCCAATGCAACATCCCATCCCTGGACAAATCACTGAGACGTAGACATTTCTTATATTGTTTACAGTGCAATACAAAAGTGTTCATTCAAACTGGTACTGTACTCTTGATAGGAAAATAAAAATGTTTAATAAGGTAATGCTTCATATGAATAATAGTTGTGAATTTTTGAGAGTTATAGTAGTATTTGTCTTCATTAGCTTTGGCTTTTCTCTCTTTTTTACTTTATTTTGTTCTTGCTTGCCAACTAATTCATTTATGGTATTTAATATAGAAAATATGGAACATCTAGGAAAAATCAGCATACCAAATCTTCCGTAATAAGACACCTATGATCAAGCTGTTGAGGTTTTTGTCTCTCAGCAGTGGCCCAGAATAGAAGGTCCACTCCCTGACTCGTAAAGGAAGCATCCTCCTCTCACATTTGTTACGACAGCTTGGTTGAGTTTCTGAAGGACACATGAAAAATATTGCCTGAAAAATAAACAAACAAACAAAAGGAAAGCAGTGGAGTGTTCGTCCACAGTGTGGCATCCAGAGGTTGAAGGAGTGGTCCTGCCTCATGAGAGCACAGGGATGGAGGTCGAGAGTGATTATATGGCCTGACGTGGACTAGACACCTTCATGTGCAGAGCCCCGCTTCCGTCTGTTTCCGCCGGTAAACAAGCAGTTTTTACCCTAACAGCAACTTCAGAGGCAGACAGGAGGGCCCATGTGGTAATCAGAGGATGGATGCTTTGCCAGGAGAACCTGTGAGAACCCTCTTTCAGTCATATCACTCGACCGTCTACGCCGCAAAATGCCCGAGAGGCATGAGAAGTCTTTTTTATTTTTTTTTAAGGATGCTGTGTGTCCGTGTCTGTTCGTCACAGCAAAGCCGGCGGCGTGACGGCCGCATCAGGAAGTCCCTCTGTGGTTTCTGTACGGACGGACACTCGGGGACGCTCGGCGTGCTACAGAAGCGGGAGAGTGAAGGCGAGGAGGCCCCCCGTGGCTGGCCGGGCTGGCAGGGAGAGAGACGCCCCCCGGCGGGAGAGAGGAGGTCCGCCCCGGACCGCGGAGTGGGGGGGGGGGCCTACTCCGGAGGGGGCCGCAGGCTGTGCAGCTTCCGCTCATCCAGGCCTTTCCAGTACTTGAAGTTGTTGTCCAAGTGCTGCATAAGATTGGGGAGGTCTGCAAAAGCTGAGATGACAAATGAGATTTTAGTTCAAACTCTGTTAGAAAAGAGCACTAGTAAAAAAATAAATAATGGTCAAAGCTAAAGTCCTTGTAATACTACGTAACAATGTTGCTTATTTTAAGCAAAACATCCCTGATTTTCCTACTTTTTCTTGTTGCACTGACCATTTGCAGATAGTACAGATTTATAAACTAAACTAAAATCAAAAGCATCAACTCCATTTATTCCACACCACAAATTTAACATCATCTCTCTTTCCCTCTAAAGGCTGTGTATTCCTAGTGTCCCGCCATGCAAACTCACCGTCCCATGCATCAAACATGTCTGTAATGAAGTAGTCTATGAAGGAAATCTGGGACTTTGGGATGCTACACGTGTTTCTGTCAAACACAGGCATAACCACCGGCAGGCCTTGTCTCTTTTCTTCGTCCGTCTGCATCAGAGGAAAGGGCAAAAGAGAACATGCGGTGAAAAAAAGGAAAGAAAAATCCCTCTCCTGTTAGGTAAGACCTAACTACTAACACCGCGCTAGTTTTTTTTTTTTTCTCCATTTACCTGTGCAAAATACTCCTCCGAGATGCGCCCAGCCCATTCTATACAGAGCTCCAGAGGCCTGCACGGGTTGGAGATGCCCGCACATTTAATCAACATCCGCTTGACCAAAAAGGGGTTTTCGGGGGATGTCAAAAATCTTTTCACGGATTCCCAAACGCCCTTTCCCAAAAAAAAAAAAAAAAAGAAGCAGAATATCAGCATAGAATTCTTGCTTGGAAGTTGCTATGACACACAAAAAATTATGTTCTTCAAGAATAGCTGACTATGCATGCACACAGACTATACTTAGATCAAAGTATTTGGTCAAGCTGGATTAGGCTAAAAGTGTTGTGTAATGACGACTGCAATGCCATAAATAATGTTCCTACCTGAACACTTATGCAGCTTAATTTGAAATGAATGCCTATTAAAATACAACAAATAAAAAGAAAACCTCAAACTTTAGTGTCTTGTGTAATTTATTAGGGCCACTCCTTCCTTTAAAGGCATGACAACTTTTAAAAGTCTGTGTTGAGAATTCCACACAAGCATGAGAAAGATGGTACCAAGTTGTAAAATTCTCTCCTCCAAAAGATATCCATAGCCGGGCAAAAACAGGCCTTAAATCCCCTGAAACGATTTAATCTCAAGTCTTTATTTGTTGTTGCTCGTACGCGGTGTGAGTATGATTTGTCATGGAATTAATCAAATCTGAATTAATATTTCCTTCCTCTACTTATACATAACACAGGTGTGAAAATAACAGAATAAATTCAAATCATTCTGTGGAGTTATGGAACCTAAATCATTTTGAAATCTCACCCCATTCTCCTCCAAAGCAGCCAGTGGCTTGTTGATGCTGTTCACAAATTTGTTGACGTGTTCAAAGTGTTTGGTCATCTCGGTTGCGAGCACCATATCTATGATGGCCTGTCGTAACGTCCGGTATTCATTTCTGGAGAGAGGAAAAAGGAGAGATGGACAGAAATCCGATGAGTGACGGAGAGAGAGAACGGGAGAGGAGCAAAAGAGAAAAACAGAGGGAGAGGGTGACAGTGTGGTAAATAGCATGGAAACCCGTGTGAACAGTTTTCTCCTTCTGACGGCAGCAACGGTGGCAATGAATGGCCGCCTTGTTCACCGCCCCCCTCCAAGGGGACCAGCGCATGTGAGCTATTCTGTTTTGGGACTCAAATCACATTACTATCCCGCCAGTGTTAACACACAAACAGGGTATTTCTTTCATCAGAAAATAAGCATCTTTAGCTTATTGGCCATGGCTCTTCGTGATTAATATCTACCCTACATACATTTCTCATAACCTGTGCATAATTCTTTCTTTTAATGCATGAAGAAATTCTTTATAAAAGTATTTGTCAATGTAAGGAAGAAAAGTTTACAAAATGTCCTTGTTTCACAACTCAGACAGTGCAAAAGCCAGCAAATTCTTATCAAATGTACAGAAACGCAGACAGAAATTAAAAGGTTCTGTAAAGAGAGGCAAAAATTCTTCTTATATTTGATTACGTAAAGTCTGTCAGAATAGGGACTTTTTCTTTTGCTTGTCACTACATCTGAAAAATACATCAACAGAGGTTAAGTGATCAAGGAGCCCATATCATGCTCATGATAACATTACAAATATCATTATCATCATAATATTATTTAAGCCTGATAACACATGCTGTATTTCTTTAGCTGCTGAAGCTGTTGTCACCTTGTATCTGAAATGACCCCTGCCTCTATAAGCTGGCCCTCTTGGAAAGGCTCGGCCATCTTCGATTGGTCAAAAAAAAGGCTGGAGTGAAAGGCAGGTGCTTGTTCTTTGTTCGATCGGACACATATCATGCAAATGCGCTGCATGGTGATCAAGAGAATGACGCCTTTTTGGTGCGAACGAGGAGCTGCTCTGTCCATTTAAGCAAATAAAGCCGTGCTTCATAAAAAATTCATAAGGGCAATAAAACATTACGGAACATTTCTGTTTGCTAAATATGTCTTGGACCATATGCACGCACAGTGGTGCTCACTGGTGTCAAGCACAGCGAGTCCTTTCTTCAAGAACTGATGGACTGCAATCAGCGTAAACTATTACATGACCTCTTATCTGATGGCCTGGAGCACCCCAGGCCCCAATGAGTATTGGCTGTGTACATTACCACATTTCTGTGTTTGATCACTCTCATGTCAGTTTCTGACTGGGCAGCTTCAGTTGACGCAAAGGTTCCCAGAGCCATTTTTAAATGAAAAACATTGAAATTGTAATAAAGATATCAGAAAACACATGTACTCCAATTTTATCCCGCGTAGAGATATCTAATAGGAAACAATTAATTGGAGTCTATAATTTTTATGTCCATAAATATTCACAGTTGAGGGCCCAATTTCACCAAAAAGTCTTATAAGTCTTTGCATGCTTCGTAAGAACAGAAGTAACTCTTTGAACTAAATAGCTGCTGCTGTCAGCTTTCCAAGTTTCTCTTCGGTGTCTGGTGTTCACATCAGTGCGGCATTGGCAGGGTTTAGCAGAGCTTAACAATCTTTTGAATAGATTAATTCAATCAGAATTAGGCGTGTTGAAGCAGGGTAACATCTAAAGCCCGCGGGGCACTTGGACACTCCTGTAGACGGATGAGAACACATTTAGATCTCTTACCTTTCGATGTTTTTGAAGATGTTGCACTTATCGTCTCTTGTGGTGATCTGGAAGGCCAGTGCAGCGTGGTGACTCTCTAGCACGGCCGTGTCGTTGTAGAGGATGGCCAGCTCGCTTCCCGCGTTGCAGAGGAAGCTGTTGGTGCGGCCCGGGTGGTCCACATCATGCACAGTAGCTGCAATCAGCGCGGCCACCTCATCAATGGGATCCAAACTTTGCTGTTGGGGCAAACAACATGAAATAATCTTTAAAGGATATCGATTTGTACTATCAGCAATGGAACACTAATAAAAGTCTGTTGACTAAGAAAGTGGTACTGGCCATCGCCTGTTGGATGGTTTCCATCACAAGGTTATAGAAAAATAAACAACAGATTTGGGACACAACAGTGTGGTTTAAAATGTGATTCTTTGTTTGTAAATTCACTGTCAGAATTTCAGGGATTTAATAACCCTGAGTGCTGTAACTTCACAGTTCAATAGTTATGTCAACAAAAGATCACTCCACTGGGATTTTTTTTTAGAAAAAAGGTGGTTTAGTAATCAGCTTAACACGCGCTAAACCAGTGACACACTTGGGCAACGCCACAACACTGTTGGATCAAGCAGCGGCAGGTAGGGACTTGACACCCAAGACCTAACGGAAACTATTGCTCAAAGGAATGAAATGTCACTTTCGCAGGCACGGGCTTCAAGAACCTGAAGAAAAAATGTTAAATTCTGACACATCACCTAAGTAAACGAGACCTGCAATTAATCACAAATCTGTGGAGACACTCTGTGGATTGGAAGTTATTTCAGTCTTAATAGTGTTACTGTTGCACATTTTACCTTGACCCTCTCCTTGCAAAGAAAATATGCAGTAGCATGCAAGACATCAGCTGCATGGCTGGAGTTGTGGTAGGAGTTACTGGAGTGGTAATTCGCTTCAATCACTTGCAACCATGAGCGCAGAGTAGCTTCGGGGCAGTTTAAGAACTCACAGACCCCAAAGCGGGAGAAGATCTTCAGGCCCAAGTAGGTCAAAGGTCTGTGGGAGGATCAGAATAATGGTTTAGCACAAACTCTAGTCTTAAGTTCTAGTTTCACTCTGAAATGATGAACACATGCTCCAGATAGGGCTGCAGCCTCACCGTTTCATGGTTGCAGCCTCCAAGTTGAAGACGTCAAAGTCCCAGCAGTCCTCATTCTCCATGGTCTGAGCAATCCGAGGGGGGATGTCATTTAATGACAGAGGGGTTGTCAAGTGGCTGGGGAGATGGTGAGGCTCTGTGAGCGAGAGAAAGAAGCAGGAAAAGAGGTGTAAATGTCTTTTATGCTACTTCTGGCTGAACCACATCAAGAAAAAAATAGGGTGATTAACAATCTTTTGATTTAGTTTTTAATAAGCAACAAGGAAAAGGAAACCTCAACAGATCTACATTTGTGTTTGTGTCCACCCTTTATGTAAACTCACGCTTTGTGGCGAGGATGTATTCATTTCCTGACAATCTGCGCAAACCATCCTGTGAAGAGAAGAAAGTTTCAGGGCCCGAGGAAAAAGGAGAGGAAGTGTTTAAAGAAACGTCATTATTAGTCCGTCATTTATCTTTTGGTAAGAGGCACATAAGGAGTTCAGTCCAATGTTGAGAGCATCAGCCGTCAAGGAGAAGCTGACATACAACATAACATAAGCTGTGACATGGATCTCCTCTTTGCTAAATGGAGCATGAACCAGCACCAACATAAACAAAGACCTCAGCAGAAACCGAGGTGTGTCGGGTTATGTGTTTGTGTGTCAGAGACATGCAAAACAAGGTGAAGGACAGATCAGATAAAGCCTCAAGTCACGTTCGACCACCATTTAAATGACTGACCCCTAACATCAGTCTCAACAGCTCATTCTGACTCAATTCTCAGAGCAGAGAACCGTAATGCATGTTTTCAATCACTTGTCTATATGATTTAAAAGAAGAAGAAGAATTAGATTTGGGATGTGTGAACGCGGTAACATGAACTCGGTGAGCCCCTCATTATCTCCACGTCTTGTTAAAACCATTTTGAATGTTCGTCCATGTGTGCTATGACACAATATTTGGAGGCCACGCTACACCAACACCTCAAGTCATTACCTCACTGGTGTACTGGGCATTTTAATGAAAGCTTTGTGGAGTCCAAAAAGTAATTATCAGATTTATGAACTGTAATGTGTCAGAAATGACACCATGATGATTTATGCCTTTATGTTAGCTAATATACAAGAAATTATTCCAACATGACATTTGTCTTCCTCTGAGCATTACTACATGCTGTGATAGCAAATGGGGCTTATCAGTGGAAAAACACTTCCTCACCCAAATGATCAAATAAGCAGTGAGAAGTTTAATGATCCCTCTCTCTTAGGACTGTGATTCATACCAGCTGTGTACAACTGACTGCCTGTAAAGACTTTTAGAGATGATGGACAAATATTTGAACAGCTAATGGATAAGATTGTCATGAAATAGTAAAAAAAAACTTTCGACGTCCCAAAGGGATACATTCTTTTGATGACTCCTCAACTTTATCTGCAACTGGTGAAAAAAAAAAGAAAGGAAAACAATTATATAAAATGTGTTTAGCACTGTAGTGTGCCTAGACACCCCCTGAATAACAGCATGTTAGCATTGCTATGCGCTCTGGTGCGATCCATTGGACCCAGAGAGAAAAACTTGCTTTAAATTAGATTTCCAAGTCGGTAAGTCAATGGAACTTCACAAGTCCCAGCCTTGCTTTTCAGGAGTGGAAAACATTCGAGACAGTTGCAATCTTCCAAAGGGGGTGGCCGTCCCAGCAAGTTCACCCCGAGGTCAGACCGTGAAAAGCTAAGACCAACTTCAAACAAACAAACAAACAAAAGCCACAGTAGACCTCCGACATTTAGCTCTCTAACGGATCCTGTAAAGTTCATGACAGCATGAAAGCTGATCAAGTGTTGTTTGTTTGGATCGGTAACATGAAGATATTCTCTGCTCTCTAAAAAAAAGAACATGGCAGCACTCCCCGAAAGTTGTGTCTGGATAAAGTTCAGGGATTTGGGAATAATATTGATCCAGAACGCAGTCTTCAATCAGCCCAAGAAGTCTCACGTCACCCCTCTGTTCATTGAGCTTTACTGGTTACCCCTGGTTACCCGTAGTTACCCCTGGTTACCCCTGGCTGCCCGCATCAAATTCAAGTCCCTGATGCTGGCCTTCAAAGTGCTTAAGGGTACGGCTCCCGTCTACTTGAATCCTCTTGCAAAGGCTTATGTCACAACTCGGTCACTCCGGTCATCAATGGATTGGCGTCTAGCAGAGCTGCACCACGCTTAAGACGATCCAGACTGCTTTCATGTGTTGTTCCAAGATGGTGGAACGACCTACCAAGCACTACAAGAATAGCCCCCTCTACTACTTTTTCTGTACTTCCCTCTATCTCTTGGCTGTCACCACTGACTGACTAGGGATTTTACTCCAGAGAGCTTATTGTCAGATTGATGATAACTGTAACATTGTGTCTACTTTGTAAGTCGCTTTGGATAAAAGCGTCTGCTTAATGCATAAACATCAATATTCTTTTGATAAGCAAGATCAAAGTGGATCATTTTGGTCATCATGCAGAGCACAATAATTTGTGCAAACCAAACCCAGCATGTCGGCACAAACGTCTCGTATTAGCTGTTAAACTCGGTTGTGGAGGGCTGATGATTTGGGATGTTTTGAAGGCATATAATCATTAAACCCACCACACAGTCAGTATACTTAAGTATTATTGGGTCAAATGTAAAGTCCCCTGTTCCACAGCTAAAGTTAGGCTGAAACAGGGCTGGCCTACAGCACAGGGATTGCAAACACAGCAGCAAATCTGAAAAATAAAAATAAAAAAATGCAATGTGTTGCGATGGTCCAATCAATGCTATGCCTACAAACATCCACGAGAAGGAAAATATCCCTGTAAAAATCATATAATACTGATAAATCTTTTGGAAATTAATCTTCAAGTTTAAATTTTTTTTAATGCAAACCTTCTGGATTTTAACCTTAGATGTGTAAACCAAATTAAGGCAGGGCACGACAAATTATATAATATGTAACTAACAGATGATACATAATAAATATATATATATAATTGAATTATACATAATGTTGTTTATCTCTGGTTATACTTACAATATGATAACTGAAGAACTGAGAATCTCCCATTTTAAGGAGCGGCCTGTGCATATGGCTGACAGGCCTGTGTGGTGAACTCGGACGCACTGCACAGGCCACGGAACATATAGGGTGTTAGTGAGTGCATGGGTGTGTTGCAGATTGAAATGTTTACTTCACAAGTGAAAAAGGAAGAGGGGACTGGCTCATCTTTGACCCATGCATTGTCTCATGGTGGCGCTGCCCCTGTACACGCCGGCTATTTTAAGACTTTCTCCCAATAAAGATGACAGCTCCACTTTTCATGTAGTGCCGTGTCTTCAATCAGGTCCCAGCCCCCCTTCACCGCAACAATCAGGAAACCGATAACAGGAAAATACAAACGTAACGAGGTAGGTTATAAATACATAAATAGTAGTGTAAGGCCAGAGAAATTGTTTTGTCAAATAGCCGGCTTTACTGCGAGTTTCTAAGTGATGCAGAACAAATCTCTCTGGTGAAGGACAAACACCTCTGAGCCTTTGTGTTTCCAAAGAGTACATGTGTAAGTAAAGCCATGCTTATTCATCTGATCCAAAGAACAGGATGTTTCCAGGCCTGTGGAGTCAAGAGGAAAACGCTCATGTGAGTGTGACCGTGTGCAGAGTGTGTGCACAGACAGAGGGAGAGGGGGGAGAAAGAAAGGGTGGGGTGGGCTTTCCTCTCAAGCCTACAGGAGCACAAAGGACAATCTAACACTTCCTCTGGGTTTGCTGCCAAGACTGCCAACTTGGCACTCTTTCTAATTCTGTTCTTCACCATTACTGTCCGTTAATCTGTTTGTCTCTTTGTCCCCCCCCCCCCCCTTAATACGAGCAGGAATCCCTGCTAAAACACCCGTCCACACACAACTGACTCTTGTCTGCCTCAACAACCCACAGCGTTTCACAGCGTTTCACAGCGTTTCACAGCACACGCGTGACCTAAAGATTCAGCCCGGTTAAGCTGATTTCTGCCCTGGTGAGGGGAAGCCGTGTGGACGTTTCCATTGTCTTGAAGGACCTTCGTGCGGCTCCGTGGGTCCAGTTAGTGCTTACCGTCATCAGCCCCCCGACCAGGTCGTTCGTGTGGGGATCTTCGTCCTTGGTGCCCAGCTGTGGAGAGTAGAGCTCCGTGGTCCTCAGGATCTCCAGCACACGATCCAACGCCTCCGCCACGGGCATGGGACTGCTTTCCTGCGCTGCGTTTATGATGTTTATCACCTTAATGGTACAAGAAATAAGAGATTACTAGAAAAAATAATATAGTAGATGAACTAAAATACCACAATTAAATACAGAAAAAAAAACATACACATTGAACCACAACTTAAAAAGACAAAAAAAGCCCCCAAAACGTATATTAAATAAATTCATGACTTAATGACTTCAAATATACAAATTTTAGCCGACACTGCTTTATCTGGGTCATTCCAAAGCCTTTATACTAGACTACAAATGCCCCCCCCGCCCATTGTTTTAGGCATACGCAGGGATGAAAGGTCACAAATACAGCTGAGCACCTCTGGGAAAACAACTTAATTTGCTGATTTAAACAGACATAAAAACAACCCCTGCGGCAGGCCCACATTTAAAAAAAAATGATAGTAAATGTTGATGCGCTTCGTGTTTTATAAGTTTAGAAATAGGGAAACAGAAACGGAACTGTATGTTTTTATGTTGTAACATGCCCCGGCCTGATTCGCCTTTGCCAGCATGTTAGGATCACCAAGACGGGTTCAGAACTATTATCAGCCGATGGTAAAAGAAATTTAAACACTCGCGGAGAGGATATGTCCAATTACGGCAATGTGGGAAACCCTACCTGCGATCTCCTGACAGAAGCTGTCATTGAGAAAGAAACATTTGGATCTTTAGCTGTCCATGTGACAGATTAGACTTTTTGGATGTTCGACCAGTGGAATAAAAACATTGAGCAAATTTAGCATTCAAATGTGATCCAGTTAATCAAGACACTGAAATGGAGCAGAGCCTGGATTCTCCAGCAGGCCTTTGATACAGAGCAGAGCCTTTATCAGTCATGACATACGGGTTGTTAGAATAACATATCCCAGGCTCTGTGAATACGTGGCTGACTACTAAAAAAGAAAAACCCTGTCTGAGCTGAACATTCCTCACCGGACAACTGGTTATTTTCTATCTTTGTCGTTGTTATTCTTTCTTTTCATACATTTTCTTTCATTACATAGTCCCAGTAAATTCCTAAATCTTGACTTTTACCTGAATCTTTTTTCCCCCATTAACAGAAAATTTGCCTGTTAAATACAGCAAATTTCAAAACATGTCCAAACTCGCCTGGAGCTGGATGGTATTAATAAACGGTCCCATGATTCCACATCAGCACCAGCAAGCTGTGATCCGAGCCCAAGGTGTTTTGTTAACAATGATTATTAACGGCTGCAAAGTTGCTCATTTCAAAAGTTTGTCTGTAGCAGAAAATGCATTTTATCAAATAAAAACTAACTAAATAAATACAAGCTTGGCACAGGTGTGTGTAGGTTTATATATTAAGAAAGGATGTGTATATATAATATCACTGTGCAGGGATTTTTCTGAACAAAGCTTCTGATGGTGACTGATCATTTATAATGAATGGAGAAATCGAACCCATTCTTTGACAATATATAGCTTGTCTGTCTAAATCTGTCACACTAAAAGGAAAAAACAGAAAACATGCACCAGGAATAAACTCTACATGCGGCTGGAAGCATGAAAGAGAGTTTCTCAAGCTGTGAAGGCATCATTCATGTCAAGTCTTATCTGGTTAATTCAGGCTAATCATCATCATTTGGTTTGGCTATCAGAAATCATGATGACTGCCTGTCTTGCAGGACAAACTAACAAGGGAGAAAGAAATGACATAACTTAATTGTATTAGTTGAATTATAAGCTGTCACAAGAAAATGATTTAATAAATATCTGAAATCTCTGGCTTTATGGGCCACTGAATACTTTTTTATTTCAGATTACTTAAAAAATAAAGGGAAAAGAACGCAGTCATTGTGTGCCGTTCACAATATTGCTGCAAAACGTGAAGACAAAGGGGTTAATAATCTGCTACGGAGCCAATATCGTCCAGAGAAAAGCAAATTCCAAAAGTGCTCCCTGAACTGTAGAATGTTACACACAAAAGAAAGAAAGACGGGGTAAAGGGCGGGATTAAAGAGCAAACTTCAGTGAGTCCGATAAGGAAATCACTTTCAAGCAGCTGGAAGAAATGGAGTCTCCTCAAGGAGAGCAGGAGGCAGCGAGCCATCAAAAGCCAAAAGAACCAAAGGATTTAGACGCCTCCAGTACTACACTTTGTACAAATTCCTAGAAATAATCTACAGACTTATGGAAAATAGGGAAGAAAGCGAGAGACAATTCTCATCCAAAGAAAAAAAAAAAAGATTTAAGTGCAAAGAGGATACATGACGTCAATGTTATGCAAAGGAACATCTACGTTCATGAAGATAAAAGCACAAGAGATTAAGACTGAGTAAAAAATGAGTTAAAAAAAAACTTTTTCAATCCGAGAAAACTGTTTTTTTATTTATTTTTCTTCAAAAGATGACACTGATGGCCAAAAAAGGCTCTAATGATGGGCACCTATGGCGAGGTCAGCAAGCATGTGCAGAGACGTAAGTTCTTGCTAATTTGCTTCTAAATGCACACACACAAAATCGTACACACACACATACACACACACACACACAGTGCTAGCAGCTCTATCAGTGCTTTATTCTCAGGAGGATGACGCCTACAGGGACTGACGACACAGTCAAATGATCCAGCGGAGGAACTGCAGTGTGTCATATGACCCATCCCCGGGGACTTTCTCCGTTTCCGACCATCCGGGCTCGCGAACTACACAAACCGCTAAAACAGCACAACATTCTGGTCCAAGATGCTTTCCCCTCTTGCGCATACAACAAGGCTTTTTTTTTTTTTTTAATCATAGTAGCTCCTTTTGAAATGGTGTGCATGACCTCTATCCTTAGTGCTCGTAGCTGTACAAGAAATGCTGATGGCAATTGCGGCAGTTTTTTTTAATGCAAGTGTTCAGTCATGAGACAGAAAACGTCGATACAATGCGGTGATCATATGACGGAGGCTGGGAGGGATGTGAACCCACCTTGGTGATGGGGGCCTCTATGGTCATGGAGTGTATCCGGGCCATTGAGGAGTGTCTTCTCTGTGAGCTCCCTGCGTGAAATTAAACGAGAGAAAAAACGTGTACATTTCATAAGCATCGAGAACAATTAAGCTGCAGTTTTCAAGCTACTTTTCTAATCAGTGCACGTGTATCCAATGAACCGATGACACAAACAGACAAACAGGGTATGTTTCATGAGCAGAGTGTTTCCGTAATCCGTCTCCCCTCACTCTCACCATCACTCCCCCGAGACGCTGATCTGACGTCCAGAGAGCCTTTCCTTCGGTCCTTGTGCTTACTGGATTGTATGTCTGGGGAGGAGAAAACTCCATTCATTAAAACACAGAGACACGGCTCAGTTTTTGGGTGGTTTTGGCTTCCTTTATTGTACACAAAACGGTCTGTGTCCAAAAAAGTGGAATTAACTCTGTGGTTTGCTGTAAGTTTTGTTTGAGACTAGGACAAAGTTTAGAGCAAAATGTATAAAACGGAGACAAACGTGGGGTAAAAGAAAAAAACAACAACTCTCACATGATACAGACTTCTATAAACTCTCCAAAGACTTTCAAAGATGAAACAAATCTATTTCCCTGTGGTTGAAATGACATTCTTTGTCTTTGATATTCGTTTCAGTCTGTAGTAATTAAAGATAAGAGAGGTGAGTTCTCTTCTATTGTCTTACTATATATTCACTATCATAACTTAGCCTGTTAAAAGTGTCAAAACTCCTGACTTCCACCGTAATTTCTACAGTTGATGAGTCTAAAATAGAAGAAGTATTCGGAATTGTCATTATTATTTTTCAAGAAACTTTTAAGAGTTCATATTACATTTTCTACAGACTAATTCCACTCAAACATAAATACATACTTCTCTGACTGATTTTTTACTCTCAAAAACACTTCTGTAATTAAGTGGAATTTCCATGAAAACTTGTCAGGATAACCATTCTTTATTATGTGAATGAATAAGACACAAAGTATACTTGGTTGTCTAAAATCTGTAAATTGTAAAAATTGGTTTCAAAGGAGGTTTTGCTGTGAATCTGTGCTTTCACAGAAGTGAGCAGGAAACCTTTCTTTGTGTCTTTGTCTAAAATAAGGCAGGCAGCCCTCATTTGAACATCACATAGATTTGGCTATTATTTTTTCAAGTCAATCTTAATAAGTAAAAATATAAATCTAAAGGTTTTCCAGCGGAAAACGAGAATTTCTGTGTTTTAAGATGGAAAATCTTAAAACTGCTGTAAATGACCGAACACTTTAAGTTGTGTTATGGCGTCACACTGGGAGCATTATCAACCCGCAGAGTCCCTTATCAGAAACCAAGTGAAAGGGTATTGTAGAAGGGTGTGAAATATACTGTGCTGGAACACCATGTAAAGCTTCATAAACAAATAGCAGTCAGCTAGTGACGCAAGCACAAGAGAGATATGATCCCTGTTTTGTTTTCTTGTCAGAAGTCAGACTGTTGTGTTGAAATCAGTTGCAGCTGTGGACAGACTCTACAGTCCATACCACAAAAGTAACAACGGACCATTTAGTAAAAATAAAAAAAGAGAGAAAAGGTACTATTTTAAGGTCAAGAAAAGGCAGATAGGATTTCTTTTCAGTTCCTTCTCAGCTAGATAAAGCAGGACTGTACACTGTTGGAGACATGGGGCAATAGATCTGCTAACTTATTTTCAAAGTTTCTGAGTTTATTCCCAAGTGGAAGTATTTCAAAAGTACAGGCAAATGAATGAGAATTACATCTAAGAATTTGAAATGTAATGAAATTGGATGCTGCACCTCCAAAATAAGAGTGAAACATGTCATTCTGGAACATAACCGCAATGGGACCACCCAGAATGTTTATCAGTGATGTTGAAAAGTCAAATAAATAGTCTGTTCTTCTGGAACAGAAAGAGTTTGGGGATTGATCTCACCTGTCTGAGACTCTGCCTGCACACGTTCACTGGATCTATCGCTCTGCAAGAACAAAGGGAAAACAACGATAATCCATTCAGGCCACAAGTCTGCTTTCATTACATATTTATTAGCAAAACTGCACACACATCTCACCTTATTATTATCATTTAAAGGCCTGTTGATAGACACATAGTGTCTGATTTTCCTGTAGATGACAAAAAAACAAACATATCAAAACTGAAAACTGAAAAAAAAAACATAAAAGCAGCTGTATTGTAGGAGAATCATTCAATTGCGTAAGACTCAAAAAGTAAGACTCAAACTTCAACTCACCCTCCCTGTCCAATTACAGGTGTGATCTTCACATTTTGTTGAATGCTGTCTCCATTCTTCTTTTTGGCATAATAAGTCCCCTGCCACTCCTAAAATAGGGAGTAATGTGAAAAATAAATACGACTTAAATGATTCATTGTAGGATTACGCACGGGTCTATTCTGTGTCACTGTGAGGAGGGCTGCGTCAGAGCATTTCAGAGAGCAACGAGTTGCTTTAATGGCTAGGGAGGACTCTCCTGGAGTCCAGTGTGCCCGTTTTATGTCCCCCCCCCTCCCCCCCCCACCTGTGGACTGCTTTAGCAGCTTAAAAAGACCCGTCCTGCTGTTCGCCTGTCTGGGCCTGACCTTCGCTCTCTGTGTAGTAAGATTACAGCACAGCCGTCCACCACTGTCCCTCTGCACATGAAACAGAGCTGCTGACCGGCGACCCTCGTGCACGCACACATTCACGTGCACAAAGGCAGGAGCAGATATCTGCCGCGCTTACAGGAGCGATTCCAATGGGGAGGCGAAGGTCTATTGTGAGCGCTGTGCAAAAGTCTGGAGCCACAGCTCGTTTCTTGACACAATTAGCCAAGAAACGTTGAACAGATGCAGAAATTTATCCGAACATGTGTTTGTTATAACCACCATTGTTCTCAAGGTCTCCTTGTTGTTTCTTTAAGTACTCTTCAGGAGGAGTTCTTGAGGATTTTTGAAGGAAATCCTAAAGCTCTATTTATCTCTGCCAAGGTAATCCCATTCAGGATACGTCAGCCTTTTCTGCCCTTGTCCCCTCCATAGGGCAATCTTCTCCACAGCCATCCCACCCTGGAGACCATGTGACCATCGTAATCGTTCCTTCGTTCTAAACACTTGCCCTCTAAAGAAATGCCTATTTTTAAGTCAGTGGCTTTTTAGGAATCACCTTGTTAGTGTATGATTAAATTAGATGATTTTAGTTTTCAAACGGAGCGCATTTTGAATCTTTGTAAGAGAAAAGGGACTATGGATACTAGTCTTCTGTTATTTTTAAACTGAACATAGACCTTTATACCTTAAGCTATGGGACCCTTTTTCTCCTGAATGATTCATGAGTTAGTGTCAGCAAGCAAAAGGAAAATGTATTTCCAAGCAATGGTCTGGCAAAAAGAAAAACATCACATATGCAAAGATAAACTCAGTAAGAAATTAAAAAAAATCTTAAAAACTATTCCTCAACAATGCTTTAGAAAGGATCTCAAGAATGTGTAGCAGCTTGAAATCATTATCATAAAAAGATGAGGGCCGGCTCAAGACTTTTGCACAGTGCTGTGTGTCTTCAATTCAAATATGAAAGAGAAAAAATGTGTGCTGGAACTGGAAAGCGTCTCATATAGCGGCACAAGTAACTGAACGCACATTACCTTTCCTTTCCGTATGCAGGAGTTTATTGTTTCAAGGAGATCAGGCTTATTCTTCTCACTTTTAGGCACTTCTATTATTTCCTTCCCTATTAGTTCGCCTTGTTGGTAGCCCATAATGGACTCGTAGGCAGGATTCACATACTGTGAAGGAGAGGAAACAAGAGGGTTTAGGTTTACAGAGATGGTTATATACACTGGGTTCAGTCGCTGTATACTGATAGCCTCTATTCGAGGCAAAAAAGGGTTTGATTTCAGTTGAAAATATGAGGAGAACGGAGGCTACTGTGTTCAAAGCCATTAAATATGACAAGAACTACAAGAATCGTGACTGAGATCTGAGATCACAAGACACGAACAGGCACTAAAATAAGCAAACGCACCTGAATAACTTGATCTTCAGAAGTGATCTCTATGGCGTCTTGGCTTTGTTCCAGCGCTGTGAAAATGGCATTGCCAGCCCTTTGTGTGGAGACACAACAGTAATGCAAACAGTGACACATACAGCGGTGCGAAGGCTCTAAGTGGACATTTAATACTTTCTCAAGACGGATATAAAGAGGGGCATTAAAATGGCATTAAATATTCACTCTCATATCTTCCTCTTAGCCTAAGAGCTTTAAAGCGTTGTGCTGCGCGGCGATTTGCAGAACTCACCTCAGTTTGAACTGTGCCAGCACCTCACCGTGCTCCAACTGTAGCAGCTCATTGTAGCAGGCCATCATATTGGCATTTTCCACGTATCTCTGAGGATCAGAGCGGCACAGGTCAAAGACGGCGGGCACCTGGTCTGTAGGACCGATTCAAGCCGGGCCAACCCAATAAACGCACACCCGAAGTATCACTTCATTTGGCTTTTTGTCTCTCAGCGATGATCAACAGCTCGCCATTTAAATAGAATCAATAGAAAATTGCGTATAGAGGTGGTTGTAGTAACACTGTGTACTGTACACTTACCCTATTAAAGCCGGCATTGATCAGTGGCATCACAGAGGCTTCCTCTCTGTCGGGCCTAGAAAAGCAGGCGCATGTTAACAACAAAGCCCCACATGACAAATGCTTGTCTAGAGGACATCAGGAGGATGTTACATATGACAAGCTGCAGGCCTTAAGACTAAAAATTGATTCTTTTATTCGCCTCCGACATAACCTCTGATCATTAGCTACGGGGGGGGAAGAAAAAACAAAAAAAAACACAAAAAAAACAAAACAAAACAGTGAGAAAAAGATCAATAATAAAGAGAAAGACACTTACCTTTTCACAACGGCGACTATCACAGTGTTTTCTGAAGAGTTGACCGCTCTAATTGACCTGAATGTAAACAGAGGGAGCCTTTTAGCCAGTGAGCAGGCTGGTGGAAAAGCCCATGGAATTGAATCAATGTATTTTCAGTTTTTTCACGCTCCGATTCTCCCAGGCAGGCAGAGCCCAGTGGTAAAGCTCTGTGAGCAATCCTAGGCCTCTGAAAGAATGCAGTGTACAGGGCCACTCATCCGCCTGTGGTTTTTTCTCCAGCCAGTGGTCATAAAGGCCCTTTAGTTCCCCCATCAGAGCCCGTGCGTGTACACTGAACATATGGATTGGCCAAAATGAATAGGGTTAACATACACGCAGGGCAGGGCAAATGAATGTTTGTGAATGCGCTTTTGGTTTGGGCCACGGCTAAAGATAGAGAGTGGTAAGGGCAGGCACCGCTCGTTTCTCTGTGACAGGACTCCACAAGGTGGTATGCAACGAGAGCCAGGGAGTCGTGAATGAGCCGGACATTAACCCACAAAAACGAGCCGCAAAAGACACTTAAGTTGGTCCTAATGAGGTCATCGGGCCTGAATCTTTAAGCTTAAATGAGATTCTAACAGAATTCCGAATCAGTCCAGTTGAATTCCCTGTGTCAGTGATCCAAAACCAGGACTAAAGTCATCCCTCACTCTCAGCCTAAGTTAGCTTTTCAGAGCAAGGTCCTGCCACTTTAAGAGGGAGAAAACCGTTTCCCCGGCAAGTCTAATCAGTTTGCAGAATCCAATGGAAAACGGGTCAAACTAAAGAACTAAAAGTAATGGGAACAGCTGGAAAGCGATGGTTAAAATTAGTGCACAAATGCATAAAATAGTTTGGAACAGTGGGGGTACAAACAGCTGAAATAGCTACAACAATTGAATAAAGGGCTGGGGTATTGAATGAATGGTGGCAATGTTTAGAGTCTAGCTTCCCTGAGTAGGAACACCTCTCGCAAAACATATAACGATAATTTTTAGGTAATCACCTTTAAAATTGGTGACAGGATAAAGGTTTACTTTGGTCACCTTTGGTCAGACAGAATTTAAACACAGTTAAATAAAAGCCCACAGAAACCCACTGGGCCACATCCTTTAGGAAACCCCACGTGATCCCTTCACCTGGGAATTTCCACGAGCGTCCTTACCGGCATAGTGCTTCAGCATCAAAGTGTCTGGAATGTCTGTGGTCAATGATGACCAGGTCGTGATGCTTCTCCAAGAAGCACTCAAGAGCCGACTCAGGTGTCCGCGCCATGCTGCACCTGTAGTTGGCCTTCTCACACGCCCAGCAGAAGCCATTACTCTGACCGTCCTCTTTGGCAAAAACTAAAAGTACCTGCAAGAGACGGGATCGTTAACACCGAAGCCGTACGGTTCCTGCTGAGGTTCACGTCACAGGAGAACACGACGGTTTGACGCATTGGGAAGTTAGAACTCCGACAGGCTTTAGATTTCAACTTAGCTGGTCTCATCCCGGGGACCGGTACAAGCTGGTGAGGGGAATTGATTCATTGACTGACGGGTGCCTGACATCACCATGACACATCCTGATAAAAAAAAAACTTTCGGATTATTGGAACTGGTCTTTTTCCAGTCTTCCTTTTACGTCATGGAGCAAAACAAACTGTTTACTGTTTGCTTGTGGTAAATTCGCCCCATGTGGAGCACTGGACGTTTTTACAGCGTTGTAGGTTTTTGCAACTGCTGTCCACTTTTCTTTTTTTCAAATTGACCAGGACACCATCCGGTGTACTTTCCCCCTCCACTATTTTTACCAGCTTCTCCTTCCTCTGTACTAATTTTATACAGGTAATTCCAGGTCAAAGCCAAGGATTTGGGCCAGTTTTGGTCAAACTGAACACATGCATGCAGAACCTCCAACAACATTATCTCAGGGTGTTGGTCAAACTTTGAAAAAATTAGGTTTGGCATGATTTTAAGATGAGCCGACACGAAAATTCAACTGCTTTCAGAGATATGTTACTGTCTGGGTTGAAGGAAGAAATTAAGGATCTTAAAAACAAACACAGAGCTCAAATGTAAACATGCACAAACACATTAAACACGACAGTGGGTTCGTTACGAGGAGGGGCAGAAATCAAATGGCGACAAAGGAGTTTGTTTCTCGGGCTGTGCTGCAGCAATGCAGACATCAAGACTGTGATAGTCCGACGTGTATCAAAACATTATGTGAATCATAAAAAAACTGTTCTGTGTCATGAAATGTTCTTAATCAGATTAGCCCAAAAGAGTCCCAAATAATCAGAGTAAAAAACACAAAAACACCACCGGGGGTTACACTGATGATGCAAACTGACATCGTTCATCACAACGGATGCACCCCGACCCTGTGACAAAAGATTAATGTGACAAAAAAAACAAAAAAAACACCCACAACAGAGAGACAGTAAAACTTCTGACAGCGCAGTGCTCACAACGGCTCGGAGCCGTCCCCGCTCATTTGCGCCTGTCGTCCTAATCAGCCTACGGCGTGACCTCAGGCCCCAGGCGGACGGGCCCAGATTGATCAGGCTCAGCTCCTGCTCTTGTGCGTCACAGATTTTATTGTCCGCCGCCGTGATCTATGACACAATTAGTCGAGGTGGCCTTGACCGGCCGCGGCCCTCCCCGCCAGCCTTTGCCAAGGCCGGGGGCCCGAAAGTGCCGCCGTTCCCCCCCCCCCCCCCCCCCCCCCCCCCCCCCCCCGAGCGCGCGCTCCCTCCCTCGCTGCCGCCGGACTTTCATGCAACCCCATGACTTGCACAAATACTGCGCGGGGGGATTTGGGCCCGCCTCTGTGAGCTGTGTGCACTGAGAGTGGATTCATGAGTCACACTCTCAAACAGACGTCATCCGCAACTGCTGGCAGGGAGCAGGATGAACGTAAAGAAAAGAGAGCTTGTTCTGGAGATTTAAGTTTGCATCATACCTGCAAGGTAAAGTTAGGACATAAGAACCAGACTAGTTTTTTCTTTTTTTTTTTTTATAAAATTATTAAAATCAAAAAAAAAAAACAGCTGTTGAGACGATTGTATTTTTCAACACAAGCTGACAGTTGCCATAGCTTTACTGGAGTAAAACAACACACCCCGGAGCAGCAGTTGGGCAGCGGGCCCTTCTGTCTGAGACAAGTGTTGCTAATGCGAACCATATCCAACACACTGTACGAACATTTTCCCCCTACAAGCAGCAATAAGTGCTCGGGTCATAAATACATCACCCTCGGAGTCCGGCAACTATGTTCGGTACGCGAGGGGAATTAGATCAGAATTCCACATTGGGATGTTGGTAGAAAAAGTCAACATTCCCTCCAAAGGTGGAGGAACGGGGTAACGTAAGCCGAGATAAGGTCTTTTAAGATGTCTGTGCGGGCTCTGGATGGATAGGCCTTGCTTAGTTTTTTGCAACTTAGGAAAGTAATCCAGCTATCTGAAAGCACATTGAAGAAAAAAAAAAAAACAACCTCTGAAATGAGGCTTATGCTCTAAAGAAACAGATGGACTAGGCAGAGAAAGCAGAGAGCGAGGGGGTGGGGGGGTTAGACGGGCTATTGCGCGTTTTTTGGCAGTGTCCGATCCCTCCGTCTAGAAAACATCATTGTTGAAAACAGTGGGCCCGGCCAGACCCCGCGAAGCACGAGAGAAGAGGAGGGGCGGAGAGGAGGAGGGCATGACAGGATCAGCTGTGAGTGACAAAAACAGGAAGGGGATATCTCTCTACCTCGTTTTCCTTGTGCGGCCACACTGAAGCGCATCAGGCCCAGTCTGTGCACTCGCACTGCTCGTGGCATTAAGTTGTAAACCTTAAAAGCCCTGTTTTTTATCCCGAGAACCAGACGGCATAAGTCGTCAGATTGAGCTGTGTTTTAACTGCCACCAACAGCCGTTTTTTGGGATCGGGGGGGAAAAAAAGAAGAAAAAAAAAAGAAAAGAGAGGCAGAAAAAACCTTGCAAGAGCTCGAGATGCTGTTGTCTAATGTGTCGTAATCTGAATGGGTTCACTTCACTTTACAGACAAAAGCAGCAGATTTCCAAACTCGTGTTCACAATCAGAACAGATGATAACTAGCAAACTGATATTTTTTCTCTGCAACATAAACTTGGAACGAAGGTGAAACCTCATTTTTGGACGTTCCCAAAGGCAGAAAAATCCAGACTTTTTAGTGTTCTTTACTCGGCAGCGGGGTGCGCATGCCTGGCACCACTGCACAATGACCCAGTGAACGTCAGGGAACCTCCAGTTCGCGGCCAAACTGGTCGTCCTCTGTGCACTTCTTCCAACAACGCGCATTGTTCATTATGGTATATTCTCGGTCATAAATGTTTGGCCTTGTCTCCATGACGACTGACAGGCTGCACAGCACACAATACACCCATTACCAGTTTTGCATGGCTCTCCTATTCTGAGTGCGTGTCTGACGACCTTTCCTTTTTCTTTTTCTTCCAATGGTGTTGCATTTCTAGGAAAATTTCCCGATTATTTTTCACGATTCATCTCAAATGCAAACATGTCGTCTCGTTTTGGAAAATCAACCCAAGACAAAAGTGACTAAATGCCAACCATCACACCATATCGAGCTACAGTGTTCAGCTGTAACTGACATATCAACGAGCCCAAACATTCATACATGCAAGCATCACTTTGACGTATGGAGTTTTTAAATGTTTGTTTTTACAATACCTGAAGTGGGTCTTTAAATAACTTCATTGGTCCAAATTGCACCTCTGTTAATGTGGTCTGAAAGACAAAAGAAACACAAAAATCAGACAAAAAGAACATTTCACAATGTGATATTTACTCTGTTACAACATGTTCTAGGCAGACTGAGACAGACTTTAATACTTCATGTGCAATCGTGAAACAAAAATAATTGTATTGTATTAAAGCACAGAGACAAAAGTATGAACATCTGTTAAAATCTATAAATTCAATCTAGATATTTCTATTTACAGCATGTCACATACCTCAAAAACACACCTTCAAGAACATATTAAATAGCCTAAAGTGTTGACCTGGCCTCCAGACTCCCCAGATATCTTTTTAGCCATGTGTGTGAAGGATGCTTGAGAACAAACAGATACACTGAGGTTGTTGCTCCCAAAACACCAAAACCCAAAGGAATCACGGCCTGACAGGTCAGAGCTGTATGGAGCTACATAAAGGGACACGAACAATATTGGACTGAAGATTGCTGATTTACGCAAAACTGACTGTTTCCACAGATCACGTGCAAAGTCAGCATATCAACAACTGAGCAAAATGCTATTTAAACATTAAAAACATTAACTTGACTATCTTCCAAAATTAATAATAACTGAACCTATCAACTTTAAAAAAATATTTTTTATCAGAGGTTTTGTTTATTGGCGACCATGGAAAGACACCACTGCATTTCTGCAGGCTTTGAGGCCTTCTCTTCACTTTTGAATAACTTTATCCAGTTCCAATTACATCCAACCAGCAACTTATAACCATAATAGATTATAATAAATGATAAATAGGAGAAAACTAAAATAAATGAGAGAAAAATGTCCCTCTTCCATGGACTGTGACGCTAAAATGATGACGACTTTAATGCACCATGACCCATATGTGACGTGTAACCTTCTTCTTACGTCACTCTGAATGCGCAACATTAACGTCACCGGCCCAATTAAGGCCACACACCAGAGTTGTTTTGACAATTAAATAGCAATATTTCACACCGGCAGGTTTTCAGCTCATTATAATTCTCCTTCATGAGCTTACTCCTTTCTGTCTGCAAATAATTTAGCTTCCTTCCTGCTAAATACAACCCAGCTCAGGGGTTAGTAACCATAGCAACCAAGCCCCTTGCGGGCTGCCATCCCTCTAGAATTCCTCTTCTCCGTAAACAATCTACACATGTGAGGGGGGAATACAGGGAGGAATTTTAGAGTGTGCCGGGCTGCTTTAAATCACTTCTTGCTAAATCGTAAGCCTTTGAAAAGCTTCATGAAACAACAAAGTGGGAGAAAAAAAAAAAAAAGAAGCCGATTAGCCCTGGGTTGTAACCAAATTGACATCATAATGACACTGGGCTGTTTGTTGTAGTTGTCCACAAGCAGGGAGTATGGAATCAGGACGGCTACGAGCTGATGCTTCCAGATCATCTGATCTTTCACAGACACGAGGACACGGTCGCATGATAGGCTCATGTGTGCCGGAGAGACTGAGCACATGCCAGTTTGTGCGGACGCATAATGGAAAGCAATATACGCAAAAAAGGGTCTAAACCCATTCTCTCCGGCGAGAGGCTTTGGCTGAACAAGACCCGATCTCTCACTGATGGGGGTTTGATCTGAAATATTCTTCCAGAGCAAATAACGTTATAACGTTATTCACGTTGAGTTGAGATTCAAACCACTGCCTTTTTTTTTTCCATTAAGGTGCAATAAATTTGTCATTCTAGGCTCAAAAATCACAGACTGCAGTCGCACAGAAGCAGAAAACGGGGCGAGAGTCCCAAATCTGCTGCGATGCTGCGTGTCGGTGATCCGGCCGGGGTCAGGCCCAAGACATATGGAGACTTTCCCCTCCAAATGACAATGACACAACCAATCCAGCAGCGGTAGCAGAGGTTGTGTAACTAACAGAGCCTCGCACATGCACCCCAACGCAGAGCCGAAGCCAGACTGCCAGCCTCTTCGGGGCAACATACAGTAAACACACACACATACACACACACACACGCTTTAATGAATCATTCGGCCCGGCCAGTTTGCATCCCGCAAACATCACGCTGGCACCGGACCAGAGGCGAACAAAGCCGGGGGAGGTGAGCGTAACAAGTAGGCCAGGCGGGACATGGCGTGCATGGCCCACGTTAGCGGGCGTCCCGCCCTCCGCACGCTATGCGCCGCCGCGTGGTACCAGCCGCAACCGGGCCCGCGCTCCTCTGCCCGTGTGTGTGTCCGTGTGAGGGGAGCGGGCCAGTTGTTGGACGAGACAACAACACGGTTGTGTGTGCAGAGCTCAGGGAGGGAATCAATGATTAAAACGCAACGCAGGAAGTTTTGTCTGATCATTTTCTGTGAAAAAAACAACAAAAAAACATTGGGTGATTTTTTTTTTCTTTCTTTTTAATCATTTTGTTTGAATATTAACCCAGAGCTTCAAAGTGGAGCATTACGTTCAGCTTTATTCAATCAAGTTTGCTGCATGTCGCTGTTGGAAAAACCTAAGCTAGATTTCAACTGTGCCTCCCAATGTGTCGTTCATGTTTTCTCATCCAAAATAACAAGTCAAAAGGCACGGGGAGAACAACAGTCAGCAGCTCTTGTGGACTGAATTACAGGCAAATAAGTAAAACAGGAGTGGAGAAGCAGACAGACCTCAGATCACTATTATTCAAATGGAAGATGGGTGAGTAATAAACTCCAGCTCCTATAAAAACTTTGAATCGTATACTGTAAATTAATCTGAAACAACAGGGCACTGTTGGATTCTGTGAATCACAGAATATAAGTTGTGTTATAAGGTTTACTAACGCGACTGATTTTACAAAAAAGTTAATGTTGATGATCTCATTCATATTTAAAAAGTACAAACATCACAGCATATCAGAATCTCCAGGGAGAATGATCAAGGTGGCCATAAATCCTTGAGGGGGTAGAGCAGGAAGCAACACTGTCAATGTTACTTCACAAAGATGCACAGTGTAAAGAGATGGTCAGACATGAAGACAAAGAGAAAAAAGCAGAGATAGGGTGAGAAGCTTCATGTTCTGGGTGGGGCGGGCAGAAGGAAAGTGGTCCTTTAGCCCAACAACAGCTCCTTAACCTCTATCTGGACCCTTTTCTGTCCACCTGACTTCAAATAAAGGCACTTGCACCCAAGAAAAATGAATAAACAAACCAAATAAGTTGTAAACCTATTTCTCTTGACTTGAACCTACTGGATTCATTTTCAGCCAGGAAAGCAATAGTACTAAAGCCCGAGTCAGCAGCACACAGTACACAGTTCCTGGGCCGTCTTGGTGAAGGGGGTGTCGGGAACACACTGTGCTAAGCTTTAGCCTTCATTCAAAATGACGAGCTAACCCCCCGGGAGGCCTTTCTCTGTGGGGGTCTCTCTCCAGGTTCCCCAGCTTCGTCATACAGCCCAAAAACCTTCACCTCACGTGAGGTCAATAGATCGCTTTAAATTTCTACCACGGATGGATGGAACGGTAAGTTTGAGAGCATGAACGATTTGCTGATGTATCTTGGGAAATGAGCGCTCAAAAAAAAAAAAAAAAGTGTCTTATGCCATGTGAGTTGACGCCTTTCTTGGCTCCTCATTCCGATCTGACCAAGGCAAAGCCAGGACGTGTCTGCAGCCGCCCTGAGCAGCGTGCAGGACGGGCCCCGGTCTCCTGCCACTCTCATTCAGCACACCTAATGTATTTACATAGTCAAGCTGCCTCTGACCCTATATCCTGCTCCCACTGTATCCAGCCCTGTGGATCTCTTCCTCCTCCTTCTGCTCTCCTCCAGCCTGCCAGCTCCTCTGTTTCATACGCATAGACTCACATACACACAGCACGCCATACACAGTGGGAGAGTGGCTTTCCACTAAAGTGAAAAACAGGAAATTGGATGACATTGTTCGGTGCGCCGACGTCAGCAGTGAGAGATAGAAAGAGTAAACAGCTTCCTCCACCCAGAGCTGGGACCAGGATGCAGGGTATCTTGGGATGCCTGCAGTGCTTTCGATTCCCAGGAATAAGCACGGTTGTTGGCCAGTTCTCCAACAACCGCCAGATCCCCGCCTTTGGACCGGCTCTCAGAATGAAAGAAAAAACGTCCTTAAAACGTCTCCACATGCGGTAAAACGGAACATCACATGCTCAGTGGACACCCAGACGGCGTTAGCCGGGGATCAGCGTTTTCCTCCCCCTACGATAAGTGTTGTTCGCACAACTAGTTTCAGGGTGCCTCGCGTGCGTCTGTGTGCTGGATGTGAGTTTGGCCGTCTAAAAGTGTGAAACAAATGGAGATGAATCAATGTTCTTGATTAGGTCCCATTAAGGGCGACCAGTCGCAGCCACAGGTGTGGACGCACACTCTGTCCCAGACAGACAGAGGCAGACAGGCAGACATAGCTCTCCCACACTGGGCTAAGTGATGAGCTAAATGGCACAGAGCGACGCATCAGCCCCAGCACACGCTGAGCCACTCAGATAGTACCGCTAGCGACCCATGCTGTGTGTGTTATCTCAAGCAGAATAATTCACTTTCATGTGTGGACACTTGAATTTGCTGCCAATAGACCCGGGCTGCAACAACAGAGTTTCTGTGAGCACAAGGGAGTCAATGACCTGTGCGTAAGACACCAAAACGGTGGTTTCCTATTCAAAAGCAAAAATACTAAATGCATACTCATACAATTCTTAATTTTCCTGCTTTCATTTTTAACAGAAATACAGAGATAGTCTACTTAATTAATTAAATTTACTGCATCTGAAACATGCACATACAAATCAGCTATGGTGTTAATAACATTGCTTTTTGGGTTTAAAATTAAATTATACATTTCATAATCGAAATAATGAAGGGCATATTTCATTTAAATCAATCCAACTTAAAACCACACAGGAATACTGTGGATTAAAAAAAGTAATGGCTTTTTACGTATGGGCCTAATTAATTATGAACTTATAGAAATAGAAGTGTGCTCATTTTTTATTTGAACAAATTCTGAATTTTCATGCAAATGTTTATGCATCTAAAGAGATTGAATTTCTTGTCTTGTTTTCGTCAAATCTAGCTCGTTAGGTA